CAATGACCAGAATGCCGCAGGGCTCAGCACTTGGAAGTATCTACTTGAAGAGAAGACGGAAGGATCCTAATTCTTCCTTTCAAATATTTATGAAAGTCTCAGAGACTCTCAGGCCAAATATGAAATTTGTTCTGCCTAATGATATCTAATAGTTATTGAGTGTTTACCATTTATTCAGGCACAGTCCTAAGAATGTATAACTCTCTTAATTTTCTTAACTATCCTGTAAGAGGTAGGTTACATTTATCCTCATTTTACTTATTTATTTTTAATTTTTAAAAAAGATTTTAGGGGAGCCTGGTTGGCTCAGTGGGTTAAGCATCTGCCTTCGGCTCAGGTCATGATCTCAGGGTCCTGGGATCGAGCCCCGCATCAGACTCTCTGCTCAGCGGGGAGCCTGCTTCCCCCCCCCTCTCTCGGCCTGCCTCTCTGCCTACTTGTGATCTCTGTCTGTCAAATAAATAAATAAAATCTTAAAAAAAAAAAATAAAAAGATTTTAATTATTTATTAGAGAGAGTACAAGCAGAGGGAATGGCAGGCAGTGGGGGTAGGGGGAGCGAACCAGGCTCCCACTGAGCAGGGAGCCAGATGCAGGGCTTGATCCCAGGACCCTGAGATCATGTCCTGAGCCAAAAGTAGATGCTTAACCCACTGAACCACCCAGGTGCCCCTCTCATTTGAAATATAAAGAAACCAAGTCACAAAAAGATTGAGTAACTTGTTCCCAGGGACGTAACTGATAAGTAGAGAAAGTGGCCTTCATACCCATGCACTGTGATTCAAACACTTACATTCTTGGGTACTACATGGACCATGTAACAGCTGTTCCACTGGTATTTTTTGATTCAACATGAAGAACAGTCTAGCAATTAGAACTGTTGAAAAACAGAAAATACTCTTAAGTTCCATGACATATTTTCAAGGTGAGTAATCCTATGCCCAGGGTTATTTCAGAACAAACTCAGTGTTAGGTGAAAGATTGAAGTAAATGATCTTAAGATTCTATATTGGCACTACTCCCTTCTCAACCAATCACCCATTTTAAGTCTACACATTTTGTAAATGTGTTGTCTGCATTTCTAAGTTCTTAATAGAAATACTGTATTTGACAGAACCCAGGATAGAAACATTTCCATACCATTAAGACCTTCCCTCCAGCTTAAAACTGTATGATTATTTAATCAGCTGTGAAACTTCCTTGCCACTTAGTTATCCACTTACATTTTAAATCTGTTCACAGGATATTCTAATATACTTTATTAAGCGCTGCACTGCAAACAAGATTCATTAAGTTTATCTCCTTCCCCTTAGCCACCATCTAATTAGCTCTTCAAAAAAAATTAATTAGGTTACTTGAATGTGGCATGTTAAGGATCCCATGCCGGCTTCTTGTGACCACTCATTCCTTCTCCAAGTGTTCAAAAACTGTCTAGTAATTTGCTGAAGTTTTTTTTTTAATTTAACACTTAAATAATCTACAAATACCAATTTATAAAATCCCATTTGAATATAATTTATATCCATTATACAGATGAGAAAATTGAGGCAGAGAGTGAGACAGATAAAATGAATTGCCCAGAGCCACATAGCAGAAACAGCAGCGCTAGTGGAACCCAGCAGTTTGGCTATAGAATCTGTGCCTGTAAACATTAAGCTACACTCTTTCACTAATGTAGGACTTTGGAAATCCTCTATTTTGTTTTCTCTGACTTCTATCCATCTTCCCTCACTCCCACATCTTAAAAAAAATTTTTTTTAAACAGTAACCTATTCCCATTTACATTATTTTAAAACTTCTGGCATGTTTGCTGACTCTACCCAGAGTCCTTTTCCTTGACGTTGTACATCCCAGAAGTTCCCCATCATATTGAGTTCACCAGACAGATTCTGCAACGGTAAGAAGGATGTAGAGGTTCACTCTTCTGCTATTCTCTATCATTTTTCATCTGATTGTTGAGATAACATTACCTTTAAAACAAATCAATAATGTATCACTGAGAGAATTGAAATTACAGCATGTACAGGTGAATTACAGCAGATGTCCTATTACTGTCAGGACTCCCTTTGAACAACTTGTATTTCTGAGTGAAGAAAGGATCATTATTAGTCTGCATTTGAGCAGCCTGCATGTCTTAGCCAGTTTTGGCCGCTATAACAAAAATACTACAAACAGGGTGGCTTCAACAGCTAGCATTTCTTTCTCACAGTTCTGGAGGCTGGGAAGTCCAAGTTTTGGTGTCTGGTAAGAGCTCACTTCTGGATTCATAGGCTTTTCTGCTCTGCCCTCACAGGACAAAAAAGGAGTGAGAGAGTTCTCTGGGTCTCCTTCATAAGGGCTCTAGAGCCATTGCTGAGGGCTCCCTCCTGTGACTTAATCACTTCCGAGTGGCCCCACCTCCTAATACCATCACATTTGGGTTTAGGATTTCAACCTAGGAAATTGTGGGCAGGGTGACAGTATGGCCCAAACTTCAAAACACTGTCCTGTTACTTTTGTTTCTCTGTACATTTGCCTTGACCAACATGCCTCTTTTCTTTTCCTTCTGATCACAGATTGCCATAGAGTTGTTTAGCATTTCATAGCAAATGCTGGCCTGCTCTTTTCCCTTCAATCATCTAAAATCTGTACCCTTCCATCACTGCAGTCAAATCATGGATTCCATTCCACAAATCTTGAGTTTACATTATTGATAATCATTCCTTTGCCAATATTAACAGGTTGGAATTTGATGTTCCCTCCTTGCCTTCTTTTACCTATGTTACTATATAGGAGAAATATTTTAATTACTACATATATCTCACATTGCTGCACATTTATGTGGCTCTATGGAAGAATTTGTCTTGATATCCAGTGGTGCTTACATGACTATGAATTTTAAGACTGATAAGTCTGTGGGAGAAAGAGGTTTTAAACTTATTTTGGGAGATATAATTCAGAAGCATTCACAAAAAAGTAATATGGGGACCCAACTGCCTACCAATGGTAAGTAATTTAAAATATTTATTAAAGCAGATACCATATATGTCAAAGTAGAACCTGTGAAACACTGGTTTGAGGGTCCCTGAGTCACCCTGCTTTAATACTCAGAACAGAATAACTTCATTTCAAACCATTCCTTAAAGTGTAAGACCTTGGTAGTTTAGATGGGCCATTTGAGGTAATCATTAATTGGTGTGTGTGCATGCGTGTGTCTGTGTGTGTGTTATTTTACTTAAGAGATAATGATAAACATAAAAATCAGGCAGTTACTATTTAAAAAAAAAAATCCAATGGGGACATTGAGGCTGAAACAAAGGTAGAGTCCAGTGTGTTTCCATGTCTCTGTTACCATCTCTCTTTTACTAAATAACAACTCCCAAATCCCCCAAAAGACAATCCTCCCAAAAAAGAATATTGTAGCTGAACATATACTAACTACTCTGCATAAAATAGAAATGCACGTAATGACCCTTCTACTTATCCAATCTGTTTAAGCCAGAATTTCATTGGTTGTGTTTAAGATTAAAAAGCCAAAACAGTGTGTTATTAGGAGATTCTCTTGATTGGAGTGTAATTCTAGAAAGAATTCTAATAACATCCAATGCAAAGTTCTTTTTGATGTCACTTTGTCTTTTGTAAGATAGGGGGAAGGAATGAGTTCTAGAAGAGTCCTTGATTTTAGCCAAAGACTAATGAAGCACATCATCATTTAGGTGTGATTTTTAATTGTGTAAGGAGTGCTCAACTACTGACCCTTCTTCTGTCTCCATAGCTCCTTTTTAAAAAAAAAAAAGTTATATTTATTTATTTTTAGAGAGTTCGAGCAGTGGGGAGGGAGAAAGGGAAAGAGAGAGAATCCACAAGTAGACTCCCGCTGAGCACAAAGCCTGATGTAGGGCTCAATCCCAGGACCCTGACATCATGACCTAAGGTGAAATCAAGAGTCAGATGCCTAACCGACTGAGCCACCCAGGCATCCCTGTCTCCATTGCTCTTATCTTTCCATCTCTGCGTCTCCAAACTGACCCTACATTCACATGGTTAAAAATATTTAGGCTGCTTCATCTCTTCTTTTAAGTGTTTAGTTTTTTTAGAAGTAAGTTGAAAAAACAAATTGAATACTAGTAAAATGTTGCTGTCATGCACGTGTATGAACAGCCCACAGGTCTAAGAGTTACCATATACATGGATTAAAATGCAGTAAAAACACACAGTAAGGCAGTAAACCTTAATGCAGAAAACATGTTGAATAAATACCTTTGTGGGGTTTTTTATTTCTATGATCTAGGATAGTTCTAATTTTGAGGAAAATTAAAGAAGAGGGAAAGAAAAGAAGAGGGAATCCGTGTTTTATAGATATTTGAAGAGAAAGTAGAAGTGAATTTTGATATAAGTATTGAATAAACAAACAAATCCACTCTGCTAGAAACTTTGTGTAAATAGATTTCTGGTACAAAAATTCTCAAGCAAAGCATTTAAAAAATGAACATAGCTTAAAATTCCCAAAGTGTAGGCTATGAGGAAGCTTATTTAATTTTCTTCATATTTCAAGATATACTTGAATAAGTCTCTCATTTTTAATTCCTTGGTGGAGTTCTTTTTATATCTGAGATTGAAGTAAACATATTATTAGAAATTTTCATTAAATTTTTCCTTTCTATATAAATTGTATTTGGAATACATGTAGTATGAAGTCTTTTGATATGTCTAGATGTGTTATACACTTCTATACAGATGTGTCACACAGATAATGCCAAAGAAGGAACAGTGCCCAGTAATTTCATGATTAAGTGCAAAAATTTTTATATTAATTTCTATTCTGATTTGTCTAAAAAGGTATATATTTATGCTCAGGTAACTTTATTGATTTTTGTTCTTTTTAAAGGCAGTGGAAGAAAAGAGAAATCTCTCTGGCCAAGAATCCTAGTTTTGAACCTGTAAAAGAAATAAACCTCTCCATTCTGAGATTTTAACAGACTTTGATAAGTATTTCTAATCTTTTGTTGTTACTTTCCTCAGAGATAACCATAGAAAGCTATACTGGCAAACAGCCAACCCAAGAACCATGTGAAATTTCTGTTGTGGACCTGTTTCTAATGCAAGGGTCTGAGAGAAACACACAGGTGCTGTCTGCTAAGTGCGGGGAGCCCTGGATGGTGGGTGGCCGGGTGGCACCGGCAGGGTCATGGCCCTGGCTGGTCAGCCTGCAGCACCAAGGACATTTCTGTGGAGGTGATCTGATTGCCAGGCAGTGGGTCCTGACCATGGCGTCCTGTATCTTTAGGTATGTGCCCGTGTGGTGAGCTGGGTGCCCGAGCTGGGCGCTGGGCGTACTCCTGCTCTCCCCGCAGCACAAGCAGCAGCAAGCTCCTACCCATACAGTCTCCACCGTGTGAAGGAATGAACGTGGTCAGACCAAGGCATGTCGTGCTTCTCTAACACGTTCACTACTGACAGAGCTTTTAGTTTGAAAAGGTGCCTTCTAGTTCTTTGTGTAATTTACTTAATGAGTAACAGCAGTCCCCTCTTCTTTAAATTTTAGAATTTTTTTAATTTTAAAGAATGTCCTTTAAAAGAAACATTTTAAAAAACTATGTCTGAATCTTGGTCTCGGTGTGGTATGGTGATATCTGAAAACCCCTTCCTTAGAGAAGTCGTCTCAGGTTGGTGTTTTTCATACTGGCCTCCCAGAAGTATAGTGATGGCCCATATTTAAATGAGTAGATACAGTGTTTCAGTACTTCTGAACTCAGCTTTCTAATAAAAGCCTCTACTCCCATAACGTAGTGGGCAGGAACCTTCAACGAATCAAAAATTCCTTTTCTCTACCATTCCCCAACTCCTTTGATATAGAGTAATCACAAGAAATTCTCCTTATTAAGGCAGTTTTCAGACTTTGGTGTGTAGAATATTACCTGGAGAGTTTGCCAAGAAATCTTAGAAGCTTAATTCTGAATTTTGAGTTAATGAGTTACATCTGGGATTCTGCATTTTTTAATTTTTAAAAGATTTTTATTTATTTGACAGAGATCACAAGTAGGCAGAGAGGCAGGCAGGGAGAGGGGGAAGCAGGCTCCCCGCTCAGAAGAGATCCCAATGCAGGCCTCAATCCCAGGACCCTGGCACCATGACCTGAGCTGAAGGCAGAAGCTTTAACCCACTGAGCCACCCAGGCGCCCTGGGATTCTGCATTTTTAAGGCACTGCCAGATTTAATGCATGTGGTTCCTAGACATTTCTTTGAGAAACATTGTGTTAGGGAGTAGAGTATCTATAACTTCCAGAATACGTTTCAATGACCATTATATGTCGTATAATGTGCAAAATTATGATTGTAATAATACATAGAATCATTACCCTGAGGCATCATGAATCTTGTTAAGAAATACTAAATCATTTTTTTGTTTGATGTTATGAAGGCAAGAGAGTAGATATCTTAATTTTTCTCAAGGATCCAATTAATAAGAAACCCCCATTTTCTAAGAATTCCAGATAACAAAGATTTTAACATAGATGGGAAATGTTAGAGAATGTATTTTTAGTGATTTTGAAAAAGTATGACCTCATTAAAAGTGGTATCTATGTCCCCCATTCCTTTTTCTTATGACAAGTACTGTCACAGATGGCCTGGTAATAGGAAGAAGTTACCTCTCAAACACCAGAAATGGCAATCTGGTATCAGTGAAAGCTGTCTACACTCACCCTGGCTTTGCGCCCTTCCCTCCCACCGATGATCTTGATGATCTCTCCTTGCTGCAGCTGGACAAACCTGTTGAACTCAGTCAGTAGGAATAACTCCGCTCCGTATTTTGAAGCTTTGCCATGTGGTTTTTCTCTTCCATCTTCCTTAGAAGTGCCGTATGTACTTCTGAAAGTCATGATTTCCAAACTTTCTTTCCAGCTTTCCCTCAAAGCTGAAGCACCTGCCCAAAGTTTAACTTAAAAGCCTTTAATTGATGGAGGTCTAGAGAAGATTTCAAAAAATATATGTTTTTCACCTTGTCCTAATTTATTCTGAGACCCACTTTTAGGTGAGGTTTACCCAAATGCTTAAAACAGCAGTTTGACCCATCTGATGTTCAACTGTCTGTACCTTTATGGCTCAGTAAAATCTTATTCTTTTTTAATGTTTATTTAAACCACAGCTGATGTGAACACGTAGTGAGGAATTGTTCTTCTTGGCTTTGTCTCATAGTGGCCACATGATGGTCATCTTGGGCTGGTTATGTAACTTCTCTGCACCTCAGCTGATCATCGGTAGAAAGGGAGTAACAGTAGCCCTCCTACCTACTTAGCAGGATGCACTTTCAATGAGAAAGTAAATTTGGGGATGGGGAGTAGAACTAAGGCCTGTGGTCAGTCCCCACTTTCACACTTGTGTCTTTCCAAGGATTCCTACGGCTCCTGCTTTCTTCCAGCTCTCTCCTCTGTTTCTGATTTCTTCGGCTCTTCCCCTGCCAATAGCCTCACTTCCCTTCAGTGGATCCATCCTGCAAACTCCAGTCTGGTCTCAGCTCACCCTTTGCTTTCTGTGCTTTTGTAAGTGAGTCAGTGAGAGCCTCTAGAACAGTGCTGCTTCACCTCGGCTTTGCATTACAATCCCCTGGGTTGCTTAAAAAAAAACAAAACCAAACCATAGACCAGGTTGCAATTTGGACCAATTTATCAGTCTCAGAAGTAGAGACCTGGCTTCAGTATTATTTTTTCCTTATTTTGCTTATTAAATTATCTTAAACATTTTTAATATTGAGATAATCATAAATTCCCATTCTGAAATACAGACAGACCAATGTACTTTTTACCCTTTTTTCACCCTTGGAAACATCTTGCAGAGTATTGACATGAGACAGTTGAAATAAGGACACTCCTATCACCACAGGTGATACGTTGCCCTTTTATAGCAATATGCATTTCCTCCTCCCCACCAGACCTCTGGTATCCAGGAAGTTGTTCTGTTTCTGTAATTTTGTCATTTCAAGAATGTAATATACATGGAATTACACAGTTTTGTAAACATCAGGGATTAACTTTTTTTCACTCAGCCTAATACCCTGGAGATTTATTCATATTGTTCCATATATCAGTAGTTCATTCCTTTTTACTGCTGAGTAGGAGTCCACAATATGGATGTTTAACCATTCATAAAAGTTTAACTGTTCATCTGTTGAAGAACATCTGGGTTGTTTCCAGTTTTGGGGTATTCCAGATAAAGCTCCCATGAACATTTGTGTATAGGTTTTTGGTTTTTTATTTGTTTGTTGTTTTATAGGATTTTATGTATTTATTCATGAGAGACTGAGAAAGAGAGGCAGAGGGAGAGGGAGAAGCAGGCTCCCCACTGAGCAGGGAGTCCCAGGTGGGACTCAGTCCCAGGACCCTGGGATCGTGACCTGAGCTGAAGGCAGACACTTACCCGACTGAGCCACCCAGGCACCCTGTGTATAGGTTTTGTGTGAATAAAATTGAACAGATGTTTTCATTTCTGTGGGATAAATGCCTAAGAGTGTAATTGCTGGGTCCTAGGTGCGTTTCAGTTTTATACGAAACTGCCAAACTATTTTTCCAGTCCTAGTAGCATTGTATATCCCACCAGAGATGTAGGAGTGATCTGATTTCTCTGCATCATCATGAGCATTTGCTCTTGTCACTATTTTTTTAAGGCATCTGATAGATAGTGATATGTTATTGTAACTTTAATTTGTATCTCCTTAATGGCTAATAATGCTGAACGTCTGTTCATGTGACTATTTGCCACTTTAAAAACCCTCTTTAGTGAAATGTATCTTCATAGCTTTTGCCAAATTTCTAATTGGATAGTTTTTCATATTGTGGAATTGAAGAATTCTTTATATATTCTGGATACTACTGCTTTGGCAGATACATCATTAACAAATATTTTCTTCTAGTCTGTAGCTCATCTCCCAGTCTGTAGATCCTCCTACAGGGTCTTTCACAAAGCAAAGATTTTACTTTTGATGAAGCCCAATTCCTCCATTTTCCTTTTATGGATTTTGCTTCAGGAGTCAACTCTAGGAACTCTTTGTCTAGCCTTAGATGCTAAAAATTCTTCCTATTTCTCTAAAATTCATATATTTTACATTAAACTTCATGATCCATTTTTAGTTAATTTTTGTATAAGGTTTAAGGTTTTGGTCAAGGTTTTTCCTTCCCTAGGATGTCCAGTTGTGCCAGTAACATCTGTTGAAAACATTGTCTTTCTTCCAACGAATTGCTTTTTTGTGTCTTTGTGAAAAATCAGCTGAGCATATTTGTATGCGTCTATTTCTGGGATCTCTAGTCTGTCGATCTGTGTCTTTTACCCTTCTCTGGTATCACACTGTCTTGATTACTGTAGCTATATAATAGTGTTTATATTAAAAAGTGATTCCTCTCAACTTATTCTTTTTCAAGATTGTTTTAGCAGTTCTAAGACCTGTACCTTTAAATGTAAATTTTAAAATAACATGTCTACAACACTTCCTGTGATTTTGATAGGAATTATATTAAACCTGTAGATCACTTGAGGGAGAACTGACATCTTTACTATGTTGAGTCTTTCGACTCATGAACACAATGTATTTCTGTATTTATTTAGGTCTTATTTGATTTCTTTCACCAGAATATTGCCATTTTTAGTGAACAGATCCTGTGTATATTTTGCTAAGTGTACACATATCTAAGCATTGCACTTTCTTCACAGTGATTATAAATAGTATGTTTTAAATTTTAAATTCTACATGAAATGTGACTGACTTCTGTATGTTGATCTTGTATCCTGGATTTTGCTGAATCTAGACCAGTATTTTATAAACTACCCCTGGAAATTTCAATGAGCAGCCGAAGTTGAGAACCACTGTTCTAGAAAAAGACCATTGGTGAGGTCTGGGTTAAAAATTTGCAGTTTCCAGTTTCAGTACCATCCGCAATGCTTGTGTGCCTATTTCTTTTTTCCAATATCCACAGTAGTCACTACAGACAGTCCCTTTTTTCAGCCATTCTCATTTTACCCTTTATCCTGCCCTGCCTTCCTTTTTTCTGGTCTCCAAGGACCTTGCTTTCCAGTCAGCACCACCTGATGTCAACACCAACATGAACCTTTCTGTTCCTCTTCCCCCTAAATGTTTAGTTAGCTTACCCAATCTGTACCCATTCATTTCTATTCAGTGGTGAGAGTGAGAAATAACCTTTTTCCAATTAGAAACAATACAATTTCTACCTATGATTTTCATCCTCACCACCTCACCCTGGCCATCATGTGAACATTTGGCCTGTTTCTTTCCTGTTTTTTTATACTACTTACTCTATGTGTACTTAAATAATTGTAATATACCTATTATGAGTTTTATCCTGATTTTTCACTTATTAGCATTGCTTCATATTATTAAAAATTTCTTTTAAAATGTAATTTTTAATGGCTATGTAGTAGCCTTTCCACAATTCTTATAAGTAGGCTGTTCCTTCTTTTATTTAAATAATGCTGGATTGACTATCCTTACATATATTTTTTTCCAGGTCTAGTCTTGCCTTAAAATAAATTTCCCAGAAGTAGCATTGTTAGATTTAGGGTATAGCAATTTTCAAGATTCCTGACAGACTTCTAGATTTCTAGATTATAAACATAGCTGGTTAGAGTATAAGTCGATACATCCTTTTTTTTTTTTTTTTTTGGTCCAAAATGAGGCAATTTGGCAATATCTTTTGATTTTTTTTAAAGATTTTATTTATTTATTTGACAGAGATCACAAGTAGGCAGAGAGGCAGGCAGAGAGAGAGGGGAAAGCAGGCTCCCTGCTGAGCAGAGAGCCCGATGTGGGGCTTGATCCCAGGACCCTGGGATCATGACTTGAGCCGAAGGCAGAGGCTTTAACCCACTGAGCCACCCAGGTGCCCCTATCTTTTAATTTTTAAAGTGTATGCTTCCTGTTCCAGCAATTCTATTTTCCACAGGTACTGGCACTAATGTTCGGATTGATGATCTAGGATGCTTGATGCTGCTTTTAAGGGGAAACAAAATTAAATAGTGTAAATGTTTGCCAGGGAGATTTAACAAATTGTAGTACATTCATTATCTAAATACTGTGTGCTATTAAAAAAATGATCCAGGAGGTCTGTATGCAAGGGCAGAAATGATATGACCATAATCTAGTAAATGAAAAAAAAAAGGAATAAGAAAAATGGCTGATTAAAAAAATGTTGGTAGAGGGAAAATATTTTAGCTCAAGGAAACTTGGCAGGAAGTGATATAGCAATGATTATCTGTGAAGGTGGCATAACAAGATTTGGATTCAGTTGGCATGTGTGTAGAGAGGAGAGAAGGAAAATAATAAACAAGTTAGAGTTTTATGTGATTTTATTAAGAGATAGCAGTAAAAAACAAAGGACAAATCATTGAAATAAAAGGTCTAGGATAGCAGTTCTGTTGAAACATTTAAATGTGTAAAAATCTGGATAAAACTGAAGTCAAACAGCATGGGAAAGCAAACACAGGCACACTGCCTTCAGTGTGTGTGTGTGTGTGTGTGTGTGTATGTGTATGTATAGTGTATATATACACATAAGAGACATACACATAAACCCACAATATTTATATATATAGGGGTGCTTGGGTGGCTTAGTGGGTTAAAGCCTCTGCCTTCGGCTCAGGTCATGATCTCAGGATCCTGGGATCAAGCCCCACATCAGGCTGTATGCTCAGCGGGAAGCCTGCTTCCTCTCTCTCTCTGCCTGCCTCTCTGCCTACTTGTGACCTCTGTCTGTAAATAAATAAAATCTTTAAAAATATATTTATTATATACAAATTTTTGTGATTAAAAATGTGAACATTTAAATATATGTTAGTATATTTTATAATACACCTGCAAACATAGATATAAAAACACTAGCTGCAAAAATATTTAAAAGGTTGACATTGCCACAAATGTGGTTTTTCTCCATTCCTCATGTAACACAGTTGAAAAGAAAAGATTATTCTATTCTTCTGCACTGTCATCTCAGATTTAACAAGGTGATGTCCTAAAAGCACATGGACAAAAAAGCCGATGCATTTTAAAAATGGTTAGTGGCTGAGAAACCATCTCTATGCAGGGCATGTGTTTCCATTGTCCTAGGAAGATATGGTGATGCTTCCTGTGGAACAAAGAGGTTACATGTGAATTGAGATGATCCCTTCTGAGTTATTAATAGATGGTACCTTCTATATTTATTAAACTATAGGGATAAAATGGTGCTATCATGTCAAAATAGTTATTTTTAGAGCCATAATAGAAGAGAAACAATATAGATAATATCAATCCAGTGGACTAAATGATATTTGCCTTTTTTTCATTCTAGGAGAGTTTGTATCTCTAATCTGTTTGCCAGGGAAAGATGATAAAGTAAACTTATTTTCCAAATGTATGACTGCTGGATGGGGAATAACTGAACCACATCATGAGTACATGCACGGCCTCTTCCAAGATTAGAATCCAAACAAGTTCTTGTGAAGTCTGAGTTTACTGTTTGCTCATGTTCAGTTTCCTATGTTTTTAATAGGAACGATAGTAGAAAAAGTCTTTTTCATAATGGATCTAAAGGTGACTACTAGGAATTTAGGACATAATATTCAATAATACTAGTTCATTGAAATGAGTTCATGGATACTTGTAAAAACTTGTGTTGGAGGATATCTATTAAATTTTTTACGTAATATTTATATGTGATTTTTACTGAATACGTATACGTAATTACTACCCAGTTGTGCTGTGAACACACTTGCTTTCACAACAGTATAGGTGCTGCTACAGTGAAAACCTCCTCCTCAAGTTACGAGCCTATTTCAAAGATGCGAGGCATTTTTCTGAAATGAGAGGCTGGTATAAATGGTAAAGTTTATCTGAAAATAGTCCATGTAAAGGTCAAACCCATGGCTCTGGTCTTACTTCCACCATATTCTACAACTGAGTTAACAAGTTACAAACATCCAATATCCAATACACTAAAGAGTAAGTCAGAAGGCAATTTCAGTTGTCACCTCCAGTGTCAACACTTAAACGTGAATTCAAGTCAAAAGAATAAGAGCTCCATGAAACCAAGGAAATCTAGAATTGACATGCAAAACATGAAATGTATTATTTGCTTTAACAACTGATTTGGGTGCGAACTTCCTTCCTCCTTCTATATAGTGGTGTCTTTTTCTGTCTTCTTAGCACTGTACTCAAGACAGAAGAACCCACATAGAGTGTCATTTGATGTTGCTGTTGTATCAGCCACCATGGAGTAATGCTGGCTTTTTACAAACCACCTAACAACATCATTACCGTGCTGAGAGGAGAGAGTGGAGGGATGACCCTCAGAATCTGTATATAGGACGATTTTTGTTGTACCCTTTACAAGCATTTGCCTCAGTTATATGTTTTATTCCTTTTCTACTAGAAGACGAATTTTCTGAAACTGTGCAGGAGGCAGTGGTATCACTGATCAGCAGCACATCTTGTCAAAGCTACTGGGGCTTGGATATTAAAAACAGCGACATATGCAGAGGGGCTGCGGGCTCATCCTCATGCATGGTAATTCGAGGACGCATTGACAAGTGCGGTTTTCTGCTCAGTGTGTCATAAATTGGTGTTTGCTGGCCATAAAGGGTTAGAAAATAGATGGTAGTTTTAAAAGCAAGAAGAGTAAGTGTGTTGCTAAGCTGATGTACTGTCATAGCTAATTTGATACCTGAAGTGAGGACAGTTCTCAAAAGGAATTGCTCATTCATTTGCTTGGTTGACTATGTGAAATTGAGGATATTCAGCTGTTTTTGACCTATAAAAATAATTTATTATGGCTCAACTTCACAGCTGAAAGAATTTACTTCTCGTAGCATTGAAAATATACTTTCCTGTAACTCAAAACCATCATTTAGTCACTGATATTCAGTAGATGCTTGAAACTTTCTGCAAGGCACAGTCTACTGTCAGCATTAAATGACTGTGCTAAATGTACCCTTTTAGCCACCCTTTGAAAATACAGATTTTGATCTGATTCAGAGATCTGTAACATCCGCCAACTGCCGAGTTCTCTCTGCTGTTGTGAGCAGAAATCAGAGATGAGGGAATGACTTAGGCACTGTCTGATCACCTCTGCATTGGAGGTTAGCATCGACCATGAATCAAGCAACCAGGAGAACTTCTCTTTTTGCGGGTTGCAGGGAGATTCTGGAGGACTGCTGCAATGTGTCCACAATGGACAGTACGAGTTCATTGGTATTGTGAGTTGGGGCAGCAGGAACTGCCAGCCCCCGGCACCCACAGTCTTTGCCAGAATTTCTGCCTACAGGGACTGGATCGCATCTGTCACTGGAGGAGAAGTGTGATCACTGAAAGAGGAGCCTGGTGGGATTGTGTTCATAAATGGGAAAGGAAGTCCCTCACAGTATACCTGAAAAATAAGTCTCTCGTTAGTGCGAAAGACTCCATGTCACTTCTTCCAACCCTTGTCATTGAGAGCTTGGGTTTGGTGTGCACGCCCATCTAGTATTAAACACTGAACACAGAAAGCCAATGTTGAGTCATGCCTCCCGGGAATGTATAATCTGAAATGTCATTAAATTCATATTTAGTGTACAATGTATATGTTATTATGAATACCATCATATACACTGTGACTCTCTTTTCTAGTTTGGTAAACATTAGAAGATATAAAGTATAATATTATTCAGTCCATATAAATCTTTTTTTTTTTTAAAGATTTTATTTATTTGACAGAGCACAAGGAGGTGGAGCAGCAGGCAGAGGGAGAGGAGAAGCAGGCTCCCTCCTGAGCAAGGAGCCTAATGTGGGACTCGATCTGGGATCATGACCGGATCATGACCATGGCACTCCCCCAGTCCATTTAATTCTTAATTTCACTCACATGGTAGGAAAGGTTCCTCTACGTTTCAGAGCTTCAATGAACAATGAATCTTTAAGAAATTATTTATCAATCTGATCACTTGATTTTTAAATTTTCAGATAAAATTTTAGAATATCTCAATTGTTTACAAAACAGTTAATTTAGGGGCACCTGGGTGGCTCACTTGGTTAAGTGGCTGCCTTCAGCTCAGGTCATGATCCCAAGGTCATGGGATGAAGCCCCAACTTGGCTCCTTGCTCAACGGGGAGTCTGTTTCTCCCTCTCCCTCTTTCTGCCACTCTGTCTACTTGCGCTGTCTCTATCCAATCAATAAAATCTTAAAAAAAAAAAAGTTAATTTATTTGAACCTCAGCTAATGATTATCCTCATCTTTCTAAGCTGTAGTCAAGAATAAGGGGGAAGGAACTAAGGAAGGCCCCAAAGGCAGAAGATTAAATGCCAAAGTCCACCACAGAAATAAAGACTATAAAATGAGGGCCTGTGACAACTATTTTTTTTTCTTATTTTATACACTTCCACCAAGATTTATCATTTGGTTTCCAAGATGATAGCATTCAGAGAGAGAAGGAGAGAAAGGTATATAGGTAAGCACCTATATAATCTAACGAAAGAGCGCGGCATAAGGAAGTAAACAATGTAAATACACATTCTCTTCCTCTCTGATTTTTCTTTCTCTTTCTGTCATTCCTTTGTCCTCACCCCACACACCCCCTTTCAACCTCTGCTCTCTTTTGCCAGTGCTGCAGAGAAGCAGCATTATAAATGTCCTAGGATTTAGTAAAAACTTCCTCCACGAATATTGGTCCCAACCACCTGCATTGATTTAAATTGTGCCTTTTTTTTTTTTTTTTAACAGGGACTCTGAGTAAAATGGAAGAGGAGATTTGCAATAGGGATTCTCTAATTCTTATGTTAATCCATTTTGTACTATTTTTACTTTGTCTCCCTGAGTTCTTCTCATCTATTTTCTTTATCTAGTGACATGAAAAGAGATGGGCTGTATTGAAGTGTCAAACCTGTCTAAAGCCTTTTTGCTTCTCGGTATGATTTGCTGGTGGTTAATTCTGGTGCAGCCACGATCTCCACTGTGATCTTGTAGGACAGCACCGTGGTGGTGATACTATAGGGCCCTGTTGGGAGAGGGTGCGGGTTAGCGGTCTGTGTACCACTAGGGAAGCTGCCCGATTTTCCCAAGGGTCAGAAACTATTTAGTGCTTGGTTTTCAGCTTCAGTTGGCAGTAATTTTTAAATACTTCTCTATTGAATCTTTTCTCTGTGGGATTAGGACTGTTAGACTGCTTTACTTGCCCTGCCTCTACAATTCAGTTGAGGAGGGGCATTCACTTTCTCACTCTGACCTTTCCAAGAGCTCTCCTGTTGGCATTTACGTTGCAAGGTCAAGCTGTACATGCACCGGATTGTGATCCCTGTGTAAATGGGTCTATTAGGTAAGAGTCAATGAGCCAAATTTAAAGGAATTAGAGATCAAAAATTACCTAATTCTTTATGTATGTATCAAAAAATATCCATTTTGAGCACCTACTATGTGGCAGATGGCACCAGAAAGAAAGAAGTTTCCCCTATCTTAAGAATCTCACTGTAGAGGAGAAAAATGATATACAAAGATAATTACTAGCTGTGGGAGCTTGCAGCCCAGGAGAGAACAACCAATACTTTTTCAGGAATGGGTAAAGGTTATGCAGAAGTAAGATTTGAGCTCAAGTGTTAGTTGATTTTTGTTTTAAAGTTCTATACACTAATCTCTTATGTTAAAGAAATCTGTATCGGGGCGCCTGGTGGCTCAGTGGGTTAAAGCTTCTGCCTTCAGCTCAGGTCATGATCTCAGGATCCTAGGATAGAGCCCCGTTTCTTCTAACTCCCCCACCTTGTTTCTTTCATATAATTTTCAGTAATATAGTTACAGCATTTCATGCATGTTGTCAATTCAAGAAAGCATGAACAACTTAAGCCTAACAAGTATCTGATTCTCTCCAACGATTAATAGTGTTTGGCACTTATCCTGATTTCATCTTGCTCTCAACTGTATTGTCAGATTATCACATTCATTTTTCTATTCCCCACAGATATTTATAAAATAAGAGTAAATTGTCAAATAATAGCAGCACGAGCAACTGCTGGGACCAAAACACCTGCAAAAATCTCTTTAAAAGATGCAAAATAAAGTGAGAGAACTGTAATAGGCAAGGAAGCTATAGGAATTAAGACAGCAAGTTTAGTGTTGCTGCAGAGATGAACTGACCAATAGAAGAGAATAGAAAAACAAGAAGCAATGCCATTTTGCTTTCTCTAAGCTGACGAACACCTGCAACAGTGTGACAATATAAACATGATAGCTGGGGGGTGGGTGGGGGTGCATATTGATACATACATAAAGAATTAGGTAATTCTAATTCTAATTCTAATTCTCTTCTCACCACTGGTGGGGCTGAGGTATGATCAGGTGCTCCAGCTTTGGAAAACCCAGACAAAAATCAGTAAAATTGAAGATGCCAGTATCCTCTGAGTCTGCAATTCTACCTCTAGGTATATGACCTAGGGCACTGTCTCCACCCATGGCTGCCATTAAATGTAAAATCTAGAGCATGGGGAATGATTTATTTTAAAGCTCCTGGCATGATTCTAATGTGCAGTCAGGTTTGAGAGCAGTGTCTTAGGGAAAGGAGGCAACCATGACCACTGAACATGTACAAGACTGTTTATAGAAATGTTAATATCAGCATAAGGGGAATTCCACATTTCCCCGACCCACCCCAAGAAGCATGGAAAATCAAAATGTAGTATACTCACAAAGCAGTAAAAAATAGAAAACAGTCCATAGGCTCTTTACGTGAATCTTAGAAGTGATGTTGGGCTTAAAAAGCAAATTTCAGAAGATTAGGTACCATTGTAAAACTCAGAAAACAAGCAAACTTAAACGTGATTTTGCTTAGGCTTACATCATATATGGTTAAAAAGATGCAAGGGATGTAACTTAGCATTTGGAGTAGTGGGAAGGCAGTGGAATATGGTGGAGGGACCACACACAAGTCATTTCAATGCTATTAATAATTTTCTAGTTAAGTTGGGTGATGGCTTCACAGATATTTATGTGACTTCATAACTTACATATGCTTCTGTGTACATGAAATACTACACCATATAAATATACTTAAAGGCCTTTTAAAATTTTTATTGCTTTATTGTATATCCTTCTAGTGTTTTTCTGCAAATAAATGCAAACATGAATGCATATTCTTATTTTCCCCCCTTACACAAAAATAGCATGTAAATTGTTCTAAACGTTTTTTCCCACTTGATCCTGTATACTGGAGATCTTTCCATATCACTACTTTTTTGAAAAAATATTTTTATTGTAGTATAATTAACATAGTGTTTGTTCAGGTGTACAATATAGTGCTTCAACACTTTTTAAAAAATGCTTCAACAATTCTATACATTATTCAGTATACTCTGAATCTGTTTTATCCAGCCCCCACACACCCTCATTTAATTACCCTTGTTCCTCAGAGTAGAACCTGTCCTTCTGTCCAGGTAATTAGAATGTTCCACACGTATCTAGAGCATTAAATCCTCCCATTTTGCAGGGATTCCCTTTGCCTAGAAAACAAATTGTCCTTGTGACTTGCATTTGCTGTTGCTGATGTCACATGTCACAATCAGCCTATTTGTTAATTTTGGCTTGGTTAACACTGGCAGTTACACTTTCTACCATCCATGATCTTCTAGGGGAAAAAAGGGCTTCAAATGTGTCTGAATATCTTATAAATGCCGACATTACCCAATATTTCCTTTTAGTTCCTCTACTCATTAAAGCTAATCCTTATGAAAACATTTTGAGTGTAACAGTAATAACCCCTGGGCATAGGGATTAAAAGTGTTGGTCCTGAAGCCAGACTTCTTGGGTTCAAATCCCAGCTCCATCATTAATTAGCATTATGACTTTAGGCAAATTAACCTTTGTTATACTTCCAATTCCTCATCTATAAAGTGGAGGTAATAAGAGAAACCTATTTATAGAGATATCCTATAGTTAAAGGAGTTCGTAAATTTAAAACATTTAAAAGACTGGCTGGCTCCTACTATTCAATTCATGTTATTATTATCTTGTGCATTTTTCTAAAATACAGCTTTCAAAGAGGATCCCCCCACCCCTGAATCCTTTAAAAATATTTTTTATAAGACTTGCTGTTCAAGAATATAAGTACCTATATACCTTTCCTATTACTCATTTATGTCTTCACTTCTTTTTCAATAATTCTCTTCTTATGTCCCAAAGGATTTAATTGGGGAATGACAATCTCATCAGGCTACTTTAATATCTTTCTATGTGCCAATTACTTTACATATGTTAATTTAATTCTAAACACAATTGTTTAGAAAGGCATAATCTTTCCCATTTAACCAATGAAGAGATTGAAACAAGAGAGTTTAGGTGTCTTGTTTCATATCAAACAGCTGGTTTCAGAGCAGAATTAGCACATAGGTTTTTCTGATTACAGACCTTAATCACCATACCACACTGACAAGTGTTTTCAGAAGATAATACCAGTGCAAGTGTGGAGTTTGGACTGAGGAAATGAGACTGGAAGTGGAAAATATTGGGATTGGGTCAGCTTCATGCACGTACTTGAACATGTGAATGAAAATAAAATGAACAGAAATAAAAATAAGGCTTACATGTAATAAGGGAGGTTTTGTTTTCAGAGATGTTAAAAACAGTATAAATTTCTTTGAATCCATTAGGAAGTACTTGCCAGCTACTGGTTAAAAAGCCTTGACTATAGTAGCTTGAAGGAATTAGGATACTTAAATGAAGTCAGGCAGCTAGTAGGCAGTTATGAGACCGGAGGCTTTTTCTGGCTTCCTCCTCCACCATCTTCAGGGTATGGATTCAATCCTTAAGTCATAAAATTGCTGCTGGGCTCAGGTCATCATGCCCACATTCCAAGCAGGGGAAATAGGGAGAGTAAGCAGAAAAGAGACCAAATGGCTTTCATAAAAGCCCTCCTCAGTGACTTTTACTTATATATCTGCCACTCCACATACCAAGCCTGGGAATGTAGTTCTCCATTTGGGTTTATTGTCCAGGATTCTGCTACTAAAGGAGAGAAAAGTATTTAGGCAACCACAAGTCTCTCCCACTCCCTAATTATGATATGCTGTTTTTAATTTTTGTCACTTTTAAAAGAAATAAATGCAGGAGAAATAGTGCTAATTAACAAACAACACCGTGGTTGTATAAAGCAAAAAGTATAATTCTTTATTTCACTGCTGTCCTTGTCCCATTTCCTCTAGTTAACATTTATAAAGCCCAGAACATATCCTATAACAATAGGAATTAAGAGCAAACAGGGAAAACGGAGGAAAGAAATTAAGGAAACCAATCAAGAAAACTTCCTCGAACCAAAGGGCATGAGTTGCCAGACTGAAAGGAGTGACTGGATACACAGAGCACCAACGAAGACGTGGATCTGTATCAGAGACATCACGGAGAAACTCGAGAGTAGCACGGACAAGAAGATGATGTAAGATTTCAGATAAAAACAGGTCTCATACAATGGATCAGGGATCTTAGTTGTTTTGGACTCTTCATCAGGAATATGTAAAGCAAATTTCTCCATATGGACCTTTTCCACTGGGTTTCTTCAGTATGTTCGTCACAGAACAGCTGCATTTCTGCAAAGACTGATCCAAGGGAGCAAAGACGAAGCCACACTATCCACTAAGGGCTCTGCTAGCACATTTTAAACTTTACCACAATTAAGTCCTTTCAGTTTTCCCCTGATAAATCTCATGGTTTAACTGAACCAAGCCTATTTGTTCTGTGTATGGACAAAATTTTATATATATATATAGATATGAATAGTACTAATCTCCCAGGATCATATTTTTCTACTTCTGCCTCCCAATCTCCTCCCATTAGAGGAATCTAATGGATTCCTCTGTGTTCTTTCAACATGGACTTGATTTATGATAGATATAATGTTAATGGCTTCTCCTAACTCAGGTTCAGCGATTCCCATCACTACTCTTATGGGACTGCCAAAGGGAATCAATGTGTTATGGAACTTCACCCTTAAAGGATGCAAGCAGCAGCCCCAATCTGTGTAAAAGACTCAGATCTTTAATGGGGTTCCCCCAACCTAACTACCTTCCATTAGAGGAAAATAAACTTCTGACCAAGTTTACTCCTTCAAAGCCTAGTTCAGGAGAAAGTATGTTTAAGGGCAAGGGGAAATGCTGATGTCCCACTGGCTTCTTTCCTTCTAAGACCCAGAGGGGAGGGGACCTTACTATTTTGGCTCAACTATCCTTTACTTAGAAAAACAAGTTTGGGGCATCTCGTGGCTCAGTTGTAAAGCATCTGCCTTCAGCTCAGGTTGTGATCCCAGAGTCCTGGGATCAAGCCCCATATTTGGCTCCCTGCTCAGCCTAGAGCCTGCTTCTCCCCTTCCAGCTCCCCTGTGCTTGTGTTGCCCCTCGCTATCTCTCTCTCTTATAAATAAATAAAAAATTCTTTTTTTTTTAAATTTTAAAAGATTTTATTTATTTGACAGAGATCACAAGTAGACAGAGAGGCAGGCAGAGAGAGGAAGGGAAGCAGGCTCCCTGCTGAGCAGAAACCTGATGCAGGGCTCAATCCCAGGACCCTGGGATCATGACCCGAGCTAAAGGCAGTGTGAGCCACCCAGGCGCCCCAAATAAATAAAAATTCTTAACAACAACAACAATAACAAACAAGTTTAATTGGGGCTCATGGATGGCTTGGTAGGTTAAGCGTCTGCCTTTGGCTCAGGTCATGATCTCAGGGTCCTGGAATGGAGCTCCGCATCAGGCTCCCTGCTCAGAGGGGAGTCTGTTTCTCCCTCTCCCTCTGCCTCTCTTCCCGGTTTGTGCTCTCTCTCTCTCTCTCTCTCTCTAAAATAAATAAATAAAACCTTTAAAAATAAAAAAGTAAAAGAAAAACAAGTTTAATAAAAGTATTTGTCAAGTGAGGTCCTTTTGAATAATAATACTAAGGTATATATTCAGAATTTTTAGTCAAAGCATCTGAATCCTGACCATATTTATATATTTATTTGTTTATGTATTTTTTTACATGATACAAAAATTACCTGTAGGGACATATCTCATATATGGGATGGAAATTATTTCATCTTTTTAGCTCAACATCAATGTTAGATAACCATATTAGAAAAAGGAAAATATCTTCTGCTCTACTCAGTTGAAAGTTGACGTTTTCTCTCATAGCATCCTGTTTTTTTTCTAATTGTGACGATTTGCCATGTACATAAAAATTATACAAACATAAAGACACACACACACACACAAATGTGCTTGTTCTTAGATATTATCTTCTGAGCTTCACTTGGGTTTATGAATTTATAAACATTAATAGATGAAAATGAGGTAATGACTGTTTTACGTGTTATCAGCCATTTGGTCTAAGGGGCTACATTTGTGTCTTTAGAGGCCAGCACGGTGTTTTTTTTGTTTTTGTTTTTTTTAAAGATTTTATTTATTTGACAGACAGAGATCAAAAGTAGGCAGACAGACAGGCAGAGACAGAGGGGGAAGCAGGCTCCCTGCTGAGCAGAGAGCCTGATGAGATAGGGTGCTTGATTCCAGGACCCTGAGACCATGACCTGAGCCAAAAGCAGAGGTATAACCCCCTAAGCCACCCAGGCACCCCACAGAGGCCAGCACAGTGTTTTAAAGAAGTTTGATTTTCAAAGCTTTTGGATGAAATATACATGTTATCTGCCTGAAGGCATTTGAGCTTGATAGGCGATAAAGCTGGCAGACATTTCTATTTATGTCATATTATTGAAATCATAGTTTGACTATCTACAGTATGTGAGTTAAGTATGTTGCCTCTTTTTAATACAGTGCATGAAAGTATTAATAATGCTATGTCCTAGGCACTTAAATAATTTCATCCATTGTTAACATGAAATTAGTAATATGTTTAGAAGTCTTAATATGAAAGAGCTACAATTTATTTCAAAATATTGGAAGTTCACAAAAATAGCTAATCAAACAGATGAGACAATGTATCTATGATGCAAAGATAAAAAATATTAGTAAAGAATATTTGGAAATGAAAACTAAAACACCAGATTCGGATGTTGTAATCAATGTAGAGAATGATATTGTATAAAATACAAATTTCAGCTAGATATTTTTATGTTGAGATTTATGGGAGACTATAATAAAACATGTTGAATACACATAATACATTATTAGTAACTAATAAAATAGTTTACTAATAACTATTAAGATAATGTGTTAATAACAGTTAATAACTTCTAAAAATTGTTAAGCCACAATCACATACTTGTTTTGGGGCTTATTATTTGGTAACTGTGTATCCCAATGTAGTACAAATTCCATGAGGGCCGGGCTGTCTGCTTTATCACTAGGTCATATTCTGTACTTAACACGCCTATTGTCACATAGAAGGTCCTCAGTGAATGTTTGTTCCATGAATGGCCAGGTCACAGGTTCAGTTGAGTGATCTGTGGTCCCTTTGATCTGTTATTATTGCACAATACTTTACAGATCTTGATGGAAACTACTGAAATAGGGATATTAAGTGGTGAATGCTGCCACTATAAAGAGACTTAAGGTATTTATCCATTAGCTGATATACAAAATGGAAACTTGGCACATGAAAAGTGATTTCAGGTTTTTAAGTCCCAACTTGGCAGATGAAAAATTTAAGAGTGTAAAGCACGGAACACCTGGGTGGCTCAGTCGGGTAAGCAATTGACTCTTGATTTCAGCTCAGGTCATGATTCTCAAGATTGTGAGATTGAGCCTTATGAAGGGCTCTGTGCTGAGCAATGAGCCTGCTTAGGATCCTCTCTCTCCCTCTGCCTCTGCTGCTCCTCCCCCACTCATGTGTGTGCTCTCTCTCTTTAAAAAAAAAAAAGTATAAAGCACAATGTTTAAAAATGTAAATACAACATTTGAATTAACATTGATAATGACCTAAAATCAAAGCAAGTAAAAATGAAGGTTTGGTGTATACCATGAAACAGAATAGTCTTATAAAAGAACTGTCTGGTCATGAGGATTAGTAGCTAGCTAAAAGTAGGAGGAGACTCAGAGGAATCTAATCTGAATTGGAGGTTAGCAGTGCCTTTGACTTTCCTAGGCACAGAAGAGAAGAAATAGATTTGGGGATAAATAATAAGATCTGCTTGGGAATACACTGAATTTGAGGTGTATGTGGGGCATTCATATGGAAATATATACATATATATATATATATATATCTTAATTTTGCTGCTAACTTGCTAAAACTTTTACTCAAACTATAAAGAAAAAAAACAGCATGAAAATACCTTTTTAGCATCTTTATAAAAATACAGGTTGTTTAGCACAGTTTAAATTCCAATTTAAATTCCAATTTAAAACCCATCTCGTGGTTCTCTTCCTCAGGTAATATATAATAGAATGGACTTTTTTTTCTTTTGGAAGCCAATTATTTTCCAGATATAAACCCACCACCAACAACACGGGATTAAGTATTCACCCCTCTTGAAAGTTAAGCCGAGGTTCAATCTTCAGGAGAAATTAATTTTGTCTTCATTTAGTAGCTTGGAAGATGGTGAGTTGTTTTTTAAATAAGCAGGATCAAATTAGTCAGTTTTGCAGTACAGGGAAATCCAACTCTTGCGGGAGAGTTATTACCCTAAAAGTAAGTAACTCTGGAGACCAGCAATCAGGTGTAACTAAGTGAACAACAGCCAGCTTCCATCTATGCAAGAACGCACATTATCTTAGACCCACAAAGAAGAAAGGGCTGCTGGTACCTTTGGGCAAAGGTAAAGAAGCACTTTAGATATTTATTAACTCACTTGATCCTCATAACAATTATATGAGATATTATCATGCCATTTTGCAGGTGAGGAAGCAGGTTGAAATAATGTGCCCAGGGTCACATACTAGTAAATGGTTCAACTGGAATTTTAACCCAGGAAATTCCAGCCCCAGTGTCTATCCTCTTACCCACTACAATAAACTTCTTAAATATGGGAAGTCCTAATGCTGACATGAAAAATCTGGAAATGAAACTGCATCAGTGGAAACGCTTGACCTACTTTTATTTTCCGGGATAGTTTCAATTCAGTAAAATTTTGTATTTCAATAAATGTTAATTCACTAAATAAAATGGTGTGACTTGCTCCTTCCAAGGGCAGTTTAGTAATGTCAAGATTTCTCTGCCTCTCCCAGCTTTCTGACAATGGGTAAATCATTAATTGCCACTTGACTCAATTTCTGTATTATTGGTAAATAATGGTTTACCAACAATCTTTATACACTTTTAAGGATTAAATAGGATTAGGTAAGTAAAGCTTTAAAACAGTGCTTACGGGGGGGGGGGGCGGGGAAGCAGTGCTTGTTGTATAAACATTAGTTATTATGCCTTTTAAGACTTTTTTGGTCAATAAATCACAAAACTAAAATTTCAATGTTTTATTGGAAAATCTGATTACAGCTGGGCTTATTCTCTCACAGTTTCCATTTATCCTTTCTTTCCATATTCCCCTTTATTATCTCTTATACTACAAAAGGTTAGGAAAAGATGAAATATTCATTTTAACAAATATTTGAGTGCATAGGAGGTACTGGCGATATAAAGGTGATGAAGACAGATGTGGTTTCTTAGGGAACTTACTATCTGGAAGTCAAGAGAAACACTGAATAATTAAAAGCATTACCTAGGTCTGGAAAAGTAAATCTAAACGTTCTTGACGGGAAGAAAATGAGGAGGCTAAAACAGAAGGCACAAAACGTGGTGCAGATTGGAGACGTGATACTCATTAGGGTTGCAAATGACAAATCCTGCTCCCAAGTTTCACATTAGCAACTAAGTAACGTGTGAGGAGTTGAGATTCCTTCTGTGGCCCGTAGCTAACGTTCCGAAGGTAACCCAGCCCTTGCTGGAGAAGCTGATTGCTTATTGGCCACGTGGTTACACCTAAACTACATTTCAACCTGCGTTCTGTTTAGCCACACCCTTTCACCTTAACCACACCTCTTGATTCACGAAGCTCTTCGTCAGCAAAGGAAATATCGCGAGAATTCTACATTGCCTCCCATTTGACGTTTTCAGCGGTAGTTGTCGCTTTTATTCTCGCGATATGTTCGGGTAAACGGGAGCCCGGGCGACCCGGGCTTCTGTGAAACATGGCGGTCGGCTGATTCCGTAACACAAGGTAAAATACTGAAACCCCGTTGGGTGCTGTTTTCCCGATTATTCCAAGGCTGTTCAGGGCGTGAATGTGGTTAAGGGGGCTGAGAATCTGTCACGAGATGGGCTCCCTGTCTTCATCACTGTCCTTTGGGAAGAGGGCCGGACTGGGGAGCCGCTCCACCTACCCCGGGGGCGTTGCTGGCAGGACCCTGGGTAGCGCTGCACCTGGGAGCCCCCATCTCCCCAGTCCTGTGTCTCTGCGCTGTCTTGCAACTTGAAGGAGTTTAAGTGCTTCCCCGATAGCTGCTGACCCTGACCCATTGCTTCTCCCAGTGGGTCCTCTGGTCCTCAGGGAGAAGGGTCCCGTGTTATGAAGACCAGCCAGATCGTGGACCCATTCTCCCGGGTGTCTGGCTCCCCACCCCCATTCAGGCAAATAGCAAATTCTTGGCAGCAGGTTGCTCACTTTAAGAAAGACATAGGTCTTGGCCTCGCCTCGAAAGAGTTTCCCACGCCTCTTGGGGAAGTGAGAAAGGGGCAGGGCTGGCGAGATGCTATAGGAGAGAGGTTTGAGCGTTAACTACTTTACTTATAACCTTCTAGGGTTAAGAAAACTTCGGAAGGTAACTTTTCAATTGAAGGTAGAAAATAGCCTTAGGTATAGTAGTATATGGAGTTGATAGGTTATTGAGAAAACTTGTTTAAGTTTTATGTTTAGAATTTAGTGCCCTCAACACAACGCAGAGTTACATAGTATCTTAAAATGTTTCAAGACTGGCTTTCAGAAGCAGTTAAAGATACATTTAAAAACAAGATTTGTTCATTTGTTTGAAGTTGTATTTAAATTGTTGCCTAGCCTGATACGTTGAACTCTGGTATATAGCCGTTAAAAGAAATGAATCAGACTGTTCACTGAAGAATTCAGGAAATGCTTGTTTTGTTTATCGATATCTTTAAATTGATGCAGTTATTCCAGTTGTCCTAGAGGAAAAACATGAAAAAAATAAGTTTCATCGTTTGGGGGGAATGGGGAAGAGAGGAGTTTTGTTTTGTTTTGTTTTTAATAATAAACTTTAGTACACAACTGAGTTGAAATGGGTTGAGGGTACAGATCTTTAAAAAACATGTCAAGCTTGAAAGATCTCTCAAAGGAAATCAGGCCTAGTCTGGAACATCAAAAGAAAAAAAGAATTAGAAAAAATATATAAATTTATTTTATTTAGGGATTAATGGTTTAATTAGAAGAAATAGTGAAACTTATTTTTTTTTAAGATTTTATTTATTTATTTGACAGACAGAGATCACAAGTAGGCAGAGAGGCAGGCAGAGAGAGAGAGAGGGGAGGAAGCAGGCTCCCTGCAGAGCAGAGAGCCCGATGTGGGGGGCTCGATCCCAGGACGCTGGGATCATGACCTGAGCGGAAGGCAGAGGCTTTAACCCACTGAGCCACCCAGGTGCCCCGTGAAACTTATTTTTAATGACAGTTACATTTAGGCAGTCTGCCAGCTAACAAATACTATTTAACAAGTTTTTCGGTATTTATTCTGATTCTTCCTCTTAATGTCATGATGGGCAAATTAACCTCTTTGTGTTTTAGTTTCCTTGTCTGCAAAATTGGAATAATAACATCTAACTCATAGGATTGTTGGTGAGGATTAAATGAGTGAACACATGCACTTAGAACAATGCCTGTCATACAGTTAACATTCATTCAATATTCACTCTTGTTATTTAAAAAGTTTTGTTTCCTAACTTCGTAGTTACTCACAAGATAATTCCTTGGGGGGCACTTGGGTGGCTCAGTGGATTAAAGCCTCTGCCTTCAGCTCAGGTCATGATCTCAGGGTCCTGGGATCGAGCCCCACATCGGGCTCTCTGCTCAACCGGGAGCCTGCTTCCTTCTCTCTCTCTGTCTGCCTCTCTGCCTACTTGTGAGCTCTGTCTGTCAAATAAATAAATAAATAAATAAAATCTTAAAAAAAAAAAAAAGGTATTTCCTTGGTACTTAGTCAACATATAGACTGAAGAAGGTGCTTTCTAATGTAATTTCTTTCTGATCCCAAAAGAAATTAAACACTCTTCTTCTATATAGTTAGTATGTCTGTAAACTCTATCTTGCAATGGCTTGCATTCTTAAGCTGTTCTCCTTTCAGTTACTAAGGTACAAATTCCTTCTTTCTACTACTCCATACAGTCTTAATATAGTCTAGGTTAGTGCTGCTCTTGGTGCCCTGTAAACCCATTCTTGTATTTGAAGACATTCATTCTATTATAAATGTATTTCATGTGTCCCTGACCTTTCCCACTTCACTTTTGTACACTTTTATTGAGTAGTTAGTACAGTCAAGCTGTTAGTACAGTCACGCTGTTATTTGAGGAGGATTATATTTATCTTTGCTTCACGTTGCTGCCAGGCACTTCCAAATTGTTGTGTTGCCATCACTCTATAGCCTCTTCTCTTAGCTTTTCTATCAATTTATATCAACCTCAGTCTATTCATGATACTATTAAATAACCTTAGATACTATACCACTTTCCTCAAGGATTTTAAGATAAATTTCAAATATCCTAGAAATCTTTGCATTTCTTTTGAGAATTAGAAACATTTACCAATTGACTCATTTTTATCTTTGTAAGAAACTGTGAGGTAGCCATTATGCCTCCCTACCTCCTTTAAAAGTAAAGTATAATAGATACTGGGATGTTGAGGATCTTTCCAAATTTGTGACATGGCTAGTAAGTGACTAGATATTAACCCACGTTTTTTCGGGTCACAAAAGTTGTATTTATACCATCTTACTCAGCTTCTAAGTATACCTTTTTTTTTTTAATCACTTAGAATGTTACTATATTTGAATTATGTTGGGATAAATAGTTTTAAAGACAACATGAACGCTATTGTAAAAAGTCTACGTTTTAAAGTGAAAAGAATAAGTACTTTTGGAGGGATATCTAGTATTTGTCTTGTCAAGTGAAACTAAGTTATCTTTCATACTAAAATTTTAGTGTAAAGTATTTTAATGCAATATAATCAAGTAATTTAAAGTTACAGATAAGTTGTTTTGCTTTTTGTTTCTGAAGTTCACTGATGGCCTGAATAATATCTGTCCTGTGTCCTTTCTCATTCTTACTAATGGCTTGTGTGAGTTTCATAGGGCTGCTGTGGCAAAGTACCATAAACTGGTTGGCTTAAAAACCTCAACATGGGGGCGCCTGGGTGGCTCAGTGGTTAAAGCCTCTGCCTTCAGCTCAGGTCATGATCTCAGGGTCCTGGGATCGAGTCCCGCATCGGGCTCTCTGCTCAGCAGGTAGCCTGCCTCCTCCTCCTGTCTCTCTCTGCCTGCCTCTCTGCCTACTTGTGATCTGTCTGTCAAATAAATTAAAAAAAAAAAATCTTTAAAAAAAAACAAAAAAAACAAAAAACAAAAACCTCAACATGTATTCTTTCAGAGTTCTGGAGCCTAGCTGACTGAAATTAAGGTCTCGGCAGGGCCGTGTTCCCTCTGAAGGCTCTGGGAAATAATCCTTTCTTGCTTCTTGTAGCATCTGGATAATCCTTGGCTCTTCTTGGTTTTTGGGTGCATCCCTCTAATCTCTGCGTCTGTCTTCACTGGCATTCTCTCCTGGTTACATGTTTTCACCTGGCCTTCTTACAAGAACACCAGTCACTGGATTTTAGGCCACCCTAATCCAGTATGATCTCATCTCAACTAATTACATCTTCAAAGACCCAAATATTTCCAAATAAGGCCCATTCACAAATACCAGGAGTAGGACTTCATTGTCTCCTTTTAGGGAACACACTTCAGCCTGCAACATGGTCATATGTGTTAACCAATTAAATATTTCTCAGATTGCCAAATATGTATTAAACATAGAAGTTAGCTCATAAAATGTGGGTAGCAGAAGTAAAATTGTTTCTCCATTTTTATTTGGAAAAGTAGTTAAATTTAAGCAGACTAAAAGGTGTCATGAATTCTGTGTTTTAATTTTGGCAAAGCATCTCATAGTCTCATTATATTCAGATGGACGCAATGATTAAATATGGGCTGTATGACATTACTTAGATTGAGTAATGATTTTATGTGTCAGTGTTCCAGAATGAAAGGTGGTTTCTTGTTTTTTTAGGCAGTTTTTCAAAGCATTGTCTTAGTCTCCGCTGTTATCAGTGACTCCCTGGACTTCGTTTGTTTTGCTTCTTTTTTTTTTTTTTTTTAAACCGTGAATCTGTTTTTGGCTTTAAGTTTGTTTTGCTTCTTAATATACATGGTGGTTTAGGGGAGAAATTGAAGAAAATGGGTATGTTACTGGAGAATGGGAAAGTATGAAGAGCAGTACCAACCAGTGGGCAAATGAATCAAATGCAGTGGCTTGTAAATTATTATTTTTGTGGACCAGTACACAAAACAGGGAAAGGGGCTGCATTTGAGGACTGATGTAGAATTGCAGTTTTTAATCCAAAAATCAAAACAAATCAAAACGTCTGTTATCTACCTTTATCATTTCATAAAAGAAAGAACATTTTGACACATTAAAAAAAAAAGGAAGGAAATAATCTTGAATATAAGATGTTTAAATTGACTATATTTAGCTTTAAAAGTTTCCTGTATTGTCCTTGATTTTTTCATTAAGGTTCAAAAAAGAAAATTTTATAACAGAATGGCAGTGACTTCTGGAAACCAGTGATCTAGGAAATTTTCCTTTCTTTCTTCCTTCCTTCCTTTCTTTCTTTTTAAAATTTATTTATTTGAGAGAGAAAGAGCACAGGCAAGGTTGAGGGGTGTGGGCAGAAGGAGAGGGAAGGAGTTTTAAGCCTACTCTTCCCTGAGAACAGAGTCCAGTGTGGGGCTTGATCTCATGACCCTGAGATCATGAGCTGAGGTAAAACCAAGAGTTGGATGCTTAACTAACTGAGCCACCCAGGTGGCCTAATCTAGGGTATTTCTAAATGCATTTCTTAAAATGACTGACCAAGCTAGATGGAGAAGCATATAAATTGGGAATGGGAGTAGTGGAACTGGATACTGGGAGAAGTCCAAGGGGTTGGAAACATAGGGATAATGAAGAACAAATTCTGTCCTAGTTAGGAAATTAAAGAGCCTGAAGGATAATTGATTCTGCTCAGAGAGGAAAATTAGTGTTTTAGATTTTAGAAATCAAGAAGTTCTAGAAGTTAAGAGGAGCCAAAACATGGTCTTGCTTTATGTGGGTTTGCATAGATCTAAGTCACTGGCATTGAACATCTGTCACACTTACATGGCAAAAGCATTGTCATTGTGAATGAATGTCATTCATTCACATCCTGTGGAGGATGAGTGTCATAGGGTCATGACTTGCAAAGGATTGTGATGGAATAGGGAAGAAGAGAAGCATATTGAATGATCCAGGTGCTAGAGTCATTAAGGAGATTTTAAATATATCCAGATGTTAGTAGAAGATGATCATAAGTACTCAAGTGTCAGTGCACACTGTGGTTTGGAGCATGGACTCTGGAGCCTAGCTGCTTGGGATCAAATCCAGGTTCCATCACTTGCTGTGTAGCCCTGCAAAACTTACTTGACTGTTCTGTACCTCAGTTTCTTTATAAATGAGCAGAAATAGTATCTACTTCATAGGGTCGTTTAGAGGGATAAATGAATAAATATATACAATCCTTCAAATAATACCTAACACATAGTATGAGGGCTATAATTCTGTATAGTATGTGTTTATTATTAGAAGTAGAAGGGAAGAGGTGATTGAGAAGTCACATGATATATAAAACATGTGCTGCATATGTAAAGCCCTATGAGTCTCAGAAGTGATGTGAGGAGTTGAAGGGAATTACCACCATGAAAATGTAAAGTTTCATGAAGGAAGCAGGTAAAAGGATGCTTTTAGAAAAACTAGAAGTTATTGGATAATTGGTTCATTGATCAGAACAGTGCCTCTGTGGAGTAGAGTGGCAAGTATTGGGGATAGAATGAGTTTCTTAGATGTTGGTTAGTGCTGATCTAACGGGAATGGGACAGGAGTGGCAGAGGGGCAAGGTGCTCCCGTCTAAAAGAGTGATCGTGGAAAATAAGAATGGAGGCTACTAGATAGAGGCTGGGAAGTAGCCAGGTGGGAGGGGTGCTGAATAAGCTGTATGAATTGTTAGGTTTGTAAAACCAGTTGCTGTCCTATCTTTATATATGATTTAAAAGAAAGCATTCATAAAGCTTCTAAAAATAAAGTTTAGGAGTAAAATTCAGTTTTATTCATTTGCTTAACAATGCTATCTATACCTGTTATGTGCCAACCACTGTTCTAAGTACTAGGACTACTAGAGTGAAAAAAACAAAAATTGCTCTCCTTGTGGATCTTATATTTTTATATATTTACTTATATAACTGTTTTAATTCAAAGCTGTGCTGTCGTAGGTATTTCTGGGGAAATTTCCTTCCTTCCTTTTTTGGGGAATGTCCTTTCTCCCCTCCCTCCTTCCCTTCCTTCCTTCCTTCCTTCCTTTTTTCCCCTTTGTATTTATTAAATACCATTGTGCCAGGCATTGGAGATACACAGATCAAGGGAGACAGTTTCCTGCTCAGACATCACAGTGGAGAAAACAGAGAATCAAAAAAGCAGTTGAATCTGAATTGTCTTTGGAATGACCCAATGAAAATGTCATAGAAAGAAAAATGCATACATGTCTGCAGAGAGATTTGTACTGGGAATAAAGATTTGAAAGGAATCAGCATGTGGATGAAAATTGTAGGGATGGGAGACCACTGGGGGAAAATGTTGGGGTTGGGAGGAACACCCAAGTGCAGAATCCAGAAGGAGGAAGAATCTGTACAGTTCGCCAAAGAAGGTCTTTGAGGTAGAATGAAAATCAGGAGTATAGTATCACTTAAGCCAAGGTAAGATGCTGTTTTGAGAAGAAAAAGAAGTGATAAACTACTTTTTCAGAGACAAAATTAGATAAGGACTAAAAAGTATCCATAGTATTTCATACTAAAGTAGTTGTTAATGACCTAGCTCAGATCAAATTTAGGTAAGGGGTGAGCATGTAGTGAGGAAGTAGTCACAGTGTACAAATGGGGACAGTTCATTTTTTTTTTTTTTAAAGTAAAGTCTGCCCCCAGAAACTTTGACCACCCTGAGATCAAGAGTCACATGCTCTATTGACTGGGCCAGGCAGGTCCCCGGACTATTCATTCTTTTACGTTTGGCTGATAGATAAACAGCCAGAGATCTATAGTTGGAGTTGGACTTGACTTAATGTAGCGTTTTGTTCTAAAGATGAGAAGTTTGAACATGTTTAATATTTAATTCCAGTAGGAATGAGTAGAAATTGAAAGATTGAAGAAGGATCAATCTTGGTGTAGTTACCACTAAAAAGGTACAGAAAACAAATTTGATTACCCTGATTTGAACAAACTTAGGGAGCACACCTTACGCCTACAAACACTCAGAAGCTTAATTTACATCTGCAAATACCAGTTTTATAATTGTCATGGGGATCAGAAACTCATCTGTCATGTCTAGATGTCTTCCTTTTTCCTTAAGTAAAACATGCACATGAAAAGCAAAATTATAATCTAAAAGCAACATTGTGCATATGGAATAGGAAAGAGAAGTTTGTTGGGTCTTTTTAATAGCAAACGAAATCAACATGTTAATGCATCCAGTTTCACTTTGGAGCAGTAGGCCCCTCGTGGACTGATGAGTAGTGCCCCCGGTTAGGGACTGGTCTCATGGACAGTGTTCGTGATCACTGCCGGTTTTTACTTCTCTGACTTTTTGTTCACAGATGCGCTTTCCGTGGCCTTTTCTTTCCATATGAATCCTTCCCACAGAATTTCAGATGAGCTTTTCTGCTTTCTTCTAGAGACACTGTTTTTCTTTTAGTGGCTCCTGCAGCCATTTGATTTATTCTATTAGGTGTTGATTTTATTAATACAATTTGATTTCTAGTAATGCTTTGTAGTATCAGCTGTGGTATTATTTATATAAATCAGTCTTATAAAATTATATGAATATTTGAGAATTCAGTTATTTTTATGACTTTGTAACATATTTTAGATATAGTTGGCATACTGGTCAAAAAAGGAATACCAAACAGTCGATTTTTAAACAATATTTTTATTATAGAAATAGATAATTTAGAAAGTCCAAATTCTGTTAAAAAGACAACTAAAATCCTCCCATGATCTACTTTTAACATTTTTGCCTATAGACTTCAAATCAGTTTCTTGTATCTTTCCTGTTTCCCATAAAACTGGACTTATACAACCTTCTAGTCTTTTCCTAATATATTATGCATATTTTCCTATATCATTAACTGTTTTCTTTTATAAGATTTTCAGTGTTTACATACATTCAGAGCTTTTAATTCAACATAGTTTGTATTGGCTACCCAGTGTTTCTTTCTTTCTTTGATATTTAAAAATAACTGTGAGAATTATCCTTATAATGAGAATTATCCTCATAATGAGAATTAGTCTCATAATCAAAAAGTTTTGGTGACAACAAGATTATTACCTTAGGATACTTTCCTAAAAAGGGAATTTACTTAGTCAAAAGGAGAATGGTGATTATTTATATTCTGGCTAGCAGTAGATTAGCATGCCTGTTTAATTTATTTCATTGTCATCTGTTGGTGGGAAAGTATTTTATTATTTGTTAATTTAATAGAAGAAAGATTCTTCTTTTTTTTTTTTTTTAAGATTTTATTTATGAGAGAGAGCATGCGAGCATGAGAAGAGGGAGGGTCAGAGGGAAAAGCAGACTCCATGTTGAGCAGGGAGCCTGATGCAGGACTCGGTTCTCAGTCCTGGGACTCAAGGATCATGACCTGAGCCGAAGGCAGTGGCTCAACCAACTGAGCCACCCAGACGCCCCAGAAAAATTATTTCTTATTTTCTTTTGTATATTTAAATACTTTGAATGTGAATTGCTTTTCACGTTTTTGCTGTTTAATGTATTTGTGTGTGTAAATTGCCTTTCATTAGTATTTTTTGCCAGGGTGGGGTGGAGAAAGGAGAGGTGTGGCTAAGTATTAAGCTTTTTTCCTCAAGGAGGTATGAAAATGTTAAGTTGTTCCAAGAACATTTGTCAGTTATCTAAAATTAAAAGAAACCTTTGTATCTTTTTTAGAGTATTCATGTATTCATTTTTATTCCTTAGCATGACTATATGAAAGAAGAAGAAGGTTTTCCTGAAGATGAGGCGACTGAATCGGAAAAAAACCTTAAGTTTGGTGAAAGAGTTGGATGCCTTTCCAAAGGTTCCTGACAGCTATGTAGAGACTTCAGCTAGCGGGGGTACAGGTGCGTGTGGTTCCAATTAAAACAGCTTCCCTGAGTGCAGCTTCTTAGGGAGCCAGTCGACAACACACAGAAATGTAGTCCTGAAGAAGAACTCATCAATGAATTGCACAATAACTTTGTGACTCATCTGTCCTCTGTTTGCCCTAATTTTATTGTCACGTGTATTTTCTTTGGCATCCAACCCAGTGCAGTCTATGCATTTAGCAGCATTTATGAGAACATTACTGAACAAATTAATCCAATTTTACTGCTTTGGTGCTCTTGAGTTATGTATAATTATATATAAATAAAATTGAACTTGCAAGAAGTTATTTAACAAACTTGAACTGCTTCAGTCCTGTTTTGGTTAAGAATAAATCAAGTTAGACATTATAATAGAAATGCTTAGATTTCACATTACTGGAGAGAGGCAGCCTGAGGTAATTGTTAAAAGGCTTAGACTCTGGAACCAGACTGTCTGGATTTAAATCCCACCTCTACCCCTTCGTAACTACTTGACCTTAAGGAAGTTACTCCTTTTAACTTAAGGAAGTTGATCCTTCTATGTTTTAGTTTCTTCTTCCATGAAATGGGGATAATATCAGCATTTACCTGGTAATGTTACTCTAGTGATTAAGTAAAGTAATATTTATAAAATGCTTAACTCAGTACCTGGTACAGATAGAAGTGTTCGTTAAATAAAATAAATATGAATTATATAAGAAAAATATGCAACTATGACAGTATTTAGTATTTTCTTTCCCCATGAAGAGCTTATAAAATATTTCACATAAGATTGACATTTCAGGGGCTCCTGGGTGGCTCAGTGGGTTAAAGCCTCTGCCTTCAGCTCAGGTCATGATCCCAGGGTCCTGGGATCCGGCCTCGCTTTGGGCTCCTGGCTCAGTAGGGAGCCTGCTTCCCTTCCTCTCTCTCTCTGCCTGCCTCTCTGCCTACTTGTGATCTCTGTCTGTCAAATAAATAAAATTTTTAAAAGAAAAAAAAAAACCTGACATTTCATTTGATAAAATGTGTAGTTAAGTTGCTTGCCATTTCTAATCTGTGATTAAATTTTTTAAATGAAAATAGTGGAAGTTCTTGTTGCACAATACATTTTAAATGTATTTTGTCACAGTATAATTTTTTTTTTTTTGTCAGATCTTTTACTTGTTTTTGTAAATGAGGTAGTATATTTAGGAGATTCCAAAGTAGATGAGAATTTTATTAGAGATTTGGAGATGTTATTTGAGTTTCTGGTACACAGATTATCATGGCTTCTCAGGAGCTACGAATTTGTCTAGTTTTTTTTATAGATTGGGCTACAGGCATGGATGAGTTTTTAATTATGAGGGGACTGCTTTGTAAGACTTATGCTTACTTTCATCATTTATCATATCTATGGCATTGCTATATATAAGAAAGGAAAAGTTTTGTGTCTTGTAAATTTTGGCAAATCTATTACTGACATACCCTTAATATTGATGAGATAAAATGCTTCTCAATAGTAGAAATGTTTGTGTTCATGTTTGTGCTCATTAAATCTTCAATTTTGAGCTGTTTTAGAAAGGAATCTGTAATGAACACTTTAAGAAAAACCTTATAGTAGTATCCATTCACATGGCAATCATATAAGGGCTTTCTTTGCTAATTTTAATCTCACTTAAAATAGTTTCCTGTTGTTTACTTTTAAAACATTGTTTTAATTCTGGTTTTCTGTTTGTTTGCTTTCTCAGTTTCTCTAATAGCATTTACCACGATGGCTTTATTAACCATAATGGAATTTTCAGTATATCAAGATACATGGATGAAGTACGAATATGAAGTAGATAAGGATTTTTCTAGGTAACTTTTTTTTTCCTTGAAATAACTCTGTATTCAAATTGTTTTAAAGTCAGCATATCTTTTTAAAATTTTTTTCTAACCTTTTATACTTGGTTTATTTTACTTCTCAAGTAGTCATCCTAAAAAAATTCTCCTTAATTGCATGCATTAGGTGAAACATTTTAGAATCATTTCAGTACTGGTTAAATTTTAAAAGAGAGATCTTCTTGATTTAATATGCACTTGTATAAAAAAGTTAGGAGAACATAATTTATTTTTTTTAAAGGTGTTGAAATGGTAGAAATTGTTTAATGTTTTGAAACTTTACTCTTTAGATTTTGAAATATCTACTGACTTGTGTGTGCTGGAAAATAAATTGTCTGAAGCTACATTGTATATGCTTATAACTAGATTTTTAGAAATTATATCTAAATACAGTTTTACTATAAATAACATCACTAACCCTTTGAAAATATATACTTTATTTGTATTTGGATTTTTTAATGATTGGAGATAATAGGTTTATAATGTTAAGATTGCACTAGATGGAGGGAGGTATACTTTATTTCTCAACTTTAATTCTAGCCCTGCCGTTTACTAGCTATGTGACTTTAGGGAAGTTAATAAGTCTATGTTTGCATGTGCTTCAGTCTCCTTTTTCATAAAATGGGGGTAATAGTTATAGTATCTTCCTCATGGGGTTAATGAGAATTAAGTAAGTCTGTATTGGTAAATTGCTGTGTAACTTTTGGCAAATCACACAACTGACTTCTGGACCTCAGTTTCTTCATCTGTAATATGAGTATTATTCTAGATATGAGTAGTTTTCAAAGAATTTTTTTTTTTTTTGTCATTTTTAGCACCAATGAATCTCTTTTGCTTTTTTCCAAATGAAGTATTACATAGGTTACCTCATAAGCACAGTGGAGATTCCCAGAAGCCTGGCCACTTGGCCTCATTCTGTGGTTCCTGCAGCATCTCCTAAGCCTGGAGTACAGTTTGAATTCTAGACAATTTTAAGACCATATGAAGCTCCAAAAATCTGTAGTTCCTAATGAAACCAGAGAAAAATTATTAGAGGGAGAAAGTTTTGATTGAAAGCACAGGATGGGACTGATACTGGTTGTACTCATTCTGTTATTATGGGGCTTAATTCATTCTGTTATTTGAAAATTAACTTGATTTGAACTGATCCTTTGAAAATACAGCATTGGCTGAACTTTTTAAAATGGCTGCGCAAAACTTCAAGCATCAAAAGGGTTTTTTCCTGGCACTTTGGTGCATTTACCCTGAGACACTCAGACTTAGTTTCCAATATGCCGCTTCAGTCATTATGGGATCTTCAGCCAGGCATGTACTCTGCTCTGAACACGATTGGCTTATCTGAAAAACTGGAGAGCTATCTACTTTATAGGTCCATGATAAAGAATAGAAATGATAGGGGCGCCTGGGTGGCTCAGTTGGTTAAACTTCTGCCTTTGGCTTGGGTCATGATCTCAGGGTCCTGAGATAGAGCCCCTCATCTGGTTCCCTGTTCCGCAGGGAGTCTGCTTCTCCTTCTGCCCCTCCTCCTGCTTGTGGCACTCTCTCTCTCCTTCACACACACACACACTCTCTCTCTCTATGTGTCTCAAATAAATAAAATCTTTTAAAAAAACAATAAAAAAGATAATAATTGTAAGGCATCAGGCATAATGCCTGATATATGATGTTTATCTAAATAGAAGAGAAAGACTTGTAATTCCTAACTCTTGATTTTGAAAATTTTAAGTTCTTCAAAGAATATTCTATTTAGGGTTTTTGTAAACAGAGGTAGACTTTTCTGAGTTGCTTGGAGTTATTGTTGACTTAACATGATTAAAGAATACTGTGTCAAAAACCTGTTAAATTAGAAAGGCTTTTAGAATAATTGCAAAGTACAGAATTTTTACTTTTAAAGTGCCTTTGTTTTGGCCATAAGAAATGCTATCCAGGTTCTAATCAATATATTTTATTCTGTTTGAAATCCAAGTTTTCATAGATCAATTGATTTATATTTCTCATGTTTTCTTGATTACTTGATAGGTACTAATATTTCCTTTTGTCTTTTAGCAAATTGAGAATCAATATAGATATTACTGTTGCTATGAAGTGTCAATGTAAGTATACCTTTAACTTGTTGGTCCATGTAGTGTTTATGGTTTAAATAATTGTTAGTAAAAAGTAAAATCACGGGTGGTGTTTTAACTCTATTTTTTCCTTTATGATATCTTAAACTGCTATGGTAATGTTATTTAATAATGCAAATTGCTTTGCTCCCCAGCTTATATTCAGATTTCTTTTCCACGAAGAGAAGATATTTAATTTTCACATTAGTATAATTAAAAGAAAATTGGAGGAAATTTTCATGAGTCAGAGTTCTGATTTAGATGTATCATTTCTTTCTTGTTTGGTGTCACCTGTTTTATACCCATGCTCTACAACATATCCTATTTCACTGTTTTGGTTTTTCTCTCTTAACTTGTACTCTTGCATATTAAAATATGGATCCAAGTCTTTTAACTAAATAATGTGTTACCCTTTTCTGTTTTCCTCCCTGGCTTCACTTGATTATACTGGTAGAAGTGAAAAATGTTACTATGCTAGATAGATAATGTTTCAATCAGTGTTGCTCTCAAAAATGAGGATGTTTTTGCATGAAAGATCTTTTAAATTACCGAATTTGTGGAGACCACAAATTGGTCTTGAGACAAAATTGAGACAAAATTTTTTAAAGTGTAAGATAGTTTAATTAAGGAGATAATTTCTGGGAGATTTAATCTCAGAAAAATTATTAATCTCTTTCCCTTTTCATTTATTTTTTCCTTATGGTAGTGGTTTTAAGAGTAAAGAAGCACTCTATATTTAAACTATGAGTTTGATACTACTAAATATATTGTGTTTTTGCCTTATTTTAGATATTTGAATACCATTAAAATTTTCACCTTTCACCTTTTCCAAATAAACTTTTCCTATTTATTGATTTTTTAAAAGTCATCAGTGACTTTCTCTTAAAATCTCTAAAAGTAATTTTTGTATTTAATACTTGGCAGCCATTTAATTTAGTACATGTGATTAGGTTGTTGACAGTTTTTGCAAAGCTCTGCAGTTGACTGAAATTTATGCTTTTTACCATGAGGTTTTGAGTTCTCTTTTTTACTGAACAAGAATTAGAAAAAGTTTTAATTGATTTTTTTTGAATACTTAAAAAAAGTGACTCTTTTAACTTTTGAACAAATAATTGGTGTAGAAAAGTGATTTTATGTATTTGAATTTATTTTATTATATTATGTTCGTATATTTGAACTTTGTGTTAGTCATTTCAGTTTGTTAATTTATGTAAGATATAGTTTGGCTCTGAACATAGAATGTCAACTTCTAATTTTTTTTATGCAGATGTTGGAGCAGATGTATTGGATTTAGCAGAAACGATGGTTGCATCTGCAGATGGTCTAGTTTATGAACCAGTAAGTTTAATGGGCATGTATTTTTAAATAATTTGCTATGACATTCTGTTTTCTTGGAGACAGTTTTGATACTTGCTTTTAGTTTTGTCTGAGCTAGCTTTTAAAATATATATGTGGGTTTTATATATGTATAAACCTATATATATTTTTTAATTTAAAAGTAACCCATATCCTTTGTGAAGATTTCTTTTTTTTTTTTTTTTTTTTTTTTACGATTTTATTTATTTGACAGAGGGAGACATAGCGAGAGAGGGAACACAAGCAGGGAAAGTGGGAGAGGGAGAAGTAGGCTTCCTGTGGAGCAGGGAGCCTGATGTGGGGCTTGATTCTAGGACCCTGGGATCATGACCTGAGCCGAAGGCAGATGCTTAACGACTGAGCCACCCAGGCACCCTGTGAAGATTTCTAATACCAAAGTCTTGAGATAACTATTGTTAGCATTTTCAGTAAGCCTCTAAAGTCTGCTTTATATTTTTTGTTAATGCTTCCTAATAGTTTCCTTTCTCTTTTCTTATAGTTGCTATAATGATTAATTTTTCTTCTTTTCCTCCAATGATTTGGAAATTTTGTGTCCCATTGTATTCTACTTTTAGCAAAGTTAAGTCTTTAAAAATGTTTGAACTGTATTCCTCTTAACATAGGAAAGAATGATGAAGCAGTATCTAAGAGGAGACATCTTCTATGCATTTAATTTTTTTTTTTTCCTCTCCTTCAAACCTCCATTTCCCAGAGCTAGTGAAATTCTGACATTTTCCTGTTTCCATAATGTAGGTTGTATATAATCTAACCAGTTTGTCAGATAACACCATCACATTGCAGGAGCAGGTGATGACAAGTCATGGTAACTAGCTCTAAAGAAGCTTTAGAGAATAAGGAAGGGAACTCCCAGCTACTCTGAGTTGCTCTCCGTTCAGTTGGCATTGTGGTACTTATGTTTACCCATGCATTTTTTAGTTCTTTGGTTTATCATTGACAGTTATGAACCCTTCTTTAAGCAGATTGCAAAGTGAAGACTAAAGGTGATGGAGGAGGATTAGAGATAGTTGAATGTGTCATAGGAAAAAAGGAAGCCTTTAGGTCTGGTTTGATTACCAAATTATTTTTAGCTTATAGCAATAAAATATATCTATGTCTTTTGATATACACTTTTTACGTATAAATTTCTAAAGAAAAGGTACTTTGTTATTGTCATTCTGAATATCTCTGCTCCCTAACTCCTGTATTCCCACTAAAAAAAATTGATTTCCCTGTAATTTCTTTTGAGGCTAGGTACCTTACAGATTCGGGTACCTTGTTATCATATTTTAAACTGCTGTCTAGAAATTATATCTAGATAATTATTAGGTATGTTAACATATGCATAACATTTCAGACTATTTTAAAAATAACTATTGAGTTTTAACTCTGTTTTATTGCTTTTATTTTCTACCATTCTTTATCATTTTGTGGAAGGACTTTTTGAGACTTCTTTGTCAGTAGAATATGTGGGTACGTGGGTTATATTTTATAGATGCTAGCATGACTGTCTGTGTATGTTCTTTATACATGTAAGTTTAGCTCAGGATATAATTCTTGCTTTATGATGTTTTGCATTCACAACTTTATAGACATTCCTTCATTGTCCTCTGATGCAATTATTTTTTCTATCGTAGGTAACATATTTACTTGAGTGCTTTTTTCCTTTTACTTTTATAATTCAAATAATTATCCCATATATCCAGGTATGGATCACCTTTGGGTTTAGAGTTTTTCGTTTTTTGTTTTTTTGTATTTTGGTTTTGATCTTGGTGATCTGAATTTTAGTATATGTGCTGCCGAAGCGAGCACTTCATGATCTGAATTTTAAAGTGGTTTTTGTTTTGTTTTTTTTTTTTGGCTTATTTGTTTTACTTTGTTTAAAGCAACGTTTTCACCTTTATTTTCAGAGAGGGAAAGCAGAAGGGGGATAGCAGGGGAAGGGGCAGAGGGAGAGGGAGAGAGAGAATCGTAAGCAGGCTCCCCAATTCGGGGTTCAGTCTCACAACCCTGAGATTATGACCTGAGCTGAAATCAAGAGTTGGTGCTTAACCAACTGAGCCACGCTGGTGTCCTTACTTCTGCTTTTTAAAATAGTTACCATGTGATGTTGGGTTTCATGGAGTGATTCTTAATATCCTTATCAATTCTTATTTTAGATCCATATTTCAAACTTCACCTTTGAGTTCTGAGAGATTACCTTGATCCAGCAGGACCAATCTTCTTTTCAGTGCCTTCATGACATTTTATTTTTTTTATTTTTTTATTTTTTAAAGATTTTATTTATTCATTCAACAGAAAGAGATCACAAGCAGGCAGGCAGAGAGAAGGTGGGGAAGCAGGCTCCCCGCCGAGCAGAGAGCCCGATGCGGGACACGATCCCAGGACCCTGAGATCATGACCCAAGCGGAAGGCAGAGGCCCAACCCACTGAGCCACCCAGGCGCCCCGCCTTCATGACATTTTAAAATTAAATGATTATATTTTATATCTTTAATATATTACAGATCATTCCATTTTTTTCTCTTTATGATGCTACATTTTATTGAGAAATAATTAGAAAAACTTAACATCTTATTTCTAGGAATGGTATTGTAGAGGAAAATTAGCCCTCATATCTGAGATTGATCACTTTTTTCAAGTTAATGAATCTTTTTATACATTCATTTATTTATTGTTCATCATTAGGATGAGGATATAAGTGCCCTGTTGAGTGTTGACATAGATTGTTGAGTTATGTCAGTTTTTATCTTAACCGCCTTCTCTAACAAGCACGTATACACACACACACACACACACACACGCGCGCGCGTGCTCATGCTTTTTTTTTTTTTTTTCCCAGGCCTAGATGAAAGGAGAAAAGGGTTTAAGTTTAGATATACTGTGCTTCTTTTAAGTCCTATTAGAGCTTCAGGTGCTTTTTGAAAAGGAAGGGAGAAGTCAGTATTGGGTCCAGGATGGCAGAGTGATTAACCAAGGCACTCCAGAATTTCCTTTTCTGTGCTTGTTTTGACAGGCTACATTTCGCTAGACTAACCCCTCCTTTCTTTAGCTGGTGTGACTGTCCTCATTAGCAGCCAGCTGTGGTAGTAGTCTTGCTTAATTTAGAACACTGTCCGGGCCACGTGTAATAGGAATAACACTGCTGTGCAGTGTGCTCACCATGTGGTTTCTAGCACTTGACTGAACTCCTGAAAGTGCTCCTAGGGTGGGGACTAACTCTTTCTCGGGCGTTTTATTGTCTTAGCACCTGTTTTTCTTTTTCTCTGAGTTACGGACTTCCCCTTGTTTCATGCATAGAGATCTCTTTGCCATGGAATGAATTATGTGTTGGTCTCTTTTCTCAATTTAGTCTCCCTTGTATGCAGTCTTGTATAAGTTTTTGAAGATTTCCAGCATGTGGATGCTAATTTAAAATGATAATATAGAGTGTGTCTTCAATTGCTGTTTCTTTGAACACTGTGAAAACGTGGTTATGAGGAGACTTTCATTATCTTGAACTTATCCTCTAAAATTTACTCATGCTTTTTCTTTAGAATTGTCTCCATATTCCAAGTGTTTCCCATTCCTACTTTTTTTTTTTTCTTCATATTTGTTAAGTCTTTTGTTTATATCTATTTTTCTGGAGAGCTTGTCTCTCTAGCTAGATTTTAAGCCTCTGAGAAGTATTAACTTCATTCTTCTGTGTTTCACAGAATGTGAAGTATAGTGCCTTCTTAGGGATTAGGCACTAAGGACTATGTTAGAATTATGTAATTGTAACAAGATTGTTGATTATTCCATTATAAACAATTTTTGCCATCTCTTCCAGTCATTTGTGGAATAGGAACGTTTTATTTAAATTAACTGTCATATAGTTAGAAGTTGTATCTTGACCAGTTAGGAACTTAAAGATACACAATTGTATACTTTTTATTAGTATTTCTTAGTAATTTATTAGTAATTTCTAAAGTGTTCAACAATATTTCTCTGTTCCTTTGTCCTAATAAGTAAGTTCCTTTGTCCTATTAAATAAGAATTATTAATGTAAAATTATTTGAGATTTTTTTACTTGTTTTTATGTTTTCAAACTTACTGTCCTAATGTGCACTCTGAATATTAAAAGCTTAGCCCTAATAACTTTACTAGTTTCCAACTCATGATTATACAATATGCTGTGAGAGTTACTACTATGCTATTTACTACTATATTTCATTACTATTTTTTTACTTAGAAGAATTTAAAAACTGTGTAAAAGTGAGGAATCTGACAGAGCTGGGTTTGTATACTCTGCTCTTAAGATTTGTGATGTTGGAAAAAGTTTTGAACCTGTTGAGCTTCTTCTTCATATAAAAAAGGCAAGAATGGTAATAAACTCACAGGTTGTTCTGAAGGCTAAGTGAGAGAAGAAAATAAGTAGCAGAGTACCTAGCATGAAGTCGGCTACTCAGTAGTTCCTTTACCCAGTTTCAGGAAGTCAAAAGAAGAATCCTATCCCCCACTGTCAAAACTTTTGTTTACAAGGTAACTGGGAAGCGGTTGCATGCAGCCTCCTCCATTCTCCATGGTGTGTTTCACAGATGTTAGCATTTTCCTTGTGCCCTATGGTGGAAAAAAGTTTGGGAAGCATGCTGTAGATAAGGTTAGCAGGAGGAGTAATCAGAAATAACTCACTGTAATCAGAAAGATGGGGGCAGTTTAACCTGGAGGATATGGTTTATAGGCTTTAGATAGACATGAGGATCACAGTTACAGGAGAGAGAGTTTCCAGGGTGGTATAATTAAATTACCAAAGGCAGAGAGGTAGAACTGTTTGACAAAATGAGGGATTCTTCCGCTTTGATTAAAGAACTGAGGATTTTATAGAGAGAGAGTAGTAGGTTAGGAAGGATATAGAGTAGTAGGAAGGATAATTAATATTGCTAAATTTAAAAATAGAATCGGTATGCTTTGTTATGAATTGCCTTTATAAAAATCAAAAGTGGTCTTTGTTATTGCAAACTTAAATTGTGGATATTGCCACGAACCCTGAAAAGCTTGCATATTTCCTCTGATTCTGCAAGTCCCCTCATCTAACTGAATTGAAGATAGTGCTTTAATATCTTGAATTATTCTTTGTTGATTAGTACATTTGGGAATTACAGTGCCATTGTTTGGCTTGTTCCAAAAATTGTTGATTCTGGGGCAACTGACTGCCTCATTTGGAAGAGCATGCGACTCTTGATCTTGGAGTCATGAGTTTGAGCCCCAAATGGGGTGTAGAGATTACTTAAGTAAATAAAACTTAAAAAAAAATGTTGATTTCATCTGGTATTTTTCCTGGCAAGACTATGGGTTTTGGATGCTTAGATATTATAGTTGAGCTTTATGTTTTTCTTTTTATTTTTTTAAACGCTCATGCATGTATCATTTAAATGATTTCAAGTCCTAAAATACCATTTTGTACATATGCAGATTACCAACTTGCAGTCATTTTTATGGATAGCTGTAAAAGGAATATATTTGTGATGAGTAAAATTTCTTTACATTGGTTTTGGGTAAACATATTATGTATTACATTTTTTAAGCTTGCTTACAGAAGATTAAATATAAATCATGAATATTTGTTTCTGCCAACACTATAAATTTGTTTCTTGATCAAAGAAAAAATTTTTAAATTATGATATAGGGAAATTGACAGTACTAGTAATTATGTTTTCCTTTATTTTAGGCAATATTTGATCTTTCACCACAGCAAAAAGAGTGGCAGAGGTAATAAGTTAACAAAAGTATTGTGGTCCATTGAAATCTAGATCATGTTTTCTCTATTTTGTCTATTGTGAATTATTCATAGATTAACATATTTCTCTGGGCAGTTTTTGGGATGAAATATTAGCAGAATATAGTAATATAATCTTTGCCATTTCAAAAATTTTATCAGATCTTAAAGTCATGTATAATCTTTTCTCTAATGCACTCAAATATATTTTAGTTTTCATTTAAAATCTTAACTATTTAAAAGCTTATACAATAATATATGATCATTTAAAATTCAGTTTGAATAGAAAGGATATGAAGTAAAGGATATAAATTAAAAGTAAAAGCCTCTTCTAAGTCAGTCGGAGAAAGACAACTACCATATGATCTCCCTGATATGAGGAAGTGGAGATGCAACATGGGGGGTTTGGGGGTTAGGAAAAGAATAAATGAAACAAGATGGGATCGGGAGGGAGATAAACCATAAGAGACTCTTAATCTCGCAGAACAAAATGAGGGTTGCTGGGGGAGGGGCGTCAGAAGAGGGTGGTGGGGATATGGACATGGGTGGGGGTGTGTGTGCTGTGGTGAGTGCTGTGAAGTGTGTAAACCTGGCAATTCACAGACCTGTACCTCTGGGGCTAAAAGTACATTATATGTTTATTTAAAAAATAAATAAAAGCCTCTTCATCATTACTGTTAGTGCCACTGACTAGCAGTAATAACCAGAGCTAAATTTCTTGTGTCACCTTCTAGAAATTTTCTTTTCATTTATGATTTTCTGTATATTTGCATATTTCCTTATGTTATCTTTTTCCTAATCCAAATAGGATCATTTTGTTCTAGAATTTGCTTTTTTCCACTTAACCTGATATTTTGGATACCTTCCCATTTCACTACAGAGTATTCATTTTATGGATAAACTATAGTTATTAAGTAGGATCCTTATCAGTGGGCATTTAGATTGTTGGCAGGATTCTAATATTAAAAACAATGCTTAATGAAAATTCTTGAACCTAATTTCTTCCATACTGATGTGAGTGTGTGTGTGTGTGTGTGTGTGTGTGTGTGTGTATGGTTTCTAGAAATGGAACTTCTCTTTCAGAGGATATTTAATTAACATTTTGACACAAGAAACAAAAAATTTGTAACTGTGAAGTGATGGTTGTTAACTTACTATGGTAATCATTTTGCAGTATATACAGATTTCAAATCATTTGTTGTGCACTTTAAACTTCTATAATGTGATATGTCAGTTATATCTCAATAAAGCCAAGAAGAGACATTTTGATAGATGATTCCAAAATATCTTCACTTGTACTCGAAAACTGTATGAGAGTACCTGTTTCCATATAACCTCACCAACAGTGGGTATAACCATACTTTTTTATTGTTGCCAATTCTGAGGGTGAAAAATGGTATTACACTTGTTTAATTAGCATTTCTTTATGAATCAGTTGTGTATCTTTGTGGACTTTTTTTCCTTATTTGCATTTCTTTTGAAACTGTTTATTCATGCTGTATGCCCATTTTGCTTGGTTGTTGGGGTTTTTTATTTTATTTATTTATTTATTTATTTGTTTTTAAAGATTTTATTTGTTTATTTGACAGAGATCACAAGTAGGCAGAGAGGCAGGCCGGGGGGGCGGGGGGAAGCAGGCTCCCTGCCGAGCAGAGAGCCCGATGTGGGGCTCGATCCCAGGACCCTGAGATCATAACCTGAGCCGAAGGCAGAGGCTTTAACCCACTGAGCCACCCAGGCGCCCCATTTAAAAAAATAGTTTTAAATAATCCTTTGGTTATTATAGAAGGTAGTCCTTTCTTATAAGTGGTTCCCCTATCCCTGCTCCCATATACTGCTTTTTTTTCTCTTTGATTTCCAGCCTATGTCTTTGTGCTTACAAAGGCTTTACCTAATTTAAGATTATTGCAAAAAAAAATTTAACCATCTTTCTCCTCCTTCCCTTTCTTGTCCTCAAGTACATTTCAAAGGCCTTTCTCTTTTAATTTCCAGTTTCACCACTTGGAGAGATTTTTAAATTAAGGTAGAAATCAAATGTAGTTAAACAAAAGAACTGAATATTAGGTATCTCTGGGCTTCTAGAACTTAGAGTAGAAAGCCATCCAGAGATGAAATACTTTAATCCAGAGATATTAAAGTGAGAAGCCTCCTTTCATCTGGAATTTTATTCAGTGTTCAAGACTAGTAAGCTGTGGGAGCAGAGATTGTGTTTTTATTATTAAAATAATGGCTGTTTTCCATCATAGAGTTTTTTTAAACATATCTTCATATATGGAATATAAGTTTGGATATTGGTATATTTGAGGCAGGAGTTACGTACACACGCGTGCGCACACATAGAGTTTGCTGTCATTTAGCCTCATTTTCCACTGCTCAGCACTGAAATTGGATTCTGGAGATATAAGACACACAACAAATAGACACTTAAATGTGTGCTAACATTAGATCCAAAGATTTTGTCTTTAGATGTGTAAATCTGGAGATGCAGATAGTCTTTTGAAAAAGTATAGGTAGAGTATAATATTTTGTTTAGAATGGTCTTGTCATAGAATAACATTTAGATTTCTTTGGAAAAGGAGACAGCAGGTGATATTAAATGGCACTATGGCCTCTTTTGTAATGAGGATCAAATGTTGTGGTATGGGTTTATAAACCCCAGTAATCTCCTACTTAAGTCCACCAGATCTGTTGTACTTTTCTTATTCCTTGTATCAATCACACTTTATTCAATACCTGGGAAAAAGTAAGAATTTTGTCATAGCTGCATGCAGGCATGAAAGATGAGTTTAGATACTCAGGTGAGCAGAATCTCCTTCTTAGTGACCCTTGACTGCACATCCATCATCAATTCGGTCAGACATGCTTAGGGACCTCAGCTGTTAAACCTTTAGCCACCCTACCTCCCTTTTCCTTTTTTTAAGGAAATGGCAATAGAAAACTTGGTATTATTTTAGAATCAAGACCTATAATAATAAATGTAAGGGTTAACTAAGTCATCTAACCATTGTTAGTTTTAAAAAAGTGTTGGCTTTCTTGTGTACCTTACTGTATTTCTAACTATTGCTTATTTATGTTGTATTTAGAATGCTGCAGCTGATTCAGAGTAGACTGCAAGAAGAACATTCACTTCAAGACGTGATATTTAAAAGTGCTTTTAAGAGTGCATCAACAGCACTTCCACCAAGGTGAGCTGTAATTTTTAAATGTGTAACTATATATTATGAATTTACTATGACATAGTTTTAGTATTGGTTTATTCTCTGAATATTATTCTCATATTTCTTAGAGAAAATGTAATCATTCTGTATGATGAAGATTTCTTGTTACTCTTTATTTTATAGCCTGTGATATTGATCAGGATTATCACAAATAATATTCATTAAATTTCCTCTTATGTGTATATGGTAAATTCTGTATAAAATTAGGCTTTAAGAACAAATTGATTACATTTGTCATTATTTTATAAGGATGTATGAATTTTGGTTAGGAATTTTGTGTTTTTATTTCCTTGTTTTCTCTTTTATAGTATATATATAAAAAATACTTCTAGCAATGTTTCTTTTTCCCCCTCTATAAAATTTTCCCACCATAGAATGGTGACTGTGTTGAGTGTGCTGTCAGTAATCCTTCCTCTCATGTTGTAACAGGGAAGACGATACATCACAGCCTCCTGATGCTTGCAGAATTCGTGGTCATCTCTATGTCAATAAAGTAGCAGGGAATTTTCACATAACTGTGGGCAAGTATGTTCTTTTTACTTACTGAAAATCCTTGAGACAAGTTGGCAGCTTGGTTTAAAAGTAAATTCTTTCCCAATCAGATAATATGTAATTACTAAAGGGCTGATTAAAGTGTTGTGTATCTATATTTTTGATGTCTTGAGATTTGTATTTAGGGCTTTGATCTCAGGATAGAGAAGACTATTAACTTTAATAGCTGCTTCAAAACAAAAGGAAAACTTATGTGCTCGTTTATAAGTAAAGTAAATGAGCTGTAGGTAGATATGAATGAAAACCTACTTGCCAAGTTTTGATAGCCAGGAAGCTCTTACCTAGACATTTCATTAATTTGTTCATGTTGTGGATGGTGTTAGGATTTTGTTTTGTTTTTCTCTTGATAGTTATCACCAAAATGTAATCCCTGGCTAATTTGAGACAAGTGTTTTGATGTAGTTAGAAATAAGTAGTGCCTGAGATAAAGTCGCTAAAAGTTAAGGAAAAATGTCAGATCACCTACTTTCAAGAGCGGCATCCAGCATAGCAGCTGACATCGGATATAAACACTTGGTAAATTTCTGAATAAATAAATAGATTCTTTGACCTCTCCCTTTCTCTCTGCTTCCCTTATTCCCTTCCTTCCATCCATCTATCTTGAGTCGCAGTGCTAAGCAATTCTTCATTGTGAAAGACATTTTTTGAGAACTTGGCTAGGGCATGTGCCATGCCAGATACTAAGGATGAAACCATGCCACACCTACATAAGGGATTTAAGAGGAAGGAACTGAAAAAAAAAAAAAAAAAAAAAGATTTTAAGGGAAACCACCGTTTTACTTTTTTGTGTATAATATCCATCTTAATTATGTATTAAAATATATGTAGTTCAAATTATAAAACGAAACAAAACTGTGAAACAAAGGAAAGGGTTTTTGCCTTATGTGCTGACATTCTGTGAGACAATCCGAACTTTGAACGGTGAATTACACTAATAATTATTTAATTATAGTTGTATTGAAGCTGTATAGAAGTATGGCCGATAAGAAACTGTAATAGGTTACCTGACTTACCCTGTACATCAGCAGAGGCTTTATTGAGGAAACTTTTGAAAACTAGTGAATGATTAGGAATTTTATATATAAAGGAGACAGGGCATTCATGCTGAGGGAAAGGCCATTAAGCTAGAAAAACCATTGCTGGAGATTTTTTTTCTTCATATATATATAGAGAGATAAATAGCGTAAGTCTTTTATGCAGAATTATTTCAGTGTTTACAGTGATCAGATCAAACATTTGTCTTTGTTGTCCCATTCTTCTTAACACTCACGTTTTGTTGTTTCCTTGCTGTTGCCAGGATTGGTTCTATAGCTTAGAATTTCTTGGTATCATGCAACAATAGGTAATAGTTGGCTCAACAAAATTTAGACAATTTTATTGCACTTGTGGATACAAACAATATCCTACTCCGAAACGAAAAGAAGGAAACTTTGACTAATATTTCATGAGCGTCTATATTAAGGCCTTTATTCCCAATTTCAGTTCTCTCTCTGTGTGATAACTCCTGCCATGAATAAGGCCAGATAGAAAAGTTTTCAGTTTGTATCTTCTCCTTATCTCTGGGATATCTTATTAGCCCACTCCTGTTTTTCAGTATTATGTTTACCGAGTTCAGTGTTGATCTTTTTGAAGATCTCATGTTACCTCTAAGATATAATATCATCCTCAACTGTAATGTAAAGAAATAAAAAGAACACGATTTACAACAATAATATATATTTCAAAAATCAAATGTTTGAGCAGGAGTACCTTAGGTAAGGTAATGGAGTAGGCAGACACTTGCCACACACATGTAGAATCAGTAGGTATACATCGATTGCACATGCAGAATGAAACACATGTAATGGCCGTTCAAATATCATGATGGTATTTCTGTTGATTCTGAAATCTTTGTGATACTGCAAACCAAAAAAAGTAAAATATTCCCTCCATTTCCTAGGGCATTTAATATATATTGAAACTACAACAAAGTACTTTGTGTTGCTAAATGGAGTTAAGTTCTAGACTCAGGTCATTATTCATAGGTTTTTCACCTACATGAATGCCACTTAAGAGTGTTTGGAAGTCATGCAAGATGTCCTAGAATATTTTTGTGTGTGAGAGCATCACTGCATTGCGGGATGCCTTCCCTAGCTGCTGTCCACAAAATGCTGATTATTCTCCCCAGTAATTGTGACAACCTAAAATGCCTCCTCCCGACCCTCCAGTTTTCAAAACAGCCTTTCATTTACTGAAAATCATGTGGAAAAATGTATCACAACCCATGAAAACTATATGAAATTCAAATTTCAGTGTCTAAAAATAAAGTTTTACTGGAACACAGTCATGGGTACAATACCAGGATTTGAGTAACCGTGACAGTGACAGAGGCTGTATATGACTCATTGCTTTGTGCTGCTACTTGGTGCACTGCAAATTAGAACAGGTTGTAACAGTTACAACTTGACAGCATTACAAATGCCTTGCATATTGCTGTACTGCAACATCTGATTTCTTTATTGTATTACTTGGTCAGAAAAGAAAAATACGGGTTTCTGATGTACTTTAAGGCAGGGTGGAGTGTGGATTATTTTATCAAATTTGACTTCAGAACATCATGTTTATTATGCAGTGACTCCATAGCTGTGCTAAAAGGATATAGGATTTGTAAATATTACTGGACTAAGCACTCATCACAACATTACTAACTCTCAGGAAAATTAAAAAATTTAAAAGGGAATAAGCACAAGCAGAATTTCTTTGTAAAATTAAAATAAAAGTGAGATTGCAACCCAAGTAGGTTGACATGTGACTCACTGGTTAGCTGAGGAAGGAAAGCCCCTTCCCAGCAGCTTGATGAGATTGCTTGTGTTTGCACCAACCAAAGAAATGCATCCAGGGAAAGTAAGTTTGCTTTGGAGGATTAGCTTTTTGGTGGGAAAAGTGCTCTAGCAGCTGAGGACACTGAGAGCAGTGTCACAATAGTTCAAAAGCAAGGCAGGTGATAGTGAGTGGATTTCCTTAGCTTTTGCTAAATGAACAGAGGTTACAAATACTGTTTGTTTTAGTTTTGAGGAGTCAGTGTGAGTTTGAATTGATCAAATTCAATTGTAATAGGAACAACTACAGACAAAAATATTTTTTAAAGAAATAGAACAGCAGTGTGTTCCTGGTGGTAAATAGGTATGAAGCAAAAAAAAAAAAAGGCTTACGTGGATAAATTTTCAAGGCTTGTGAAAATGTAAGTTGTTTATAGCCTGTGGCTATCCATTAGTATCATTGGCAGTACTTTGCAGAAAATATTTGAATCTGTCATGTATTAATGAACTGATAATATTGATGGTGAACCTCATTTATTCTCATGGACTTAAGCATTGCCATTTCCATGAACATTTGTCAGAAAGAAAAGCTGAATATTCCAACTTGCCCTACTACATGACAGCTTAAAAGCTTAGTAGTGGTCTAGGACTTTTTTGTGTGTGATTTGGGTGGGGGGGGCGCTTAGGGCTGAGATTGAAATTTTTCTGAATAAAAAAACTATTGTCAGCTGTTTTTATTGAACAAACTTTAAAAGTTAAGTTTTGTGCAGACTGGGTCATGTTTCTTAATGAATTTAGCCTGAAATTATAAGAAAAACAGGTTAATATATGAAACTTACATTGTGGTAAGGTTATTTCAATGAAAAGTAGTGTCAACTGATGCTTCCCATGCCTGACTGTCAAAAGTTAAAACAAGAAACAGGATCTCCATTCTTATACTTGTATTTATTTTCCAACCTCAAACTATAGTTCCTGAAGTGTTTTCCTACCTTGATGCTGGTACAAAGGAAATTTCCACATTTCAAAATGTATTTAACTGTGCCCTTGAGGAAATTCTGCCTTAAATTGCAAGCAGTCAATCAGTGTATTATGTTAATGACGCTCCAAAAGGAAATACCGAGAAGAACCTCATAGGGTTCTACCCAAGCAATGCATATACTCAGTTAAAAGATAACTGGCTTAATATTTTCAAAGACAAAATATGTAAAATTTCATTCTAGATTTTCATAACAGATAAATCTCTGTGATCAGTTTTGAAAGTAGGGAACACTAACTCTAAACCCTAGTTAAGGAAAATGTTATCTCCCAGCAAAAATATACCTGAATTACAAAAAAGTACTCTGTTATTACTATTACATTTTGAACGTCATTAAGAGAAGTTTGTGAAAAATTTTCTTCTTATGTAACTAACTATATAATATCTTCACTTTTGCATCTTGGCCCACAAAGCCTAAAATACTCACTATCTGGCACTTCACAGAAACACTTTGGCAGCCCTCAGCTCCTTGCAGGGCTGAGATGAGTAGACTTACCTATGTAAATCATAGGACAACTATGTTTTTACTTTATAGTAAGACAATTATATAACTTAGGAAATATTTCCTTTCTGGTTTTAATTAGTTATATATTTAAGTATTAGTACTTTAATCTTTTTTCCTCTTTTCAGGGCAATTCCACATCCCCGAGGTCACGCACATTTGGCGGCACTTGTCAACCATGACTGTAAGCAGTTTCTGCAATTTTTTCCATGAAGATGTCATTGAAAAAAGTGTTACGTGTGGGTTTTTTGTTTTGTTTTGAGTGCAGATGCAAGGTAGGGTTTTCAAAGTGGGCTATTTTCAAAACGGATATCCAAAGGAGAAAATAGATGATTAAATATGTTGACTCTAATCCATTTTCTCTTAGCCTTAAACTACCTGTGTTTCTTTTGATTCATAGCTCCGAAGCTGCGAGGGTTAGGGAACGGGGCCTTGGTGAGCTTTAGATCCCTTTGTACACATTTCTGCTAATTCTTATGGATAATGAAGAGCATGTATTCCAAGTTTATTTCAGTTTGTAAGTGGACATCTGGACACATGCATACATATAAAGTATACAAGTTGGTTTTAGGTAATGATTGTCATAAAACTTAGTTTTTAAAGTCTTCTTTAGAGGACGCCTCTGTGGCTTGTTCGATTAAGCGTCTGTCTTTGGCTCAGGTCACGATCCTGGGGTCCTGGGATGAAGCCCCATGTCTGGCTCCCTGCTCAGCAGGGAGCCTCCTTCTCCCTCTGCCTCTGCTGCTCCCCCTGCTTGTGCTCTCTTGCGCTCTCTCTCAAATAAATAAATAAATAAATCTTAAAAACAACAACAACAGAGGCTTCTTTAGAGAACAAAAACAAGAAATAGAGCCCATTAAAAAAAATCAGTTTGTCACATTTAACAATGATTTGCATTAAAAATACATCTGATCGGTTTCATTATTCTAGTGCTGACAGTTCTGTTACTATATAATGATTTGGACAAGGAAAGACTACTATTTTTAGTTATCAGGATTTGATGTACTATTTTGTAAAAGATAATTTGTAATTCTAAAATTTGAGATATAGCATTTTATTTGTAGGTACTTGTTATACACACTTAATTCCACATATTTATACGCATTTCTCTCAAAATAGTTTTAAATACTATATTATACCTACATATTTGAGATAGTTTCATTTGAGATTAGATAAGAATATGAACCAATAAATAACCTATAGTTTTGAATAATTTAGTTTCTGTACTTAATTTGTTTTATTTTATTCCTCTTAGCTTACAACTTTTCTCACAGAATAGATCATTTGTCTTTTGGAGAGCTTGTTCCAGGAATTATTAATCCTTTGGATGGAACTGAAAAAATTGCTGTAGATCGTAAGTATTTAGTAATTACTATTGGAATTTGCATGCAGGCAATTGCCTTTATAACTTTAATACTTAAATATTTTTAATAATCCTCTTGTGACAAATACATAGATAAATCTTTAAGTAGATTAACTGGGTTAATAATTTTATGTGGGAATGTATGTAGAGAGAATTTCCTACTCTTATCTTAAAAAATGAGCCATAAGAACAAAACAAATTAAAGTAAGAAGTAAGCAGGAAAACAAAGAAAAATAAGTAAGCAGGAAACAGAGTAGAATTTAAAAGCTCTCTAAATGAAAGGTTAATGTGTTATTAGGCCTTAACTGCTTTTCCATATGCACTAAAGAAAGAATAAGAACTAAAAGTTTCAACATTAAAGAAGAATTGTTTTCTTTGTATAGATTTAAAGTTCTTCTTTTTTTTTTTTTTAGGTTTAAAGTTCTAAAATGCATATTTACCATTTTAGAAACTTCTTTGGGGAGTTTACAAGTATCAGAAACCTAGAGTTACTCTAGAATAGCTTTCAGAAGTAGTACATTATAGCATAGGTAGAAACCTTCTATTACTATTTTAACCTTCTGTTCCACTTAAAATTCCAGTTTATCCAAATGTGGATGATTTTCTTAATTTTATAACACGGCATGTATCTTGTGTTTCTTGAAGGTTTTTGGTTGCCTTTCCTCTACTGAAATAGTCCTACTGTGTGACATGCCCCACCTATTGGACCTTTTAAGGACATGTCAAGCTTCATGTGCTACTAGGAATTCTAGTCTTTGCAAAACTGTAAATAAGGATTTCATTTTTTATTAACTAAAAGAGATTTATTAATATTCTTCTCAGCATTATTATTTTTAAAAATATTTTATTTATCTGAAAGAACAAGCAGGGGGAGCAGCAGAGGGAGAGGGAGAAGCAGGCTCCCCACTGAGCAGAGAGCCCGATGTGGGACTTGATCCCAGGACTCTGGACATGACCTGAGCCAAAGACAGACACTTAACCGACTGAGCCAATCAGGCGCCCCAGTATTTTACTTTTTTATCATAGTATTGTAATCAGATACATCAAAGATGTTTTACTTAGAATACTGAGTTACATTCCTAAGTATTTTATGTTTGTATGGGAATGCTTCACTTAAGGAAACTTGAGTATACTAAATTTGGAAATTCTAGAACCATAAGCTTTTATTCAATATGTAATCTTACCTTTATGTGTATGTTCATGTTCATTGTATACAGATATACACTAGATGTTACTTATGAGATGATCATTGAAAACATGTTAATACTTTATTTCAAGATGCTAAGATGACCTTAAATTTTTGTACAGAAACAGTTCTAAATATAAACAGATTAATTTTCAAAAGGCTCTTTTTGAGTTTACTTTTTCCTAAATTCACAAAGACTAAGAGGTATTTAGAGTTATCTTATAAAATGCCACCAGATGAGTGTCAGTAGGTTATTCAAAGCTTTAAAGCAGGTATACTCTTCTCCTTACTACTAGATGTTTTATTGGGCTTTTTTTTTTTTTTCCCCCAAAATGAAAAAGGAATATCAGCATTACAAATCTGTTGTGTCAGGTCACCACTCCCTCCTTGATGTTCCCCAGAAGTTTTGAGGGGATTACTTAGTGTTTACATCTTGAACGCTGTACCAGTTTGGACAAACTAGCACCTTTGGAACAATTTGTGCCTTGCAACAAAATTTCATTCAACAGCGTCTGCGGTCCCTCCCTCCCCAACCCCCAAGGCTCTGCCCCCAGCTTTCCCCAACTTGGCCATGAAATTATCTGACAGCTTTATAGCCTTTCTTTAAATTAACGTTGACATAAAGGTCTTTAGTAGTTCTCTGGCCACAGCTTAAATGTTTTTCAGTTTTTCCGGTCAGGTGTCTTTGACCCTTTGGGTTCTTCATTGCACTTCACTCCTCACATGTGGCGAGATTCCCTTTGCCCTTCATGATTCCCCCAAGTGATTATCCCACTTATGCATACAGCATAGGTTATTGCCTTGCCACTCTTAATTTCATCTGCTTTTCATTAATATTTAAGACTTAAACACCTTTTTCTCCTAGCACTTCCAGCTCACTCCCTCTGTTTATGACACAGTAGAGTTTATTGTAAAACACCTCAAAACTAAGCATAGATAGAGCAACTCACCTGAGCAAAGAATGACTCAAAGGATGAAACTGAAGACTATCTATAATTAAAAGCCATCTATTTTTAGGAGACAAAGTTGACACTTTTCTGCCCCAATATCTGAGATGGTATGTACGCTATTCAGTTGAACCTAATAATAGAAGGACTAGTCAAATACTATTCATGTTTTTGAAAGTTATATTGGTACAAGTGGTAGGTGAAGTAAGTGGTGAAGTTGAAACAGGTTTTGTTTTATTTTGTTAGAAACTTGTTTAATGTTAGTGTTTGAAGACACCATTGCTCTTAACCTTTCCCTCCTCTATTCTAAATTACACTAAGATAAGAGATGGAGACATTGGATCGATTGAAATAAAAATTCACTAAGGTTGACTAAAAACATAGACACACAAAAGTACCTTCTTTGTACTTTCTATATAAAATTTTAGAATAGGCAAAACTAATCTGTGCTGATAGAAGGTTAGTGGTTAACCTAGGGTCGGAGATAGAGGGGAATGACTATAAAGCGGTATGGAGGAACTTTTTGAGGTGGTGAAAATATTTTATATTTTGGTTGTGGTGGTGATGACGTGGGTGAATACATTTGTCAAAATTTGTCAGACCATACTTTTAAAGTTGATATATTTTATTTCTCTACACCGTTTCCATAGACATGGTTTCATGTCAAATGTAATGAGGCCTATTACCTAATTCTCACTACACATAGATATATCTAGTTCTAAATTTTCTAGAATATAGACCTTGAAAATTAACATGTGAAATGTTATCTAAGATTAACAATTGGTAATAAACTGGTATTTATGACTTGTATTAAATCTAGAAATGCCTAAAGACTATAAATAGGATCCTTTGGATTATGCAGTAGCCTCAGACCATCAGTGAGTAGGTTTGTTAGTTATCTTCCTCCTGCCTTATCAAGTCTTTGTGTATATCCAAAGGCTGGTTAATTCAATTTTGCTTTATCTGTATATTTTAAGATATTAGTAAAAACTGAAAATGTCCTCTGGTGATTATACTATCATAACTTTATTCCTACTAATTTCTGTACTATAATGACATGCTACTTTTATTTTTCACATTTGATAAAAGGATAATAATGTTACGAAGGATATCTAATGACTACGTTTTTTAACCTCTTCTAATGTGTATATGTGACTATTTTATGCTTATTGAAAGGTTGTTTACCAAGTATGAGTATATTGATTTCATTGATGCTTTTAAATTTGTTGTTGTTGTTAAACACTAAGTCATAAGTAGCATTATGTATCAAGGTAAGTGTATTTAATAGGAGGGTGGATTTGGCAGTAGAATTGTTGCTATTTGATTGATGAAAAGAAAACACATTTTGTTTTTATTCTAGACAACCAGATGTTCCAGTATTTTATTACAGTTGTGCCAACAAAACTACATACATATAAAATTTCAGCAGACACCCATCAGTTTTCTGTGACAGAAAGGGTAAGTTGAATCCAACTGATAGTGATTTTTTTTTTCTTTTTAGCATTTAATAGTCCAGCTACAAAATAAGGTTAGAGTTGGTATCCTCCCCCATTTAAAATTTGTGGAAGTTTTGAAATGCATTAATATTTTTTTAAGCCAATAAAACTGGATATTAGTATGCTTTAGAGCAAGAAAAGATGTAGATTTTAAAAATCTGGAACATCTTCTATATGGTTTAAACAAAATATTAAACTATGATGTTATTAATGACTTTATTCTTTATATCTTAATTTTGTAATGTTTTCTCTTGTATGGGTATAATTAGTTCTTATCTGCCAGTGGACTCTGATTTCTGTGTTATTTAGTTTTTAATTATTGTTCCTATCCTGGGCTATGCATGATTCTTGTGTCTCAGATAGCAGACTTAGAGGGTTTGCCTTCCTAAGTTAGTGCTTTTTATTCATCTAAGAGGACAAACGTTTTGCAATCTCAGGGTGGAGTGGCTTTTTAAACAGGAGCAGAGTTTTGGAGTTGGACAGTTTAACAGACTTCTCATATATTCTGGAGTCATGTTTTCTTATTATTGTTTAAGAATGGTAAATATCCAAATATTAATATCCTGAAGAGTTCCAAGGTTTGCAAACTTGATTTTGAAGTGTAAACAGGATGGAATGAAATAGAGTATTTTCTTGTTGGTGAACACGCTATGGTAGGTTTATGATTTTAGTTGCATTCCTTTCAAGAGAAAACTTTTTTTTTAAGATTTTATTTATTTATTCGACATACAGAGATCACAAGTAGAGAGGCAGGCAGAGAGAGAGAGGAGGAAGCAGGCAGAGGCTTTAACCCACTGAGCCACCCAGGTGCCTCGAGAAAACTTCTTTTAAAAACTAAGCCAGGGGGCATCTGGGTGGCTCCTCTGCCTTCGGCTCAGGTCATGATCCCAGGGTCCTGGGATTGAGCCCCCGTATCGGGCTCTCTGCTCAGCAGGGAGCCTGCTTCCTTCTCTCTCTCTGCCTGCCTCTCTACTTGTGATCTCTGTCTGTCAAATAAATAAATAAAATCTTTAAAAAATAAAAATAAAAAAAAAAAAACTAAGCCAGTAGCTTAAATTTTGATATCTTTCAAATGAGGGCATTTTCTTTTCTTCTTGTATTGTATTTCATACTGTTTAAATAAAATGAACAACAGAAAGTGAAATTGTTTCCAAATCGATAATTGAAATGACAAGAAATATAATTATTTTGTAAATTCTTCACAGAGAATTGTAACAAAACGTATGTCAAAATATGAGCCTGGCTTTTATGGATTTGGTCAGTGAAGATGCCATATAGTTGTAAGCTCTTGAGCTCAGTAAATAGAACACTTGAGTGACCTTTTTGAGAAAATAGGAAAGAATGTCTCTGCTCTTTCGATTTCTGTAGAAGCTGATCACACGAAGAATACAGAATAATTTGATTGTCTCTGAAGAGCTTAGTCTAGTAGGACAATTCGTAAAGAGATTTGGAGATCCCTCTTGTACATTTGGGCTGCAGGGCTTCATATTAAGTGTGCAAGTAACCAGATGATGTGAATCCCCTTTTTCTCCTCCTGTCTCTCCCCTTCCTTTTAGGAACGTGTCATTAACCATGCTGCAGGCAGCCATGGAGTCTCTGGGATATTTATGAAATATGATCTCAGTTCTCTTATGGTAACAGTTACTGAGGAGCATATGCCTTTCTGGCAGTTTTTTGTAAGACTCTGTGGTATTGTTGGAGGAATCTTTTCAACAACAGGTTAAACTTCATTCCTTGTCTAATTTCTAAAAGTGTTACTGAAATTAAGATGCTTTGCCTTAGAAGGAGCAAGAAATGTATTCATTCCCATGTTTTGGTATTTAAAGAATTTTTTCTAAGATTTAATTCCAAACTTCCAAAATTACATTGATTACACATTAAACATAACTAAGTTCACTGCATTCAGTGATTTTAGGGAGATTACTTAGTGAGCTAGAAAGATCCTAAAATTGAATCCAAGTTCTGCCATTTACATGGTAGTAGCCTTATAATATAGGACACCTACCTTTCTGAAATTGTTTTTTCATTTATAAAAATGGGAGTAATCATAAGTGTCTAACTTACAAGTGTGTTGTAGGATTAGATGAGAAAATGCCTAGAAATAGTAGACACTTGAATGTAAATTTTCTTTTTCATATAAGGTATTTTTAACTGTAGAATATGTAAAGTCAAATCTTACCTACTTTGAACCATGTAATGTGTGCAACCAGAATGTTCAGTCCATACTGTTTTTATGATTTGGGGCTTTTTTGTCCTGAACTTACGAGATTCTCTCAAAGATAACTTGCAGAATCGTAATCATGAAAATTTGAGCATTAAGTACAATAGATAAAGAAAGGAAACTGTTCCTTCTTTATCCCCAACCCTTCTCAGTATTACATGGAGCTGTATTACTTACATACTTTGAATTTTATTTTTTAAATGAACGAATAGGTTTTCTTATGAAAGACTTTGTTGCTTTCAGTTTGTTTAAATTTGGGGTGCTGATATTTTTTCAAAATAGTATGAACATAAAGACATATAAAGCACCCTTGATAAGATTGCTTTGTCAAGTTCATGAATTATGTGGCCTTGTGATTTTGAAATCTATTTGTTTTAAAATTCAACTGTTTTTAACCATTGAAATGAATAAAGCAGACTGCCTTGTTTCCTTTCTTAATCTATTCCATTATAATTAGTGGCGTTTTTTATTCTTATGTAACAACTTAGGAAATAATTTAGGAAGTAATTTTAATAAAAGCATCATTTAATTAAAAACATCAACTTATTTTTTATTGCAGGCATGTTACATGGATTTGGGAAATTTATAGTTGAAATAATTTACTGTCGTTTCAGACTTGGATCCTACAAACCTGTCAGTTCTGTAAGTGCTATAGTAGAAATGGTGCTGATCTCTAACTCATAGTACCATTGTTAAACCTAAACAGTATCTTTTGATGCTCAGAAAGAAATTGCCCAAAATAAAGCATTGTGTTTAGAGGGGATGTGTAAGGAATAAAACTAATGCTTTGGTCTTTTCTTCTCCCTAGGTCCCCTTTGAGGATGGCCACACAGACAACCACTTACCTCTTTTAGAGAATAATACACATTAGCACCTCCTGAGTGAAGGAGAAAAACTTTTTGCCTGAGACATAAAACCTTTTTTAATAATAAAATATTGTGCAATATATTCAAAGAAAAAATATGAATGAGAAGTGGGAATCATACCTAGGGGAAAAAAAAAGAAAAACCCAAACTGAAATCCTATATATGTTGTGTCTGTTACAAATGTCCTAGAAGAAATTATGCAGCTAATCAGTGAATAAGCCTAACTGAAGTATTGCTTTGAAGATGACCCCTTCTGATATTTTCATAGAAATGGGCAGTATCGAAATCAGAGCTTGCTTCTTGGTGAAAGAGCCTGAAGTAAAGAAGTCAAACCACATCTAAAGAAAAAGGGATTATAAATGCAAATGTTTGCATCCTTCTGTTTTTAAAAGATATGTCAGAATAAAATATGTAAAACATATGGAAAACTAGTCTAGACTTTAAAAAGTTGTGGTCAGGTAATAAAGGAAAACAGGGATGGGTCCCTATGTTATAGCCATATCAATGTTAAGCCATAATGACAAGGCCATTTATCCAATAATTTGGTCTGAGGAAGGTAACTGCTTTTCTTTAAACTCTGGCTATTGGCTTTTTCTGACTGTTCCAGGCAGGGTCGTGGAAGGCTAAGGTGAATTCTTATGGAGGCAGGTACATAGGTGCTATAATATGTAACAGATATCATTCACATACTGTATAGTGGGCACTTACTTATACAGGCAGAAGAAAGCACATTTTTAAAAAAGATGCTCAGTTTTCTAATCTGTTCCTTGTATTATTGGTATACTATGGGAGCAGGTGGTGAGTAATACAAAGGTCCATTGCTGGTGAGGAAACTTCTTAGCTTGTAAAGTATTAAATGGAAAAATAGACTATTTTATACATGTTTGGGTGAGAGGCAACAGGGTAACTTTAAATAAAGTAGAAACATGAGGCAAATAAAGTAGAAACATGAGGCAAATACTTAAATAAGGCAAGATCGTGTCAGATCTGAGATATTATCATTAAACAGTGTCTGGTAAGCTGTAAACTTGGATTATGAGTGTCTGCATTCAGAGTGTCCTGAATGTGATTGATTTTGTTATTAGAGTGTGTTGTTCTAGCTTCCTTATTACTTAAGGATTGCTTTTAAATTTCCAGATTATGAAAGACTAAAAATAATGAGGGAGATTTCACTCAGGTGCCATTAAACACTGTATTTGGAATATGTGTGCCAACATCAGTTTTCCTTTTTTAATACTTAATGATAGAGTCAACTACCAATCCCCAACAGTTGAAGTCCTTCAGAGAAAAGGGGAAATAAAATTCCAGGTAAGTAGCAAGGACAAGACTAAAAGACTAGTTTTTAAATGGTGGTTTTTGGACATAGGATGTCACAGATTACAGTTTTACAAAGGGATTTTTTTTTTTTTTTAAAGATAAATGTTTTCTTGAAAGTAGTTGGTACAGATGATGTCAGTGGAGAGAAGGAGAGATACTGTTGGAACTGCTCTGAAGTAAAGCTTACGTAAAATGGCACTGCAGGAAGTAAAAGCATTATTATTTAAAATACACACTTTACTACTAAGAGCCATTAAGTTGACTGATTAACACAGGTGACATAACATGCTCTGATTTTTTTTGCTCCAGAAAATTCTAAATAACGAATGCGCCTTCTCTGTTGTTTTTTTTTTTTTTTTAAGATAGTATTTCCAGTGAAGTTAGACAAGGAACTATAGAACATCTCTCAAAAGAAATTTTATTTAGAATTTTAGCAATTTTAGACTGAATCTTGGTTCTGTGAATCTGCTTTCCAGAAAGTTCATTCAAGTTTCAGAGTCTTGTATTTTTTTTTTTTAAGGGAGGTAAAACTATTGATTTAAAATTACTTTCTTTCAGTTAGGATTTTAGCAGTTAAGTGTCTTTAAAAAGATTTTAAAATTGTTTTGGTGCTTACATATGATTTTTAATTGTTCCCATGTTTTCCAAGTACCTTATTAAAATTTTAATGTAACTAACCTGTCCCATTAAAGCTGACTATAAAAGCAATTTCTTTAAAGCAAAATCTTGCTTTGCCATTGATTTACACTTTAATAGTTAAGAAAACTTGCTACCTGACTCTCCTCAAATAGTAAAAGTTAGGTTTTTGGCCATCAAAGTAGTAAGATTCTGATCAGCCTTCTGGATGGTGAACAATGAAGTATGCCTGCATATTGGGATTTGCTAGGAGTTTTTGACCTCACCAAGTGTTTCTTTTCCATTGCAGAGAACACTGTGCTGACCTGCTTCTTACGGAGCTTTGGCTTGTGCTTGGGGGAGGGTGTCCTCAGTAGGGTACCCAACTTTATTACTCAGTCCTTTTTCTTTATTCATAATATTTATATATTCCAGCCTAAATATTTTAAAAGTTGAGATTTCAGCTTATATGAAATAGATTTTTAAAAAACTGTGTTTTGTATACTTTGGTCTAGAAAAAGAGATGAAATATTTAGGTGAATAATTCTCTGCTGTGGTATTTGTACAGTACAGACGACCTCTTGGGAAAAGCTTAATGCAGTATTAGAATTACAAAATCACTTTTAATTCTCAATTTAGATGATTAATACCACATTTTTCTCACATATGTTTTACGATAGCACTGAATTTTCATAGAAAAATTACTAATGCAAGCAAAGTTTGCAGTCTTTAATATAAACCTAACTTTGGAATTCATAAAGGAATGACTTAAGGTCTAATTTTTTAATGATATCTGTAGGGATATTTTATGCATCCTTTTTATGTTCTGGGTTAGTAATTCAGGTACCAGAAAGGAAATTTTATATGCATCTTGTCTGCTTCAAAATTTAAAACTTTGAATCTTGAACTCAAGTTCAAGATGTGTATTTTCATTGTTTAAAAATACTTATACCTGAGCCAGATGACCTTTTAAAATTTCATCATGCCCTTTAACGTAGTGCTTAAGTCCCTCCACTTCTGTTTGGAGCTCTATTGCAAACCTTCTGCAAGCCAAAGTGAGCCACCCTTTGTCAGCACTATCCAAACTGGATCACCATGTATTCACTACATTATGGTATGATGTCTGGATTAATGTCCCAGTATTTCCTTATTGTAGTTTTTCCCCACTTTTGAAATATTTGTTAGTGATAAAATCACCTTGCATTGTTGTAACAGTAGGAAACAAACTGCCTTGGATTTTTTTTTTTTTTTTAAGAGAAAAGAGGATACACAATTTTAGAGTCGTCTTAACAATTGGACTCTGAGTAAAATGACAAATATAAATTTCTTTGTCCTCTTACTATTGTGTACCCCCAAATAAGACTCAGTCCCTTATATATAAGCTTTTTTCCTCATAGGAAAACTGTGGCAGTCTTTAAATATCACTCTGTTATATTTGCTTTTGCTCCAGATAGAGCCAAATTACTGTATGAGATTGGATTTCTTTTGTATTTTCATATTAAAAAGTGAATGAGTGATTCTAAATCAGCTGTTTGAATGAGATGTTAACTGGAGGTGATGGGTTGGATGAGTATAAAGTTAGTAAGTTATCTTAAATGTTTTTTCTGAGTTGTATGCCAATCTGCTTCAACTTTTTCTAGTATTAATTGCTTTAGGTGGTGACTGTTTTTAACTCTGAAATAGTCATTACTGTATCAGGTATGTTGTGGGTAAAGAATATAGGGATTACCAAAACTTCTTTTTAAACATAGATACCTTTTCTTTGCACTTACCATCCATCCTCTTTTCCCCAAAAGTAGAAGGTTCTTACTACATTGTAATTGTATGTATTAGGCATTCAAATAATTGTTAATTGGTCTTGATAGAAAATAATTAGGGATTTTCTTTCATACCGATACCTATTTTTACTGCTTAATCATCACAGGACTTTATTTGTGTCATTTCTTTAATGCCACAGATAAAACATGCTTCAGCATGTAAATGTAACACTGTTAATGGTATCAGAAAATGTTTAAGCATTACTATCTCTGTGTTAAAATTTATACTCATCTGGTAGTTTCTTTGGAAAATTCTATCTTTTTTCCTCAGGGGAGGGAGGAAATCTGTAGTAGTCCAGCAGTTAAAGATACAACACTAGAAGAGGAAAAAATTTTTTTAATTCAAACTTTCATTTAATCAAAAGTCAAAATGAATACTTGATCAGTGGAATTTATGGAATTGGTAAAACAATCAAAAGATAGTAAATTCTTAGAATAATTATGTTTTATCCCATCTCATTGAATTATAACTTGATTTCTTTTTATCATATCTATAGTTTGTATCTCAATCAATCAGTGTAGCTCAGAAGTATCATCTAGACATCTCAAATTAAAGATCACTAAGTGCTTTGTTTCAGAGCTGGGTTGTGTGCCCTGGAAAGGAGTTTCCAGACCTTTAGATGAGATTTGAAAAGATACTGCCCAGAAGAGTTCCCCCCCAAATGCCCTTTATGGTGTTCAGAAAAATCTCAGGTAATACTGGACTAGAAGCTGCCCTTCAAGCCTTATGCACTACAACTACGTGCACATGCTTTCTGAGTATTACCAATTAATCTGGAAAGTGAGTATACATATAACTGCCTTCCTTGCCAGTTTATGCTCGTGTAATTTTCTAGTGGTTGTGGGTTTTTTGTTAGTTGCTGAGGCCCCAAATACTATATTTGAATAATATTCCATATTTTTAACATGAAATGCTGCAATCCAACATTCACTGGTTTCTCAAATGCAAGGAAAGTCAGGATAACAGTTATATTATTAATATAGGGATTTGAGAATAAATAGTTTTTACTAATTCATTGGTATTATACATAAAATATTTTTAAATAAAACAACACTTACTCTCTAAAGTGGCAGTCTGTTAGTGAAGTCTCTTCTGCACGTTGGACAGTTATCATTGTGTAACTGGAATGATCAGGATACTAGCAAGTCCTGGTGGTCACAGAAGGGTAATCTTCCCCACTTCCCAGAAAAAGACTTAAACTAACATTTACATTTAAAATTTTGCCTTCCTCCCTGGCAAAGATCAGGGGACTGAATTTTTGTGGGGGTTTTTTTGTCTTGTTTTTTTAAGATTCTAGCCTAGGACGTTCCATCAGTCACTCTCGCTCTGAGGGCTGAGCAAAATAAACAAATATAAGGGGTTTGGTGACTTCAGTGAACAGAAAGGAAACTCCTGAGAGAAGGTTATCAGGAAAACGGGTGACTCAAAGATTTAGAAATAAAAGTTGTCAAATTATGAGAACTAATTTTACTTACAAGCATAATCGGTACCAATGCAACTATGCTTGAGCTCTCCTTCTATACATAATTATTTACACCTAATGTTTTGTTTTGTTTTTTAGATTTCAGAAATAGTTGAGGGAGGTGCTAGATGTGTATCCACTTTTCCAATTCTCCCAGCCTTCAACAGGTCTTCATGGTATAACAGAAAAAGGACACTGAGATTTCAGTAGAGAATTACCTCTTTTAACAGTATTTCTGAGGATGCAAAGATCATTCTTCCTCAACTTAATCTTGACTTTAAACCTTTATACTGGGTACCCCAGAATGATTCCAAGGTTAGAACTGCCTTTCTTTAGGCTATTTCAGCTTATATCCTATGTTCTTCCACGTTCATTGAGTCAAAAATTAGTCCCCTGAAGAGAAAAAAACCTAAATACGGACAGATAAATGTACTTTGGTGTTTTATATTCAAGGGCACAGAATGGAGTATTAGGAAGCAATCTGGAAATTTTTCCTAAGATACGGTTGATTATAGGCTAGGATATGACTTTCCTTCTCTCACTGAAATAAAATATATAGGTAAGAAACAGGTGAAGACATGACAACACTTTGACAGGTAACGAGCTTGGGCATATTCTTTGTTACTTCCTAATCTTGAGAACCACAGTTTGCTGTTTTAGAGGTATCCAAAAGGTTCCAGATAAAAGGAGCTTGCCGAATGTTCTTACACCTTAAGCGTGCTGGGTGCCCTAAAGTAGGAGAGGAATTTATAACAGAAGCTTACAATGAGGAACCAGACATTCCGAGCCATCTGAGATCTTGCAATGAGAAGGCGCCACGCGATGAGGAAGAGGGCAGTGTTAAAGAGGTAGTGAATATTTCGGAGCCTGGGGGACAGACATAGAACCAAAGTTAAAACAGCACCAAAGACCCAAATGTGTTATCTGAAGCCTAAGTATATTGTTTCTGGTTGTGACCAGCAAATTGTTAGGTGCCCACAGGTATGTGGCATGACCTTATGACCTTTTGATTTTTATAGCTCTTACTCCACAACATGCCTTCTGAATAATCAGATTTCCATAGTATTCCCCTGACTAGTTTGTTTTTCCCATACCTCTCCCTACTTGAACCAATCTTACAAACATGACTAACCTAATCTTTCTTAAATATACTTTGATCATATCACAAATCTTCACTGGTTCTTGTTCAGTAGAAGGTAAGTTCTAAAGTTCTCAGCCTGCTTCAAGGTTCCTCTGTTTGCAATTTACTTTTCCAAGCTTATAATCTCTGCATTAAAAGCCCTTTGCTTCTACGAGAATTAAATCAGACTGTTCTGGTTCTTTGTCCCTTGTGGAATAAGGACTGAAAGGAATTTAAGGCAGTTTAAGGACTTCAAGAATGGTGGTTGAGTGATTTGCTCATGTTAAAGAGCACAGTCAAGTTATCTGCTTTTTGGTATTGTTTATACCACATTATGACACGATGTGGTAGAAGAAACAGAGAAACTTGGATTCAAATCTGGTTCCTCTACTTCCCATGTCTTACCATGGACAAGTTACTTAACCTTTGAGTCTAAATAGTTGATTAAAAAAAGAAAAATGGGATAACAAAATAACATCTCCCTCATACAGGTGTGGTGAGATCTAGCTGAAACAGTGTATTACAAGGGGAGAATATACAAGGAAGGACCTGTAATGTAAATGCTCGGGAAATGTTAATTCCTCCTCTCCCCTGCTCAAATTTCATGCCTGGTATAAAATCAGGTATTTGTGGTAAGTGCTTAATAAATATTAACTGACTGATTATGCTTACCTTTTCAAATGTTGTTTTGCTTCTGGGATCCCAGCCATATCCTCTTTCAGTAAGTACTTCTTAACTCCTAAAACATAATTTTCAATGTATTCCAACCAGTTCAACTGGCGCACATCAAAGTTGAATACCTGAAAGGCAAGATGAGATTATGGGTTGCCAGATTTTCACTGCTGGAGACAATCACCTTGTCTTTTTTGATGAAGCTTCTTTTACATAAATGAGTGATGTTCGGTTTGAAAGACTTAGGTTGGACCCCTCCAAAGGAGATTATTAGAGCTCTTACTTCAAAGGCACTGACTATATGGGTTACCATTTACACAAATATTTAAGCATAGATCAAGCACAAATATTTAACTTTTGGGAAGTCTTGTGAGGGAAATTTAAAGGAACTGGCATTAATCTGGTGAAAGCTAATTTCGTTTCAAGTAAATGGAGGTTAATTATTTTTAAAAGTGTTGGAGTAACTTTGGTTAGGGAACAAAACAAATAGTGCTTTTCTTTCCCATTCTTGAATTTTGGTGGTGTTCCCTTGGCCTACCATCCTTTCCTACTTCATTTTGCAGATTAAGGTAAACTGTGGATAAGCAAAGCCTTAAGGAAAAGTTTAGCAGAATTTATATTCTGTATTTGTTTTAGAGGTGTTATCCACTATGTGTGCTGTTAAATGAAGCCCTTCAAAAACATTTAGAGCTAAGTGGTATGAGTGAAGTGCTTGCTTCTCTTGGAAAACTAGTGCATTTCCTCCTCTTGGACACAGAATGCCATGGAACTATATTTTTCCCTTTCACTTCGCCACCAAAAGGTTCAGAAACAAAGCCCCTGCTTAACTGCACTGACTTGGATAAGATCTCGTAGACTACACATGGATGGACATTCTATTTTTCTTACCCTTGAGTTCATGTTTTAATATTTTCCCTAGTCTGGCATTTTATTTCTGTTTTGTTCTTTAATTATATATGCTTACTGCAAGTTACCCCAAATCTTTGTGAAATAATATGGAGTATTAACAAATAGATGAGATTAACAAGTTTGAGAGAGCTTCATAGACTTGTCCAACAGCTGAAATGCTTTCCAAAGGTAATTTTTTTATTACTTTGGATATGTTTGTTTTCAATAGTAGCACTCAATATAACTTACTCATCTGTATAAATAGAGGCTTTTATTTTATACTATTTCACATTTCTAAGTTAGATTTCAATGAAGCCCTAAAGTTTAGAATTCTCATCCCATGAGTCAAACTCAATTCTAATCTGGAGTTTGGCAATTATATCCAATTATTCAGGACTATTACCTTTGCTAAGATATTTTGAAAGCATATGTTAAATCCATAGCAGATTTGTTTTTTTCCACAAAATTTTTGGTTATTTTAGGTTAAAATAGTAATATGTCAAAAAATGGAACTCTAAGCTTATTACCTTTTGAATTATTTAGATCGATCTATTCCATGGAGAGAATGCAATAAAAATAAGCCTACCTAAAACTTGAAGCTAATTTTAAACATAATTTATGGTAGCTTTTTTTTTTAATAAGCTAATTTGATCATTAGCTCTACATTTCAAACACGTGCTTAGAATAATCTATGTCTATACAAGGTACATAAACATTTCTGAAAATAGCTCTATTTCATGTCCGGTTTAGAGAGGGTCAGCAATTATCTCTGTTAAAACATCCCTCTAAATGTCACCTGGTGTATTTACTGTAACAGTGTTTGATTTTCTTGGGTTCCACGACCCAAAGTAATTCTGGAGCTTGGATTTGAATCATGTTATATGAATTTGGAATGTAGGAGTAAATCCCTTAGCTGGCAAGTGAGGCGAGATATGGCCTTCTAATGTTTCCTTCTCAGTGTGATTTGGTCTCTTCTACATGCTGCCAAGTACTAGGTAACTCAAGAAATGCTTTTTTGGGGACACCTGGTGGGCTCAGTCAATTAAGTGACTGCCTTTGGCTCAGGTCATGATCTCAAGAGTCCTGGGATTGATCCCATGTTGGGCTCCCTGCTCATTAGGGACTCTGTTTCTCTTTCTCCCTCTGCTATTCCTCCTGCTTGTGCTTTCTCTCTCAAATGAATAAATAAAATCTTTTAAAAATGCTTTTTTCTTTAAAAAATTAGATAATGTCAAGAGTGAAAACTTTAAAGTTTAATTGAAGACTAAGGTTTTGCTCAGGGAACACATGACTTCTTGAGAAGAAAAATGCTAGGAACATGTACAAAGTATGAAAGATTTCTATGTTTGTGAATTTCAGAATATGGAAAGATCTCAGGACTTAATGTCTGCAACTGCCAAGAAGCTAATGTAAGGAAAGAAATGGCACTGGTGCTAAGCAATTAGAGTGAAGGCATGTCTTGATAGATGCTTGGATTGTTGAAGACAGGTCATTAGAGGGAGAGAGAGGCAGTCTGGGTGCCAGTGTGCTAGAGAGGGAGAGAGGTCTTAGTGGGATGCACATGTGAGGAGGGTTTAGCTTTAAAAAGAAGGAAAGAACTGTAGCTTTGGAGATGCAGAACGATTTTGATTTAACAAGAAGAATGGATGCATTTATGAGTAGTAAAATTATGATTTTTTTTTTCATTGAAGTCCTATGTTGTGAGATTAGGGAAAATATAGAGGTTTGTTGAAAACAGCCTCTAAAGGCAAACAGGGATTGAAGCAAAGTATGTGAAATGTGACTGCAGGATAGCAGTGAGGATCTAACCAGTCAAGAACCCAGGTCTCTTATCTACATTAACTTATATCCTGTAGTTATATCAATAGCACAGATTGGTTTTCTTAGCAAAAAAAAAAAAAATTCTGTGTATATAACTAAAACTTGGTCAGATTTCCAGGTCAAATAATTCTAATTTGCAAATGAGCAAGATTTTCCTGTTGGTTGCCAGCACTCTACTTACTCTCTGGTCTTCAGGACTCAGCTCAGACATCAGCATTTCCGTATTGTATGTGCTCCATTCCCAACTCCGGTTGACAAAATATTCCAGCATGGAAACTGTTCTTAAAAGCCGATTCATGACCTTTGTCATCCTGGGGTAAAGAGATATCAGCAAATACCAGCACATCACTGCTGGCTGCTTTCCTGTTACTACTTTATAGGATGTGTGACAAATTACTTTTCAGAAACTATAAAAAATTTCCCTCTTTCCCCCACTTCCTCATTAAAACACGTATTCTTTTTTCTCTGTCCACATTAACTGTTGAATGAAGGAATATTGAATCTAAGGGAGTTTGATTAGTCATTTTACTACCATCGAACTCCTCCTCTTCCTCTCTACTACCTTCTCTTTTTTCTCAAGAGTAGCCAATATTTTGGGGCACCAGGGTGGCTCAGTTGGTTAAGTGACTGCCTTCAGCTCAGGTCATGATCCTGGAATCCTGGGATTGAGTCCCGCATTGGGCTCTCTGTTCAGCAGGGAGTCTACTTCTCCTGACCCTCTCCCCTCTCGTGCTCACTCTCCCTCTCTCTCAAGTAAATAAAATCTTAAAAAAAAAAAAACCAAAAAAATTAGCAAATATTTTAAAAGTGCAGCCTGATACCGGAAAAGAACTTATTAGGTGATAACCCCACTGTCTGGCACCATGCTGATGCTTCAAACAATTATTGTCTCACCTAGTTCTCATTGCATCTCTGCTAAGTAGCTTTGTATCTACTTTTTATGAATGGGCAAAGTGAGCTTAAGATAGATTAAGTGGCCATGATAATACAAGCATCAAAAGGAAAATTCCAACCCAGTTTTGACTGATCTAAAAAAGTCTCTGCTTTTGTAATCTCACCACTCTTGTGTTCCATTTCTTCTGATGGCTGGCATCTTCCTGTCCTGTGGTCAGGACGGGGACCAGGTCCACTGTGTGAACTTGCCAAATTTACAATTTATGGAAAACTTTCATATTTGATGCTCTTATTTGATCCTCACAGGTAGTAAAGATCTGTACTCTTCATCTTATAGAAGGATTAACAGGTTCAAGGCCACACAGCAACCTAGATCTTCTGGCTACAAATCACTTTAGCCCATAAAACATTTACCTTAGGCCAGGTTAGCAGTAGTGATTATTGTAGTTGACCTAATAATGACTTGTGATGGTATTTTGGGAATTTGGTCTTACTTCTGGTCAAATCCTAATACCGATTTACCTAATGTCTTCTGCGGGACTTCTCTCATTGTATCATGGGAAATTCCTAGGCAGAAGGTATACTCATTATTCCCTGATACAAGCATCGTAAAAGGGTTCCATTTGGCTGTTATCATCTTACATTTTTGCTGTTGACAATGTATCTACCTTCCTCCTCTCCAAGTTCACATATTTAGACCTATTCTCACCAATGATAGTACATGGAGAAGACTTTGGGAGGGGATTAGTGCCCTTTATAAGAAGGAACCCCAGGGGCGCCTGGGTGGCTCAGTGGGTTAAAGCCTCTGCCTTTGGCTCAGGTCATGATCCCAGCGTCCTGGTATTGAGCCCCTGCATCAGGCTCTCTGCTCAGCAGGGAACCTGCTTCCTCCTCTCTCTGCCTGCCTCTCTGCCTACTTGTGATCTCCATCTGTCAAATGAACAAAATAAAAAGAAACCCCAGAAATCTCTCAGCCTTTCCAGTATGTGAGGACACAGACGGCTGTCTAGGAACTGGGAAGCAGGTCTTCAGCAGATGCCGAATCTACCAGCACTGTGATCTTAGACCGCCCAGTCTCTGCAACCATGAGAAATCTGCTTCTGTTGTTTATAACCCACCCAATCTATGATAGTCTGCTATAGCAGCCCAAATGGATAATGGCAATCTTTTTCCCTTCTACAACTCTGTCGTCATTGATGTGATTTCAATAAATTTCTTTTAAATTTTTAAAATAAGCATTGTAGAATGATATCCTATGTACAGGAATTTATCAGCATAATAGTATTTTTTCTTAGAATATATTTATGACTTTCAGGCACAGAAGGTATTTTTAAGCCATAAAGGACTCTTTTCCTTTATTCATTTTATCACATAAAAATGTAGAACTACTTTATTTTTTAAGATTTTTTCTCTTCTTCTTCTTTTATAATGAGAGCATGCATAAGCAGGGAGAATGGTGGCAGAGAGAGAAGTAGGCCCTGCTGAGCAAGGAGCCTGACATGGGACTCGATCCCAGGACTCTGGGATCATGGCCTGAGATGAAGACAGATGCTTAACCTATTGTGCCACCCAGTCATCCCTAAAACTTTAGTAATAACAGTGATTACTATATTCTATGCCCTGTTATATAAAACCTCATAAAATAGGTATGATTACTATCCCTTTTTACAGGTGAGGCAGTTAGGTATTACAGACAGTAACTTAGGGCTCACATGGCCCTTGACTTGGTGAAGCCAGGATTTAAATGTGTAAGTCGGACTCTAAAGACCATGCTCTTAAGACCTACATTGTATGTAGTCCTCTTGTATTAGAAAAAGATTCATTCATAAAGCTATGAGATAAGAAATTGAGTTGGAGAAAATACAATATATATTTATGCACATAAATGAGTTTCTATAAATTAATATGGTCAATCCAATGGAAAAATAGGTGAGAAGCAGAGGCAGACAACTCACAGAGGAGAAACCTTGAATGTCCAATGAAAAAATGAAAGCCCAGCCCCTCCAGCAACTGGGAAGGCAAATCAAAGTAACCAAGAGATGCCATTCATTGCCATTAGTCTGACAATTCAAAACACTTTTTTTTTTTTTTGTCAACTACTGATGAGGGTAATTAAAAACACATTTTTACCCTTCTGTGCTGATGTGCAAATTGACAGAGGCTTCCTTTAGGGCAACCTAGGTAGTGACAAAATCCAGATAGCCTCCACCCCAGACCCAGTGGTACATTCTAAAAAAATGTAGGCGCACTGATATTCATTACCCCACCATAACAGGAAAAACAACACTAGGCAGAAGGACTTAGATTTTCAAGGAACATTAGTGGAAAAAAGTTGGAAAATATGTAGGCTTGAATTACACACACACACACCTCAAAGCAAAACTATATATATGTCTATATATGGTTGTAAATGCATAGAAGATTACACACAAACGTACTTGGGAAGGGAAAGAGTCTAAAAGGATTCCAGCATTTTTTGCATTGATTTCTAGCATTTTTGCCATAAAAATTTTTATTGGCTCCCTTTCACCTTTTTTTTTTTTTTCCCCTTTCACCTTTTTTCTTTTCTACTTGCAGAACTTTGCTCTTTATCCAGGTCTTCTTCCAACCCTGATAAATTTTAAAGACTTCCCTGTTTCTGCCTATAATGTTTGGTATTCCTTCTTTTCCCACTTTTATTTAATAAGCCCCATACAAATATTTACAGTGTCTCCTCTTCATCTTGCTCAAGAAGAACCTGATGATTACTGAGTTATGAGCTCTAAATAAGGTCTCTGAAAATTTGGATAAATGTAACATTGCCTAAGCTTTAGCCATTTGCACTACTAATAAGGATGGAAATTAAACATGCCGAGAGACTGCCTCCATAAAGAGACTAGCATGGAAAGCAACGCTATTCATGCTTCCCACGCTTGCTCGCAGGGATGGCATTTGGTAATTATAATAATGATGGCTCTTCAGACAAAGACAAAATTCAAGGGAGACAGAAAGAAAGGGCTAGGTCCTAAGTCTCACAGCTAGGTGGCGACAGAGCGGCCTCAGCGACAGCACATTTCATTCTACCTTGTTCCCTTTAATTTCTTTACTTGCCTCTAGGTGGCAGTAACTCTAGTTCAGGTTTCTCCAGATCTCTCCTCTTTTCCACTTCTACACTACTTTAAATTCTTCCCTTAGCTTCTATTTCCTATTTGTAAAATTGTTGTTAGGAGTACATCCTCTCTGGATTGTTGTGCGAATGAAAACGAGATCATCCCACGTTATCGTGTGCATGTGTGTGTGTGTGTGTGTGTGTTACCATCGTTGCACAATTTTAAGATTACCTAACAGTTTAGAAAACCCCAGATTTACAGTCTCCTTTGCTTTGCTTTTCGGATGACTACTTGCTGAGTTGACCAAACAAGTTTCTCAACATTTACCTTCCTTTATTATGATAGAGGATTTTTAAGGTAGGGGTCCCTTTGGCACTTCTCATTACTACTGCTTCAGTTGGCCCTAAATTTATACAAGATTCAGTTGTCATCTTCAACCCCCAGATGAAAGGAGGGCTGTACTCTGGGGCCTAAATCTTCCATGCAATAACACTCTTAAAGCCACTGACTTGGTTTCTCACCTGGGCTTCCTTCCTGTGAGCCGCAGATAGAAGTCATAGATGATGGCAGGGACCCGGTGGCTGACAGCATTCCAGTACTGGCTTATAATGAGGTTGGTTGTGAAGTCTGCATGTGGCCTCCTAAAAGCTCTCTCAAATGGGGCTTTTTCAAATGTTGCCAAGACTTGGAATCCTGGGGAAGAAAATAGAGTACTAAGTCTAGAAGCATATAAGCCCACTGTAGTGGAGGGCATTTGCAATGGGTCAAAATGATAAAGACTAGTGATTGCTGTGAAGAGTCTAGAATCAATCTCTGAGAACAATATTAAGATATTATGCGAGGCAAGGTCACCTACAAAATCAAATAATGAGAATGGGTTACAAAGTGGGTCCTTTTCCTGAAACCTTTATCTAAAACAACTTCTTGAGGGAAATAGTTTCAATCAATACAGTGAAGTATTGTTCAGAAAAACATAAATCCATCATTTGATTCCCAGGTTATCTAGTCTATTCCGAAAGCCCCAAGACAGAGCCAAAAGGCCTTATTTCCTAGGTAGGATCATTGGTTGTAGAACCATCAGGAAAGTTTCTTCATATTTTACTTAAACTTTTAAAAGGGTTAAAGTTTCATAAATGTTTAAGTGAAAAAGAGCATATCAAGGTAGGATTCCCTTGTGCTGGTTCACTTATATACCTGTCTTTTACTTCTTTGTTATTTCTGCTTCTCTGGGGATACCCCAGACTCCACTGTCCATTCACTTTTGTCTCCAGATTTTTTTTCCCACAATTTTTTTTTTAATGATTAAGTAGATAAAAAAACCTAGATAAAAGTTAAAAGACTCTTGATGTATATTTGTAAAATAATTCTTTTCAAAAGATATTAATTCCAATTAAATATTGATTTTACCAATGTAAAATTTTCAAAGAATATACCCAAGTTCATTATTCAATTATGATAACTATATCAGTTATCATGGTAATAATATTATTATCCTCCTTAAAGTGTGTTACTTGGAAATCTGTATAAAAAATATATACCTTGTACAGAAGAGATTCTCAAGAAAGATCTGATCCAGGAATCTGGACTCTTTTTCCTCCCAGAATGGGTACTGCACAGAGACCTGTCCTCTACTCATATTTAAGGTACCAGACCTCCACATGAATTTGAATAGATCTCTTCCTCTCTTGGGGTCTCATATATAAAATAAAGCAAGGCCACTAGATTATTTCTAAGATTACTTTCAACTATGATACCATATACTTTGATAAACGGAAAATAAGAGGTTGCAGCACGGAAGAAGACTTGAACTCCATCAGAAATGGAGTTTACATGTAGCATCTTTTTATTGACAAGCTTAACATAACTTGTTTTCTTCTATTAATGCCTCTTTTTATGAGTGATAAAAAATACCTTAATACCTTAATCCTGTTACTGAGGTAGAGGAGATGTATTTTTAATTCCAAATGTTTTCAGAATTACTCAGATATATGATCTAAGTAACTGGATATATGATCTAAAGAGCTTTGATGCCAGTAGATAATTTCATTTTTTGAAATAACTTTACAAATAGAATAGCATAGGAGAGTGCTCTGAAATGAAAATCAGATCCTAACAAATTAAGTACATGTGATTTTTTTCTATATCTAGTATCTAAATAAGACTAGATGATCTCAAATTTTCAGATATTTGCAGAAAATCAACTAAATTGACAGAGTACAACATTGATTAGCTAATTTTCTATTAATGCAGGGTTAATTACTTCCATTCAATAAGATACTTTCAAGGTGACACTTATGGCTTGCTGTATAAATCAGTGAAGAATATTATTGACTCAGTAACCTACATCTACTTGTTATTGATGATCCCACAGTCTTGATGGTGTAGCCAGGGGACAAGGGATGTGGGCGTGGGAGCAGCACCCGCCTCAGCAGGAGGGGCATTTCCTCACTGATGTTACTTACAAGTGCTGACTTTCAATCGGTTTTATATATTTTAAAAAATCTTCATAGCCAATGGACCCCTTATTGCTTGCAATCATGTACATTATTCCCGTTGACCCCTTTGATATTCCACAGCACATTCTAGTTAACTCTTACACACTGATAATTACTAATTCTTTTATCTTGTACTTATTTTTTATCTTTTTCTCCCATTAGACTCAAAGCTCCAAGACACATTTTGTCACATTTTTCCCCTGTGGTAGACACTACTACTGTGTGGGCAGATGCTAATAGTTATGTAGTTATATCTCTACAGGCACTTACCCATTTTGCCCCAATTACAAGGATTGAGGTTACCAGATGTACAGTGGTAGATTAATGTTGACTTAGGTCTGGAAAATGAAATAAAAATTAAATAAATACAACAAAATGGAGGACAAATGAAAGAAAGATAAGGAAAAACAACATGTAGGCAAGGATGTTTCAATAATTCCCATAACCAGGGCAACACTTCCATCTTTTGTTCCTTCTTTGGGTAAAAATGCAAAATGGAAGAAGACGAGGAATGTGTGTGTTTGTGCGTGTGCATGTGAAAGAGATCTCAAATAAGTTCATGTTTTTAGGGAGCAGATGGAGGTACCATGACAATGAGAAAGCAGATAATATCACTAACTTCTGGACATGTTTATTGGGCAAAATATCGGCTATGTTTTCTTCTAAGTCCAGTTAAGGCCTGTTCTATTGGAAAACTTCTAAATGGCTGACTTCAAATAAAAATTTATTTCTGTTTGCCATTACTATCAGAGTCAAATATACAAACAACCTTTTTTTTTCTTCCCCCTGTACTTGGTAACAGCCCCTCCCATGGTGATCTGAACTTTTGGCATGTAGCAGGAAATGAGCAGTTGTATAAAATATAAAAGATGCCCTTATTTCACCCACTTTTATCTCCTTTGCCTTAAAAAGGGGAGCTGATTTTAGACTACTGAATAGAAAGAAAAGCCTTTTGGGGTTATAAGAATTTTATGATTAAACAGTTTAGAGTTTGCTACTTTATCCAAAATATGAAGCAGTATTTATAAAATATTTCCATGCATATGTGATGGCATATGTGGAACTTTGTAAAATATTGAGACTGATCCTTTCTGACATTTGGGGTCTACTACAATCAAACACACATATTTTGAAACTAAGCCTAACATAGTCACCCTCCTCCTCATCAAATGTTTGAAAGCTGGCTTCCACATGCGCACCTGTGAACGGCTGTGTACCATCCCACAGCCAAAGTGAGATTGACGACTATATCAACAGGAATTAAATCTGCCACAGCCATCGGAGTAGCTCTTATGGACCGAAGAAACCCTTTCCCAGCCTGCACAGGAAAAAGAACAGTAAGTACTGAACCAAGTTTTAAGTAACAGCTGGGACTAATACTAAATTAATGCTGCTAGTTAACAACAGTTAACACTGACTCAGGGCTTACAAGTTATCATGCTAAGGCTGACCCCCACAACCAACCCCCGGCCAAGTCCATCTCAAATGCCAATTTCCAAAGAGGTCCTCAGATTCCTTTAGGAGTGGAGTTCCTCCAATTTGTGAGAGGTTAGTATGTTCAGCTGATGAACAAACACCAAGAACAGTTTTTCACATTTAAAAATTAATTCATAAGATATCTTAAGAACTAAGGTTTCCCAAATTTTCCATTAAGATTAGTTTACCATTTTATTTATTTATTTAACCTAAAGAGAGAGAGACAAAGAGAACAAATTGGGAGGAGAGGCAGAGAGAGAATCAGGCTTTCTGCTGAACAGGGAGTCCAGACACAAGGCTCAATCTCAGGACCTGAGCCAAAGGCACACAGTTAACTGAGTCATCCAGGCACCCTTCAGTTTAGCATTTCTTAAATGATGCCATTTTCTGCTAGTTCTCACTAACTTACAAACAACAGATCCTAAAAGTCTAAGAAACATTTTAAAAAGTTAATAGGCTTCTACCGTTCCATAAATACTCTTTATTACTTAAGGAAAAGCCACCATTTTTTGCTAAGTATCTTTGTTCACTTCAAAGATGTTATATAAGTGTAAGAATTGGGAATTATTCACATTAATAAATAAGTCATACCAATAAATATATAGGTTAATAGTCATGTTCACTGACTTTATGAAGTTATTGATACCCTGCATATTTCCAGCATTGATTTGCAGTGGTTAGCACTTTCCTATATTCCTAATCTCTATTTTCTTGTGACTGATTCCCCTTCCTTTTTATGTAAGAAATCAGTCTGAAAGATTTTAGAAAATCTACATCCATGTGCAGCTTTGTAAATAATATAATAAACCTCACTCTAGGATCATGTAAAAATAATTATGTTCTAAGTTACCAAATGTTCACCCCAACTAAGATTTTAAGATGAAAGAGTTGGGGTGCCTGGATGTCTCAGTCAGTTAAGCATCGGCCTTCGGCTCAGGTCATGATCACAGAGTCCTGGAATCAAGTCCTACATAGGGCTCTCTGCTCAGCGGGGAGCCTGCTTCTCCTTCTCCCTCTGTCTGCTGCTCCCCTTGCTGTGCTCTCTCTTCTCCCCCCTCCCACCATCAAATAAATAAATAAAATACTTTTTAAAATAAAAAAAATGAAAGAGTTGAAGACAGGTGGAGAAACAAAAAGAGAGGGGCTGCTAGAAAGAAATCAGAAGTTCTCTGCCACTGTCTTTGACAAATAGTCATAATTCACTCTTATGTTTGTATGTTAGTTCACGTGGGACCTAGCTCTGAAGCACGGCATTTCTAATAAGATTTACACTCAGGGAGAGAAGTGAATTCCTATTCATCATCCCAAAGAGCAGAGAGGCGGTTCAGGTCCTATAGTGCTTCCTCCTGAACTGTGAGCTGTGGCACACCTCCCATCACCTAGATCAGCCTTCACCGCAGGGACCTAAAGGCACCGCTGATGTTTCTCCTTGTTTGGGAGAGGAGTATTGGTGAAAAGCGTTTTCTCTATTCATTCATTTTTATAGGAGAAAAATTTGCTCTAATTGGTGGTTCTCTTTCTTGTATCTGTTGAGGACTATTATTGATGTATTTTTATTATACATAAAATTTCTATCCATACACATTAACTCTTGAATGCATATTATAACGAAGAATAATCTTTGAAAATGTGATTTTTGTTGCCTCCCCAATTTACTGTATTAATTCAAGCTATTAATAAATAGCGAAAAGGAGGAAACACTCCCCTCTTGTGGTAATTAAAGGGAAATGCAGACATGGTCCTTGATGCTCAGACTTTCCAAAAATAAAACTCCTCAAGAGTAACTGATGATATCACAGTGCTTCTGCTTTCCTGATAATAAAATCTACAAATAATAAAAGTAATTTCATCCTGCCTCTGTTTCCCAACCAATAGAATTGAGATTAAGTGGCTTCAGTTGTAGTTACTAAAGTAACACGGATTTGGATCAGTGAAGCGAAACCAACACTAGGCATTTTATTACCATTCCTCCACTACCTCCCAAAGAGTTATTTCGACATTATTATACGTACCGCAATAATGAGCCCACTAGGTCCATTTAGGTTATCAACCCAGCCCTAAAAGAAAAAGATCTCTATTAGTTACACATGTCAGAAAATCATTATACGTCGATGCAATGTCTGCAGTCTGATTTTAGGACGTTTCAAACAAGAGCACTGAGATCCCAGCTGATAGAATGGTCTCATCCAATATATCTAAGATCACAAACAAAGATCACTCGCAAAGCACTGGATATTTCTGCGCTTGTGCAAGAATGAAAATTCTGCCAGCATCTTTTTTTTTATAGGAGGGAGGAGTCATGGGGAGTTTCAGTTTGTTTTATGACATCTTAGAGGTTAAACTAAACCTTGACTTAATATCATAACTTGCTAACCAAGTCACTAGCCATCACTTTTCTTCACCTCAGGCCTGATTTTAACTCTCCAGGGGAACACTACATATCAAACATGATTTGTAGGAATGATCCATTTCTGGAAAATCTGAAAAGTTGAGCATCCATACTCTATTTGCATTAGCTTGCTCAGAGATGTTCATGGGAAGACTATGTTATGGAGCTGTTGGAGGAAAAACGACTTCTTGAGCTTGTCTCCTAAGCCCTAAGCAAGTCAGTTGACCTTATTATGTCTGTTTCTTCATCCATAAAAGTTGAAATGTGTGTTTAAATAGGAGAGGAGGGAGAATAGAGAAGAGGGAAGACCTAATATTTATTCAACTAGGGACCAGGCACTACACTAAACACTCCTTGTACATGGTCTCATTTGATTGGCTCTCCACATGTGGGTCCAGTATTGGGCTAAAATAGCATGAGCCCAGGTTTATAGATGAGACTGCTCAAAAGCCTGAATTTTCAGTAAGTCATAGAGCTCAATTTTTTTGGCCCTAAAGCTTCATAGAATTGCTTCAAAAAAGATAGTATAATTCGGTGTACATTCAAAAGGATACAGCAATACACAGATGCAAAAATTAATTATTCCTAAACTGAGAACCTTCTGCGAACTTTGTGGTTCTTATTTACCCTGACAGTTATAAAACTACCAAAATGGCCACCAAGAACATTCTGGTATATTTAAACTATAGTGGGGAAGCCAAGAACTAAAACTATCTGCTACAACAATTTTCAGACTCCAGTGAATGAGAGGCTAATGCAAGACCTCCATCCAACTCTGGGACAGACAGTAGAACCTCCAGAGGAACCTCATGTTGGATAAATCCTGAACCAAATGTGAAATTTTGTCCTAATATAATGGGTTCATACTTGATTTGCTGCACTCAGCTATATGTTCTGAGAAGAGAGAGAGAGAAAAGGACATCTTTGGAAAGTAATTGGGTGAGAAGGATGATGGTTTGGAAGCAAAGCAAGGAATCCAGACAAGTGGACTTACCGGGAAAGGCTCCTGCCAGGTTGCTCCCACAATGGAGGGCCTTATGATGGCAATGTTTAGGTTCCCGCTCTCCTGCTGCACCACCATCTCACCCAAGGCCTTGGTATACGTGTAAGTATTGGGCCGATCACCTATCAGCTTGGGGGTGATCTCATCAATAATAGCATCATCTAACCACCTGTGGGTAGTCAGAGTCAAAAAGAATTCTAGTAGCATATGTTAGACAATAGACAGGAAGAAAGATAGGGAGGGAGGGAAGAAGGGAGAAAGGAAAGTAAGGAGGGAGGAAGGAACCCCCAAACAAAACACAATCAAACAAGACTTCCCCTTTCTCGCTTGAGTTCTGGAATTCAGAAGAGTCATAGGATACCAAGGCTGACTGGGCACCCGTCCAAACGCCGAGTGCTGAATGAGCTCTTGGCTCTGCACCATGAGGCCCGCTCTCACCAGTTGAGTCCAGCTTCCTCCCACCTAGACTGATAAATTCAACAGCCATGCAATCTACTACTTCATTATGCATGATCTCTAATTATCCTCAATTATTTCCTCTTCGACTGGCTCAGGAGTACACCCATGAGGACACCTGTGGGTGCCAGCCGTGCCCGTAGCATGCCATGTGCTGTGTTCGTGGAGCTTAGAGGCTCCCACCCCAGGCTTCCCAGGGTTCTGGGATGAGCCCCTGTTCATCCGGGGTTGTCCTGTTCACACCTAGTGCACCAATCTTGCAACCTTTCGCTTTTTACTTTTAAAATTCCATTCAGTGCCTCAACAAATAAAAGCAATGACATTTGGCAGAGCTACAATCTGTTTTAGCAAATCTGTGGAATGCATTTTGAAGCTATATTTACAGTCATAGTAATAGCTCGGTAATTTTTTCCAGAGATTTCCCTTGAATTCTGAGATTCTCTAGTAGCTATTAATAGTCTGTCAGGAGGCATGATTATACTACTCTGAAGCAGCTCTAATAGTGACTGGTGAACACCTCTCCTTACAAAAGGACATGTATCATGAGAAACTGAGTTACCATGACAGCCACCTAATCTCTTTTTTAAAGATGTCAGAACCCTTTTGATAATCCCAAAGTCTATCTGCCCTTCTCAAAGAAAGCAATAAAATTGTCAATTAAATATTTAATGTTTCTCTTAGTTGACAGACCTATTTGGTTAAACATTTGTTACAATATAATTTTTCAAAAACCAGGCTACCTAAATATGTTAGTGTGATTTTTATAATTGATGTGCTTGGTACATTTATTCCTACCTTAGAGGGCTGAGCTCAAACTATTTTGATTATAGAAAAATCTTAGCTGTTATTGCTTTGCTCCCATGACAAATTATTGGACATTTACAATGTGCTTATGTCAATATTTATTCAGAGACACAACCCTCAGTTTTGAGAACACTCATTTGATGTTGGAGTGGGACATGAGCACTGTCTATAACGTTTCGGTTTTCCTTGCTTTGCTGCTATTAGTTCTGAGTGTTTTCTAGATACTCAAATACCGTTTGATATAAATTGAATAGGGAAAAAAGGTCAAGAAGTTCCTAGAACAAAAGTAACTCCATATAGTTAGAAAAATGGAAGATTTTCTAATTATATGGCCCCCTGAGGTTAGGGATAAAGCATGTGGGATAATGTAGGCAACTCTCCATTTCATGTTGATGTTACCATTGCCTCATTTTATCTGATGGTCCACAGTGGATTAACTGACCTAAGACCATTTTCTTTCACGTGCAAACACACACAGATTGCAAAAACCAGGTCAGGAGAAATACAGCCTGATCAGGCTGTAAAGAAACAAATTCTTAGAATACATGAGAACATAACCAGGCACTAAGCTGATACGTCACAGGGCTGGGACCAGCTGTGGTCATTGATGTTGGTGTGCATGGAAAGGGAGTTCGCCTATCTTAGAAAATGTTGGTTTCAGGGCACCTGGGTGGCTCAGTTGTTTGAGCATTTGACTTTTGGTGTCAGCTCAGGTCATGATCTCAGGGTCAGAAGATGAGCCCCAGGTTGGGATCCACAGTCAGCAAAGAGTTTGCTTAAGGCTCTCTCTCCCCCCAGCTTATGCTCACACTCTCTCTAAAATAAATAAATAATTTTTTTTTTTAAAGAAAATCCTGGTTCGTAGATTACTAAGAACACAGCTGTAAAAGAAGTTGTTGTGCTCTGTGAATGGTTTGCCTCTCATATTTGTGGCTCTGTCTGTATCCCACTGAATTAGCTTCTTGATTCCTCAGTTTTTACTGGTGAAAAATGGCAATCATTATAGCTGTTCTAATTTTCAAGTTATCATGAGAACAAACAGGAATTTTCACAACTGCACTTAAAGCTCTTTGATAAAACCAAACGAGCCAATAAACCGAAGGAATTTTTGATGTTTGGTAAAAGAACCAAGGGGCATGTATCTACAAATGTAACAGTTAGTTTTAAATTATCTTTTCTGATGCAGGCAAACAGCCCTTGGCCCATCTCATCCAGCCACTTCCTGGGTTCAAAGAGGATGTTGGTATAAGAAGCACATGCACCCGCTGGTTAAGTGGTGATACCCTTTACGAGACCTATATTCAGTTCATGCTCTTCTTTACGAAAGTCTGATTGGCTATTTGTTCTCAATTTTTTTGAAGAACATTTTTAAAAAATGTATTTATTCGAGGAAGAGAGAGAGAGAGTATACGAGCAGGGGGAGAGGCAGAGGGAGAGAAGCAGGCTCTCGGCTGAGCAGGGAGCCCAATGCCGGGTTCAATCCCAGAACCCTGGGATCATGCCCTGAACTGAAGGCTGACACTTACCTGACTGAGCCACCCAGGTGCCCCTTCTCAGCTTGTTTTTAAAACAGTGAAGTTGGCATGGAAAAAGACATTCTATAAATAAAAGTACATTTCTAAAATTAACCAAATGCTCTTCAGGGTACCTGAGATGTTTTGAACCCGTAGGTCCCAGATTCTAAACTTCTACTTACATTGCTTCAAAAGAAGCAAAAAGTTAGTGAAGATTTCAGAAAGCAATGTACATACCATTTCCTATAAATATTACTATCTTTTTGAGGGGGGGCGGGGCTTGAAACTTACTGCATCAACCTAGTATCATTAATGATTTCATAATTTAGGTACTTCCTAAATGAAATAATAAGAGGAATATAAATTTTTCCTCCTAGTTTCCTTAGGCAACAGGGAGGGCAAGAGCAGTGGTATTTCGGGTGAAGTTTTCTGCGGAGCCAGTACTGGACACACGGTCATGTTTGCTCTCTCCGTCTCTTGTCTGAATTAAGTTCTTCCCTTGATTCTTGCAGGGATCCTGCCGTAGGTTCATGTGTCAGTTTCCCCATTTTATAGTGAGTCCCAGAGAGCAGGGATTAGGTTTCTTCTGTGTCCAATCACTTTACCCGCCCAGGCACCTACTCCCTGATTCAGTCCTGAAGGGCTCTCCCACACAGTCTTGACTGGATGGTTTGTGTTCTGAATAACACTTTGGGAAGCTGAGATGGACATTGACAGGAGAGCCCGGAGGAACTGAGGAGCGGGCGGGGCTGGAAGGAATCTGTGGGGAAGGAAGGAAGGAAGGAAGGAAGGAAGGAAGGAAGGAAGGAAGGAAGAAGGAGGAAGGGAAGGAGAAAGGGAAGAGGGAAGAAGGAAGAAGGGAGGAGGAAGGGAGGAGGAAGGAAGGGAGGGGATGTGTTTTTGGAGAATGAAGCAAAACTGGAAGTTAAAATATCAAGCTGGTAGTGATGTCAAGTGTTGAGAAGCTGAAAGACTACATGTTGACTAATTTCAACATGGCAGAGTTGGCTTCAGAGCAAATTTACACTTTTTACTGGGGTCAAGGGTATTCCTATGCCTAGTGCTGGCGGTGAGCTGGCCTCTGCATTTCCCCCTTGACTACTACTGAATACTTATTCTGGCCTCCAGTGGCCTGATAATATGGAAATTATTCAATCTATCTAGGAAGCAGTCTAACCCAGCTCTGATTTGTATTTAAAACCAGATAACACTAAAAGTACACAGAATTTTCTGGGTTTTTTTGTCTGCTGCTTAGATGCCATCTTAAGCCTATACAATTCTGACAGTAAACGGACAAAATCAAAATGAGTGTTTTCCTTTCCTCTGGAGTAGATATACTGTCTTAGTGTTAACAACGTGTTCTTCAGCACCCAGACAAGACTACTTTCCAACATCTGACTTCCTTTCATATTTCTGCCATAGCTGACTGCTGCCCATGTTTGATCAAAACCACCTTTTTTCACATGGCAGATTAACTGTGCTTCTGGAGGCCAGGTAGCTTCAAGAGCATGATTTTTAGTAGGTACAAATCTTTCAGGGAATTTTCATCGAGGAAAGCCTCTAGGAATGGGGAGGGGGGTGGCAAGCAAGGAGAGTGGGGAGGCTGGGGTGAGTGGGTGACTGGAATATGAATGAAACTCGTGTCAAATGAGAGACATTACATGAAAAAGCACTTTGAGGCAGTTTTCTCCAAACTTGCCTGCTCATCAGTAAGACATATGTGGGGCCTATGACAAAAGTTCAGCTCCCTGGGCATCTTAGAACCTCCAAATCAGTCTTCAGGGGCGACAGCTTGATAACCTTGATTTGTAACCAGTGGAGTGGTGCTTGTTATGGTCAGGCAAACTGAGGAATCACCAGTTTCAAAGGACGCCACCCCACAAATGTTAGCCTTGAACAAATTGGGATTAGCTCTGAGAGAGGCATCACTTCTTGGAGTAAACCTTTCAGTAGACTTGAACTTTAAAGGATTTCAATCCTGGACACTAGAGATGGAATCTGAGGGTTGATTAGAAGGTATGTGCAAGCCCACAAGCAAAGCAGTGGCCACGTCCCATTCAGTCTCCTGTCCCCGAACACAGAGGTGTTTTTTGGTATCTATTGTCACTCCCCAGTTCTCAGTCTCACCCCACAACATGGCAGGTCACAGCTGCCCCTGCCTCTGATGACTGCCTAGGCAGATCTACCCCCTTCCCTCGGGACCGTACTAACATTCCTAAAGCCTGCTTTCATCCAAGTATTTTTTTTGATGAAAACAAAATGGAAGCACCAACCAATCAAAACCACCCCCTCTACACACACATGCGTGACCCTCCTGCCGTGGATCCCTATTGCCTCTAGAATTAAATACAGTCCTCCCCACGGTATTCAAAACTCTCAGGACAGCCCCAGCCCCACTCCCCTACAAATAACAACTATGCTGCCCAGGTAGATGGATGGCCATACCCCCAGCATGCCTCCAGCCTTCCTGCTCCCCTGGCTGTGCCTAGTCTGCGCCCCCACCTCACCCTGCCACACCGTGCCTCCTCTCCCAAGTCCGTGTGCTGTGCCCGTCTCCACAGGGCCTTTCCACTGCCACCACCAACTCCATCTAACTTCTGCTACCATGCTCCATGTATAATGCTACCCTGCCCTGCTTTGTGTTTTACTGGGAGCTCCTTGAGAACACAGTCTCTTTTTTAAGAAAGCACCTTTTAATCTCTCATACAGTCAAGTGTGTGGGAGTACTGAAAAGGGCCGTGTGATCAAATCATGGGGCCACAGAGAAAAATGGTGTCCCTGTAACTTACCAGGTGGGAGAATTCCGAAGCCTTCCTCAGTCTTTTGGAGCTTCTGTTTCTTTATTAGCCCAGTAGCAGCAACACATACCACCAGCCCGACAATATTACGGCAAGGAACCGGTGTCTGCGAAAGTGTCTTTACTCACAATAATTGCTCAGTGATGAATCAGAGCTGCCCTTCCCTTCTTAATGTGTACTTACTAGATTGATTTAAGGATGCTAACTAAAGCAGTAAATATTTATGGATCCATTTTTCTAGTTTCGGGCTATAGTTATTTCCAGTTTTTATATAGGTAACAAAAATCTTTTCCTTCTGTCTCTCCTAAGAGGAGTTAACTTGGCCTGAAAAAGAGGGAAAACAGCAATCTTTCCCGGTTATGTGCACTTTTAAAAAAAATAAACATTCTACTTGAGCCATTATTCCGGAAAACTGGAATTTCATTGGTAGTCCCTCATCCATTTATGCATAGGAGCTCCTAAAGGTAAAACCCTCCCCAACTGCAGAAGCCAGAAATAAGAAGACAGGGAGATGGGGAAGAATGGTGACATAATTCCATGATAAAATGCCTGCGATAATTGGGACGAGGGCTGCGGACATGTGCAGGTGTGAGAGCTGGAGAGGTCTGTTTTTTTAATGCTGATTCATGGCCACAATTGTCATACCAATAAGAAGCATTAACTCCTAATTGGGTCTGCCCTCAGTTCAAAGGCTTCCAGAGGAGAGCTCTGATGTCAGAGTAGGAATTAACTAGGGAAGCAGAGGTGGAGGTAGTTTCTAGAAACAGAACTGTCATAAGCCAAGGCAGAGCGGCATGAGGGAGAGGAGTAATGACTTCAGTGTGACCATAGCACAAACGTAAGGGGAGGGTTGGCAGAGATGAGGCTGGACAGGTGGTCCTGAATATAAAATTCTGAATTAATAAATTGTGGTTATGACTTTTCCTTGTTTTTAAAAAAGAAGGAAACCTTGGTTTCTTAATTATATGCAAAATGTGTTCTATTGAGACAAAATTTTATTTCATTTTTACTTCTGTTTGGCTGTATATTTTTCAGAATAATTCTATTCCTTGGGGAGCAGTAAATGAGAGACGTGAATTTTGTACAAATGCCGATTCCGGTTTGATCATCAATCATGTAGCTATCCCCGGCTTTCACCAGGGGACATGGAGTGGGCGAGGATGGCAAGCGCTGGGCACCTGAAGAGAAACCAACTCCTCTTCTGGGAGGTGAGTTTATTCTTCTTGGAGACCTGGGGATCCTGAGGGGACACAGTCTGGGAGGGAGGAAGTGCTACGGAGGACTGGGAGAAGCCCCTCGCTGGGGCTGAACTGAAGCTTCAACTCCTGCCTCCTTTCTTTGGCAGTCTCTGCAAGACTCTGTCCTGCCTCACATGGTGCTGTCATGTACCAGCTGCGAGATGGGTCAACAGTGGAGGAAGGCTCTGGGATCTCAGCAGAGTCTGCACTCAAACAGCTCTGCCCCTTTCCTGGGCACAGCAAATATGTACACACCACATGGACCAAGAGACAGCACTGTGGGAGGGCAGCTCACCGAAAACAAATCGATTCCACCCAAAAACACTCTGAGGCCTTCCACATCCACTCTCCTGTACCGACTTGGGGCATCAGAGCCTCTTTTCTCCAACTCTCCTGACAAGCTCTGAGCTTGGAAGGTCCCTTTGCACGACTTAAGCAAGTCACCACTTATGAGCAATGTGAGGTAACCTCCAGGTCCTTTAGATGACTTTCATTCTTCTTTGTCCCGGATATTTTTAAATGACAGGTAAAAATATCTATTCTCAGGACCGTAGGAGATAAAAATGTTTGCCCTGAAGGGAGTGAACTCTTGATTTAGCTAAGCTTCATTTTAAAGAGTCTATCTTAAATAGTGATACAGTATTACATGAAATTAAAATCTGACAAATTTCATGGTGAAGTAGTCTATTTTCTCAGCCAGAATACCTTTTTGCAGTTGTTGTTGTTTTTTGTTTTGTTTTGTTTTGTTTCTAAACAAGATAAACTTGTTAAATTGAACAGAAGAATGAAGATCCAGAAAACGAAAACACTTGTTCTGAGACCAGGGCCTGTCCTAAGAATAAAGTGGTTCCTGTTAGTAGGAGGGAAGAGAAAGATGCTACAGTTATTTTTTTCTCCACAACAAGACAATAAGGAAAGCATATCTCAGCCTCCTAGACCAAGAGACTTGCACTTTCTGCCAGACCTGGGAGGATTTCCACTTACCTAGGAGTTCTTCTTCTTATTATTATTAATTTTTTAAAGATTTTATTCATTTATTTGACAGAGAGATAGGAGAACTCAAGTAGGCAGAGCGGCAGGCAGAGGGAGAGGGAGAAGCAGGCTCTCTGCCAAGCAGGGAGCCCGACTGGGGCTCCATCCCAGGACCCCGGGGATCATGACCTGAGCCGAAGGCAGATGCTCAACCGACTGAGCCACCCAGACGTCCCACATCTGAGTTCTTCTTTATTAACCTTTGGATCAGCTGCCATTAAACACTCCCAAGCACAACAACTGCTTTCTATCACTCATCATCACTACAAGATGAGCACTGTTATCACCCCCATTTCACAAATGAAGGAACTGAGGCACAGAGAGGCCAAGGAACTCACTCAAGGTCACACAGACAGGAAGCTGCAGAAGCCAGGTCAGACTGACACTGAAGGCTTGTTTCTACGCTTTTACACTGTACACTCTACTTCCTTCAGTGACCACGCTGAGTTCAGTACGGAGTGACAGAAGCATTCCCATGTGCCCATTACAATCCTAAACTATTTCATAAAACTCTTCTGTGGCATTTTTTTTTGTTATGTTCAGTTAGCCACCATATAGTACACCATCAGTTTCTGACATCACGTTCACCCAGTGCTCATCACCACTCGTGCCCTCCTTGATACCCACTGCCCTGTGGCATTTATCCATGCCCATCCTTCCCCATCACCAAGCACTGTACTCCCCACGCTGGGATGAAGGGAACAGCAGGGATCAGACAGTGAAAGCTAGCACCTTTGCAGAGCACGTTGCTTCACGAGTGTCTCGCTTTGTTACCTCATTAATGGATGACTACAAAGAATCAAAGAGAACCACACGGTCTGCCCACCTCCTGACACCCTGATGTGACCCAACTTACTCCATGGAGTCGATGATTTTTTTTGGCTCCACAGGGCATGGGTAGATGACCTCATCGATGTGCTTCAGGTTACAATTTGAAAAGGCAGTGGAGATATGTATGAAGGCTTCAAGCTTTGGCATCTGACTGGCCATGAGCAAGAGCTGCTGGGTGGCAGTGACGTTAAGTTGCACGGCGTGTCTGCAGGAGGTAAAGCAGAAGAAGTACCATGAGGCAATTCGGTGTCCTGCTTTGCTAGAACGTCACCTCCTCCAATAACGGGCACATATGTCTCATTTCTGTGGCTGCACCAAAGGCCCAGGAAGAAGAGCACAGACCATAGCTACACAGTTGTGTGATGCCTGGAATGTGTTATAGTTGATGCCGTGTTCTGTGCAAATAAATCCTAGTCGCTGAAGCATTGTTCGTATTGCATTTAGAGATAGCTTGGTTCTAAATCAACTGGAAGGAAAAAAAAATCACAATCTTCTGGATGTATAAAGGGGTTTCTTAAGCAGCCACTAAAAATATAAAGACACACAAATTGAGCATCTAACTCAAGAAGCTGTAAAAATTCAAATGAATTGTAGGAGAGTAGCAGTGGATAGAGAATGAGAAATAGAAATTTCTATTGCAGGGGCACCTGGGTGGATCAGTGGGTTAAGCTTATCTCAGGGTCCTGGGATCAAGCCCCACATCGGGCTCTCTGCTCAGCAGGGAGCCTGCTTCCCACCCCCCCCAACTCTGCCTGTTTCTCTGCCTACTTGTGATCCCTGTCTGTCAAATAAATAAATTTTTAAAATCTTAAAAAACAATAAAAAAGAAAGAAATTTCTATTGCAAAGATCCAGGTCAGACCTAAAAATCAATGTCAAAATCCCAAATTTTTGCTAATAGAATACCAAGTTATATAAGTATAATACGAGATGACAATGAAATGGTTCATGCTAGAAACACAAGGTTTATACAATATCAGGAACCCTGTTAATCTAACTAAAAAAGACAATAAAAAAGAGAAAAACTAAATGATCCTCTATATGTATTTTGAAAATTTTAAAATGATGTTCAGTATCCATTTCCAATTTAATTTTTAAAAAATCATTAAAAGAAGAATAAATGATTAAAATACATCCCTTTCCCTTTGCTAGCCTGTATCATGTTTAATGGTGAAAAGTTAGGAGCACTGCTTTTAAAGTCAGGGCCAAGGGGTTCCTGGGTGGCTCAGTCGATCAAGCATCTGCCTTCAACTCAAGTCATGATCTCGAGTTCCTGGGATAAAGCCCTGCGTTGGACTCCCTGCTAGGCAGAGAGCCTGCTTCTCCCTCTCCCTCTGCCTGCTGATCTGCCTACTTGTGCATTCTCTCTCTTTCTCTCTCTCTCTCTCTCTGTCAAATAAATAAATAAAATCTTAAAAAAAAAAGTCAGGGCCAAGAAGAATGGCTGCAATTACTACTACTACTTAATATTGCTCTGAACTTCCACCTGGTAATTAGAGAGGAAAACATAAGGAATTAGCAGATGTAGCAGTTGTAAAGGCAGTCATAAAAATCCCTGTCAGATTACATAATTGTGTATCTGGGAAACAAACAAAAGAGAAAAAAAAAAGAAAGAAAAAACCTACCCTGGGACATGCAATGATTCATTCAGTAAAGTGTCCATTTATAAAAGTTATGCTAAAGGAAAAAACTGGAGAATACGGTGGAAGAAAGGCACATATTCAAAACTGAACATTTAAAAAATATATCCAGTTAAGAAAAAAGGAATAGACTATATACAAAAATAAAACTTCATTAAGGGTTATAGAAAAATTGAATAAACAATATATTGTTCTTAGATAGGAAGAGCCAATGTTTTAAATATGTGGTTTTTCTAAAGTAGTTGACATGTTCATATTCAGTAATCCTAATCAAATTCCCAACTTTTTAAGAAGCTGGAAAAATTATCTTAAGCAGATGAGAATAGTCAGGAAAATTCTATAAAAAGAGAATGATGTGTGTAACTTGCCTAATAAAGTAAAAAATTACTGTAATAAAATACTGTGGTGTTGGGAGAGAAAGCCTAAGTAATGGAACAAAAATAAAGAGTCCAACATTGGAAATTCAGTATATTATAAGAACTTCACTAAATAAAGAGTAAAAACAAATCATTTAATAAATGTTTCTTAAGAAGTAGCCATCTGTTAGAAATTTTTCAAAAGCTACTCTATATTTACACCCACATCACTTTCCTTTTTATAGAATTTTCCTATTTCTCTTTATAAGCCAAAAAAACTCTAAATGGGTCAGAGATGTAAAGGAGAAAATTAAGCAATAAAAATTGTAGAAGAAATTATGAATAATGCATAAATAATAAAAATAGTTGAGGACAAATGATAAAGTATTTTGAGCTTTGTTAAAGACCAAAAATCAATATGCTAACTATTCCAACAAGTCTTAAAATTGACAAGAAAAAAATGTTTCAGTAGAAAAATAGGCAAAGAACACGAATAGGCATTTCACAAAAGAATAAGATGCCAATACTACGCAGCCATCAAAAGAAATGAAATCTTGCCATTTGCGATGACATGGATGGAACTAGAGGGTATCATGCTTAGCGAAATAAGTCAATCGGAGAAAGACAACTATCATATGATCTCCCTGATATGAGGAAGTTGAGAGGCAATGTGGGGGGTTTGGGGGGTAGGAAAAGAATAAATGAAACAAGATGGGATGGGGAGGGAGACAAACCATAAGAGACTCTTAATCTCACAAAACAAACTGAGGGTTGCTGGGGGAGGGGGGTCGGGAGAGGGTGGTGGGGATATGGACATTGGGCAGGATGTGTGCTGTGGTGAGTGCTGTGAAGTGTGTAAACCTGGCGATTCACAGACCTGTAGCCCTGGGGCTAAAAAATACATTATATGTTTATTTAAAAAAAAAAAAAAAAGAATAAGATGCCAATCAGCATTTCCACGCCCTCAACTTTTCTCATTATCAACAAAATCAAAATATGGATTGGCATTTCCATTATATTGACAACATTAAAAGTAAAGAACGATAACACAGTATGCCTGTGGGTGTCAGAAATGAGCATTCATGTGCACTGGACAGCGGAAATCAATACTGCCCATGTGGAAAGCAATGTAGCATTATATGCCAAAATGTAAACCATTTCTAACCTGGGCACATCCGGTACATCCCTAACAATTTTACTTCTGGACATTTACCCAAAGTAAAGCACACAACGGTATAAAAAAAAAAAAAATGCAAGCACAGAGATGTTCACTGAAGCATTGTTTATAATACTGAAAAATTCGAACAATCCAAAAATATCCACCAATATAGAATTGGTGGAGTATACTATAGACACATAAAATGGAATGTCATACAGTCATTTGAAATTATAAAGAATATCTACTCACAATGAAAGATATCCAAAGATATAACCAAGCAAGTCGCTAAAAAATTATCAGTATGATGCCATTTTTTGGTGAAGTTGAACGTAAGTCTATTTTATTATGGATGTGTAAAGAAAAGCTGGAATGGAAGCTCTCTATGATATTAAGTGGTAGTCTCCGGGTGGCGAGATTTTTGGAGTTTGACTCCTTTGAATTTTTTTTTCATGGAGAATATACCTTTAAAAAAATTTTTTTTTAATTTAAATTCAATTTAGTTAACATGGAACATCTTATTAGTTTCAGGGGTAGAATTTAGTGATTCATTGCTTGCGTACATCTTTTTTCTAACAGAAACCGCAAGGAAACTGACATGCATGTGTACACGCACACACGTGCACCTGTGTGCGCCATGAGCAGGAAGTGGGTATGTACCTCAGATGATCATCGAAGCGCACGGTGGCCGCACAGTGGAAGATAATGTTTGTACAGGAGAGAAGCTCTTGCATGTCCTCCTTGCTGATAGCAAAGTCATTATGATTGAGGTCCGCATAGATAGCTCTGATCTTCTCATGCACGTTTGGACAAACTTCTTTGACTTTTTGAAAGAGCTAAAACATAAATAGAAATCAATATGCAGACAGCGTCATCACCATCACATTGGTCTTGTTTTTGTTGACGTGTCACATCGCAATTCTCAAAAACTGGTTTTATCTGTAATACCACTCAAAGAAGGCATTTACTCAAGAGCCATTTGTTTTACCTCTTGCAATTTGGTCAGCTTGGTATAATTTCCACTCTTCTTAATTTGATAAACATTCAAAAAAGTCAGTTCTAATAACCAGGAAGGAGTGTATTTTGAGCCTTTCCTGCAGGTTGAAAGAATGACAGTGAGTCGTCCATATCCTGCCCCTCCTCTTTTCCCCATGTTTATACATGGAGATTGTTTCCATTTTTGGCTGGGAAACATGGCTTTCAGTGCAAAATTACCAGCCTTTGCAAATTACCAGCAAAATCACCAGCCTTTACAAGGGAGGTCTCATGGATACAAGTTTGAAACAACTTAGTTAACTGGCCCAGAGGAACAGTAGTAGGTCTTAGCAGCACAAACATAATTAGAAAATAACAAATTCAGTGAATCTGTAATGGGTAAAACAAATACAACTTTTAAATAATCTCATTCCAATATCCTTGGCAGTTATTGTCTAGTAAGAGAATTACATGAGCTCATGTACGTTTTATGGGATATTAATTGATTTCTTAATATTCTAATTTCTTTATAAAGGAAAAGGAAAGAGCCACAAGTGTGGAGGGGAAAGTAGATTCAACTGGTATTTTCCATTTTCTCAAAGAATGTAATTTAAAAAAAATGTTCTTGGTTTCAACCTGTTTTGACAAAAGGAAATTCTACTGTTGTATTGGCATGGGCTAATAGCAGTGAGGAAAAATAAGGCTAAATGTTTAGGAAGGCTAGGAGCGGAGAAAATTAGTCTGTGGTTTTAATCATAGTAGAGTAGCCGAGCCTAGTCCCTTCACCCCTTCTGCCCCCGAAGACAGTTTGCATGTCTTCCTTTATCCTGAAGAGCAGGCTTCTTCCCTCCACTGGAGATCTACCCTAGGCTCTTTTATTGGCTGATAAGAAATTGATCTAAGGTAGTAAGAGAAATCATGTCTCCTCTGAATCAGGCAAGACCATGTTCAGAGGCCCTTGTGGGAATCCAGTGAAGATGATCAGAGAAGGAGGTCAAGTCCACATATTGACCTGGTGAGCTACTACACTTCTGCCTTTGAGCTACCATTTTTTTTCTCTGCAGGAGCAGCCTTGCAGTAGCGTGGGACTAGAGTTCTGAAAAGCGTTTGGAGGTTAGATCAACCCTCAAAGGTTTTGTGACATTTGGGACTGATGCGGTGGATCCAGGGTCTGAGGGACATTCTCAACAAAGGTCATTCTGGCTCTTCCAGAAAGATATTTAGCAGCTTTTGTAATCTGGATGAATCATGAGCAACCTAAATACTGGTTTTCACCATCAAAGCTTTTCCTTCTCATAGTCTATGTTAGTCATGTGACAAATTGGATCTTTTTGGATAAATTTATCTAAAATTTGCATAATTTCCCCCATTTTTAATAATTTGATTTGTAGAAGGTTCTGTTTTGAGTTTGCATGACAGATTTTATTCACAAGAAATTTATTTCGGGTTCTGTGGAGTCTTTGACTTTGACCTGTGATGATTTCTGGCTACATTAGAGTAGTAAGTGGAAAATGACTTCACTGTCCATCCTTCCAGCAATGGAGTTCCTCCCACATGATGTAAGCTACCGTACAGATTTTCTTTTGCCTTTGGATTTTACAACTTTAAAAGGCAGAGAATCCCATTACACCATATTATACTTCCAGCCCACCTATGCAAATGTGATCAATGGAGATAATTACCAATTCAGGAAATAGTGTTCTGAGCTATATTCTATTTATTGATTATATTTTCCAATGACAGGGCATAGCCGAGTGCACATGGTATAATTCTTTTTAAAGTTTAAGTTTTCTAATCCAGATGGGATTTATTATGGTCAACTGAAATAAATCGGAGAATTGGCTGCAGCAATTCAAGCCACAGGGCTAAGTGAGGGTCACATTTTACTATGCTATCTATGCCCACTAATATGACTCGCCTCATCTGGCATCTCACCATTTTGCTCCAGCCTCTAACAAAATAATACCTCTTAAATGTTGCCACATCCTAAATAGACCACTGAGATTACAGCCAACCATCATCCAATAGGTCAGTGCTTTTCAAAGTGTTACCCACCAAGTGAATTGGATCGGAATCACTAAGATGCACATTAAAAGTGTGTATTTCCAGCCCCTGGCCCCACCCACTAAAGAAGAAATGACTGGGGAACACCCAGGAGTTTGCATTTCACATCAGGTTCCCTGGTTGTTTTTAACTGGTCCCAAGATAAGAACTTTTCCAGCTGGAGTGTTAACGTGGATTAATTGTTCATGAACAATAGTGTTTGGCTCATTTCTCTTTACAGGACATCAGTGGTTTTCAAACTGTGTAGGCGTAAGAAAGATCTAGGAACCAATTAAAAATGACTTCCTTACTCTACCCTCCACGACCTTGACTCAGTAGGTTTGGCAAGTAACCCCGGCACTTGTACGTCTTAACCAGCTCAATGGATAGGTCTGCCAGTCCGGGTACCATACTTGGTGAAAGAAATATAATTGCAAAAAACTTGGTGAAACATTAATTTGGAAAATTAATGTTCATTTTTAAAGTCAGGGCTTAAATGTCCCCCTCTGGTTGGTAAACTCCTTGGTTCTTGTTTACCATTTTATGCTGGACAGCACCCAGTTCATTGAAAAGACTCAACGTTGCTTGTTACACTGAAATTAATTACTGTAAGAACAGTGATAGAACCAGGAGTGGGAGCTTGATTCCTGAAATTGTTTCCTGGCTCTTTTGTGTTGGTGGGATAAAAGACAGCAGATAACTACCACAGGTAGAAGAAACAAAGTGTCCCCTTGGGTTTCTGCATGATTGCAAATGGAAGCCGAAAAGGCTCAGAGCAGAACCTTTGCTTTTGTAATAATGACACAACCAAAGGACAGAAGAAATGCTGCAAATGAGTCCTCCGTGGACACCAGCTCTCAGAAAAGTCCCTTTGCTGATGTGAGACATTCATTAAGGGTAAGAAGAAAACAGATGGAACAGACATGAGTGAAGAAAAAATATATAATTTCAAAAATGTCATTGAAGGTCTACCAATAAAGAACTTGATATAGTTATTTTAGATTCTAAGAGTTCATCATATTCCTTTTCATATAGTCTTTTATGTAACGGCATCGGACTGAGAAGGTCAAGAGTACAGTAGCTACTGCCATCGACGAAGACCCAAGGAGGGACTGCTGTGTTCCCATTTCCTGAAACCCTGTTCTTGACAGAGGCAGGATGCTTATCTGTGGTCACTGAAAGATCACAGCTAAGAAGCTCTCTAAACATTTCAAACTTGGGGTGCCTGGGTGGCTCAGTCAGTTAAGCGCCCGACTCTTGATTTCAGCTCAGGTCATGATGTTAGGGTGGTGAGATTGAGCCCTTGAGCCCTGTTTAAGATTCTCTCTCTCCCTCTCCCTATGACCCTCCTCCTCCTTTCTCTGTCTCTCTCAAGTAAATAAATTAAAAAAAAAAAATTTCAAACTGGTAACAAAACTATACATTTCTCTTGGGAAGTCTAGGGCTGGTCTATTGATTTGACATTACACAGCAAGGATTTCTCTCTCATAATTTGTTTTAAACACAAGAGATCATTCCATATATGGTAATAGTTACTGATAGCCCAGACACAGGAGAGAAACTTTACATACCCTAAGTGAGAAAATTCAGCAGAAAGAAGACCAGGAAGAGACATTTTCTGGATTCAATAAACTCCTTGGGTATGACTTTTGTAGCCAGACACTATGATTGCAGTTTTATTAGAAGCAAGAATTGGGCAAGGGGTTGGGGGTGTGACATTTATATTATGCTTTTGAAACAACGTAGAGGTCCTGAACTTGGATTTCTACAATTAACTTGTTATCCACATGACCTCACTTTGTTGTTGTTTTTTTTTTTTTTTAAAAGATTTTGTTCTTATTTGAGAGAGAGAGCGTGTCCACGTGAGCAGGAGCTTGGCACAGGACCCTGGGGTCATGACCTGAGCTGAAGGCAGACACTTAGCAGACCGAGCCACCCACATGACCTCACTTTGGAGATACCCACAGAGGGTTCAGCCCCCACAGACAGAACAGTGAAAGTCGTTGTTTTGTTTTGTTTTAATTTACTTGGGAGAGAGAGCAAACCCAGGACCCGGGGCTCATGACCCGAGCCAAAGGCAGACACTTAACAGACTGAGCCACCCAGGTGCTCCAAAGTCATTGTATATTTAATAACCTTGAGAGTCTTTGATCTTCAATATATTGAGTTCCTCTCTTTAAATATAACTACATTCTCTAGTTCCAGTAGCCCATCAAAGTTTGCCTCATATTTTTAATTGGGAAACAGAAGGTAAGTTCTCTTAAGCTAAAGGGTGATCTCTGTGGATCCACTCTGTGGATCTCTGTTACAGAGCCTGTAACATTTGTCGGAGAAATCAGGGAGTGCCGAGTGAAAGCAAATGAACAGATTCTGCAAGGAATTAGCAAGGTAGATGCATAATCTAAGTTGAGAACCATTATATATCAAGTCAGTGCAAGTAAATTAAGGCAGAAACTATCATATCCAATATAAAGATTCATGAAAACTTACAAAATGTTAAGGTTTTGCTCATTCCCTAGTAACTCTCATAAGCTAGAAAGGATTAACCTAGAAGTTTTTATTACTTCAGTGAGGACCATTTCTATAGGACCATAAAGCAGTTGGGGTAGAAGTGTGATTATCGAACTTTGGCATGTAGAAGGGTAAACTAGAAAGTTATTAAAAACAAACAAACAAACAAAAATCCAGATGTCCTGACCCTGTGGAAGGTTCTGAGTGGAAGCTTGGGCATCTGTACCTTGAACAAGCTCTCCAGTGAGCCTGATACACGCTATGTAAGTGCCACTGAGAAAGATCTCAGGTTCTTTGGAGTCAGGGA